CCCAAACCCAAACCCAACCCCAAACCCAACCCCAAACCCAACCCCAACCCCAACCCCAACCCCAAACCCAAACCCAAACCCAAACCCAAACCCAAACCCAAACCCAAACCCAAACCCAAACCCAGTGAAAGACAGAGTTTCGGTCCGAAGTTTGTAGTACGAGCGAACTCTCACTGTACATCTCGTAATGTCTAGGAAGCAACGACTAATGGCTAATAGCTTATCTGTGTTTACCAAAGAAGTCTCAATTGATTCCTAAGTTATGAATTATTTGTTTTTATTATTATTATTATTGATTTTATTTTGCTGGAACATTAGCAGCTATACTAATAAAAGGACTATTAGATGTTAAATATTAATTTATATCTAATTGATTACTTAATCTCAATTTTATAAGACCATATTAAATAATCTTAAAATTCTATAATTGTTGAATAACTGCTAATTATTATAGAAAATTTTAATAAATAACCTCTTTATTAAATTACTTAAGCTCAAGCAAACAATAGCTTATCTATATAATTAATATTTTTGGTAATTTATTCTTTCTATAACAATAATTTTAGCTACTTTCATCATACTATATTTCTTAAATACACAAACATGTTTAAAGAAATGATTGTCAGTTCTTTGATGACTTTTTTTATTCGTCTAACTAATTTACTACAAAAGAATGGCTAAGTTTGATTTTTATGGAGATAATTAATAATAATAATAAGTTAAAATATAGAGTATATATAATTTACTTTCAAAGATTAGAAGCTCAATCTGGGTAAATTCCATAAATTTTTTTTGTTTTAATTATTGAAAAAATCTCGAAATTCTAAATTTTAATTTAATCATAAGATTTTATACCAAAAATTCAAGAATTTCTAAGATTGTAATAATATAAATAGTACTCTCCAAAAATAAATATTATTGATTTTAGATAAACATCGTTCTTTTTTTTCGATATTAAAACAAGTATATACAAAATAAGTAATACTAAAGGATTAATTTATATTGATTCTTTTAATTCTTATATTCAATAAAAGCTATGAATTAATTAATTAAATATTAATCAATTATTAATAAATCAATGAAATGGAAAATATATATTATATCAATCACTTTGTTATTATTGAATACTTAGTTAGATGCTTATCAGCTTTGTTTCAAAAGATAGGCTAGAATAAGATCAATTCTTAGGGGAAATTATTAAAATGCTTTAAATTAAAATAGAGGAGCTTTAATCTCATCTAAATTATAAAATGGTTTTGCTGGGGGAGTATAAGGCAGTAGTTTAAGGGATAATATTTACACTATTACAGGAGGATTTGGATATACAGCTAGTGCAATTGGAAATTCAATAATATTTGATTTATAATAATAATATGAATTAAATACTTTAAAAGTATGGTTGTGGGATTAAGATGATAGAGTCTATAGATTAAAAGTTTATTTAATATAAAACGATGTAGAAACTTAAATATTTGAAAGTAATTTTGTTTAAAAAATACTAACAATTAAATTTCCTGATTAATAAGTTTAAAAATTTAAAATATATAATGTAAATGGTAATACTTATAATGTTGGACTTCACATTATAAAAATAGAAGGTTTGTACAAACTTTAAACAAATATGTGAAATTAATGTTTTTATAGAATTAATTAATTAAATAGTTATTTAATCTTCTTAATGTAATAAAATGAAATAGCTATATCAACTATTAATTTTTTTTAGATTTATTGATTGATACGCAACTTAATACTAGAAACATTAACTTAATTATTAGGCAAGAAATTAAAAAAAATCAAATTATCAAATTTCTAAATTTAAGTTAATTTAAAGTATATAACAATATATTAATCGTAATAAAGGATTATAAAACAAAATATTATTTATATTTTAGTCGAAATTATTGAAATTTTACTGGATTTTAAGTGTTTTATTTCTTCAAAATTCAATATTATGTAATTTCTATAGCCTAATAAGTTTTTCTGAATTTTAATAGAATATCAATAAATTAATATTGTTCTTAATATCCTAAAGTTTACATATTTAATAATTTAAATATAATATCACCTAGAATATCAAGAAATAAATAGTAAATAAATCTGTGTTATAAAAAGGCTATAAAATTTAGATGAATTCATTAAAGATATACATCTAAATTTCTGAATCCTTATAGCTGTCCAATATAAAATTGTTTGGCGGTTAATCGATTTGAATCTTCTCAAATTACATAAACTCTTTTGCCTTTGAGCAAATCATTCAATTTTGATTTAAATCTTTAAAAAAATAGAAATTGTAATAGCTATAAATTAGCTATACGCCATATATAAGAAGGAAAATTACTTGTTAAAATCAAAAATGATAATCAATGTTAAATATTAATCATCTTTGAAATAAAAATAATTTAATTAATCTATGATGATTGATTATTTTGAATGAGATCAAGTTTGAAAAACAAAATGTCTTGATATTATATAACTTTAGTTTAATTAATTAATAGTTGTTGTCAGTTTAAATAAATCTTCCTTATATTTTAATTGTGTGTGATAATTTTTATAAATAGGTTAGCTTCTCTCAATCGAGAAACTCATCCATTATTGTTTATATTTCTTGATTTTAATAATTAAAATATTGAAATTTAAAAAGATAGCTAAAGTAAATTTATAGAATTATTTTAACAATATTAAATTTAATTATTCTTGATGTATTGTATTCAATTAATCTAACTACTTTGTATCAATTATTATATTGCCTTTCTTATACAATATTTCATTATATTATGAAATAACAATAATAGAATTTTGTGGAAAATTGTGCAAAAATAATAGATAAATTTACCAATTAAAACTTTTTGCCCTAAGGTTGAAAATATATTGAGAAAAATCATTATATTATTTTGATTATTGAAACAGGAGATTATAAATTATTGAAGATAGTTATTCTTGTTAAAGACTAAATGTTATTTAAATATTCAGTATTACTTATTTTAATGATTTACAGATGATTAACAAATTTAATGTCTAGATTAATAATCTAAGAGTCTTGAATAAATTTTTTGCCAAGCATTTTTCACTTAATCAAGAAAAAAAAATAAATATTGAGATAATAAGTGGATACTCATTAGTTTTTAATTTTAATGATTCTATAAATAAAACAAATATTGAGAAATCAAATCATTTTTAATTTCTTATTTAATAAAAAGCTTCAATTTTTATTATATCAAGCGCTGAATGAACTGTATTTCCACTTCTGTTAAATATTTCAATTTATTCAACATATTAATCTTCAAATTATATAGTAATAACTCTTTGCGCTAATTACTAAAATATTAATTTTTTTATATTATTGTAAATAATATAAACCTCTAAATTATACCATCGTGCAAATTCTAAGTCCCAAACTCTTAACTTTAATGTATTCAATTCATAAGTTTAAAACAAATCAATTATAATTGATCTACCTATAAGGCAAGCCCAAAATCCTTTATGCCCATTTACATTATAGATAGAATCTCTCAAACATAATGATTATATCTATCCTTCAGGATAATAATTCATTTATCTTGAACTTATTAGAGCACCATTACTTAAATTCAACACATTAGTATAACCTCCTCGAATTATTGATTTGTTTATTTTGTCTTGAGGTTGACAACATCCTCCAATCACAATTAATTCTAGTATTATGACCATTACAAATTACATTAATTATTGTTATACTATTTATATAAGTAATTAATTCTACAAACAAACTAGATACGTGGTATTTTGAATAAAATCTTTTGCTAAGATAGATTTTTGAAATATATTTTTCATTCGAGTTTTTAACTCATAATAGTAAAAACTTTAAATAAACAATTGGATTGTTATTCAAATTTAATCTTCTTTATTGTTTAATATTATGAATCTCTAATTCTAAAACTACACTACACATAAAGCTAATAATATTTAGTAAACTAAGATTAAAAAATGAAAGACAAGCTAAATTAAAATAGAATATCATAATTATTCAAATTTTGTTTAATGAGTTATTATAAAACAAATAGATCAAGAGAAAGTTAAAGTAATTTAATTGAATTTATTTATATTTATTTTAATATGCATTCGTAGACAAAAATTATGTATAGAGGAATCGAAAAATAATCTCATCTTTTAACTTTAAATTAATAATAATGAGAGTTTTTTCAAAATATAAAATAATAATTTGAAATATCAATTAATCAAGAATTTGATTAGATATAAAGTTTATTTCTAACATAATTTAATTAAATTATCATACTTATTAGCTCTGTTGGATACAATATCAATTCTCAAATGTATAAGATTATATTACAATTGATGATTTAACAATAAATAAAATTTAATTCATTCCAATAAATTCAAATTCCACTGATTTAATATTGATAATCATTACTTGAGCTAGGAGTTGTTAGAACTCAAATAGTGATTAAAATAACAAATTGATAATGAATGTAATAATTATTTCCAGGAAAATACTATTACATATTACTCTAATTATAATTAATAGAAAATTAATAATTATTTTTAATTTAAAAACTATTCACTAAAGTTGCAAAAGTTAAAATTTTTTACAATTAATATTAGTATTATTTAAAATAATCATTGGTATATTGATATGATTAAGAAGTTAGGCATTTTTCATTTCAAATCGAATTATTAATGATTATTAATGATTAGTATTTATTTCTACCAAAATATGATGATGTAAATTGCTTTAAGATTACTTTAGAGGAAACTTATAAAAATCATATCTGAAATTAATGATCATTGTATTCTCATAAAGTAATTATTTTGAAATAAAAAATGGACATTTCAATTCTATTGATTTATATGGCATACTATTATTGAGTAAAATAAATATTATATTTTAAAGGATCATTTAAGAATTGGTCTACCTTCTTAATAACATTTTACGATAAACCCTAAGTATGAGTTGTGGTAATTGATGAGTTGAAAAATAGATAGGGTGTAGAAATTAATCTTAAATAATATAAATTATATAAATGTGATGATTCAACTTATATTTCACACTATCAATTAAATGAATTTATCTGGTCTATGGAAACAAGCAGGTGATGCATTGATAGGATTGTAACTCATATAATGAGTTGAGTTATCTTTCATCTTGTTTACTCTAAAGAAATTGGCATATATGGGTTAGGTAAACATAGAAATGGGCAATTCAATATGAGCATACCATTCAGTAGGTGTGACAAATTCAGCAAAATAGGTAATCTCATCACATTATCTATAAGTAGTTATTAAATTGGAGCAAGTTCCATTAGGATTGCCTATTGTTGCGTAGAACAAAGCTTCATTAGGTGAAATTTCAATTTCTAAATATTCTGTTTTAGTTCCAATGAAAATTTCATCAACATCATGTTTATATAATGGATCATTACACTTTGTTAGAGGAGCATCAATGAATCTAAAATAAAAAGGAGATGATAAGAATCAACATTGAAAAAATCAATGACTAGTTTATGATTCAGAGACTTGCAAATTGTGAAATAAGTGAATTCTACATTTTCTGTTGTACATTCATTTTGATGAGTTAATTTGTATTAAGTTGGTCCTCATTTGCAATTTTCAACAGTAATAGGATCAATTACAGCATTTGAAATGACAATGATGATAGCAAATATTAATATCATATAATTTAATTAATAATGCCATTTTTAATGACTTTCATATATTAATTTTTGAATTGATATTCTTACTGATATTTTTTCATTTAATCGAGGACTTTTCATATGTCTTATATTGCAAAATAGGAGAAATATGGTTGAAAAATATCTTTAAATTTCTTTGAATAATTTATAAGAAATCCTTTTGAAATGAATATATAATATTGATTTATATATTTTCTATTATGCCAGAAATTATTATTAAAAAGATAATTTTATAATTTCAGAATGTTTAGGATCTATTAATTTTTGCATCTATAAAGTTGATTCTTTCCTTTGGATGCAATACCATAAGTTTGCCCTTTTAAAATTTGGTGTGAGAGGTTAATTAAATATCATGAAAATTTTGTAAAGTCTTAATTAAGATTAAATAAATATTATCATTTAATTTTTTCGAAACTTTGAAATAATCTTATACATTTCTATACCAAATAGATATATTTAATATTATTGAATTTTTATTGATCAATATTATTTTATTCCTCAAACTAATGTATATAAAAGTTTTATATAATGAATAAAAATAATTAGATATCGTTAATCACAAGATTGCTTAAATTATCCATTATCTAATGATAAAAGTAATTTCATTTATTATTAAGAATATTGAGTTTTTAAATTAAAACAAAAGCAAAATTTCTATTCTTATGATTATTTAATATCTATAATATATTTGTCAATTTTTTTTATCGTCTCAGTATAGTTAATAAGAGAAAATTAAAATTGAGAACTAATTACTGTGAAATAAATTGTTTCATAGAAAATTATATTATTAATGAATAACTTTCAAGGTAGTAAAATAGAATGAGTAAGTATCGCCAACAAATAGTAGCGTATAAAATTTATCAATTATTGAACTTTATTTTAAATATTGATAAAATTTAAAAAGGATAATATCTAATAAATTAAATTTATTATTTTAATTGCAATTAAAAAAATATGTTAGTTTAAAAGTTGAATCACAATAAAAAGGTAGTAATAGCATCATCTTTTAATTAGTATTCTTTTGATATAGACTGCTATAAATTCATCTACCCATTTTTAAAACAAAAACTTAAAATAGAGAATATATTCTTAACTTAAAATTTTCATAGTAGATTGATTCAAGCACTTTTCTATCAAGATAATAATAACCAAAATTACATTTATAAAATTGAATACACAATTAAAAGAAAATATGATGCTAATAGTAATTCAAATTTACTCATCTTTATTATATTGATTTCGAAATAAATCTATTAATATATATAAATAAATCAATTTTTAATAGAAATATAAATTATTAAATAAAATATCATCTAAAATTCTCATGTAAAAAGTTTCTGAATAAAGTTTAAAAGAAGAATACCAAAAAAAAGTTGATTAATGCTTAGAGAGTTTGTAATAGGCAGTCGATGTATAAATTTTAATGTATAAATCTTAATAGAAATCATTCAATAAGATTGATGCTTAACTTGATCAACTACTTAATGATGAGACTCAGTTCTATAATGTAATACCAACCTAGTTAAAAGATGATTTACCAAAATTCAATTCTAGTAGATTACTGAAATTTTAAGATGATGATTTCCAAAAACAAATCTATTAAGAAGTGACTTTATTAATCAAGAGTAATATTTAAAATCAAGTTAAAAATAAGGAACTATACTATTAGATGGAAATTTAAAATAATCAAATTATATGGGAACAGATAATCTAATAGAAGGATTATTAAATTTAATAACTTTAGAATACTTAAAGTACTTAAACTATTTAACAACCATCAACATCTTTATCTAATCAATCAAATCTTAAACCATTCACGTATTAATTAATCAAAGAAAATTCAATTAAATAAAATGAACATTGTTATGCTATTGCTATTAATAAGGATTGTTCAATGTTGGTAGCTGGATCTTAGAATTAAATTAAATATTTTGAATTTAAATAAGGAGTGTTAAAATAAGTTGAAATATTAAGTGAACATGAGAATAATGTAAGTACTTTGAATTTCATGAATAAATCAGATCAATTTATATCTGGAAGTGATGATAAATCAATTATAATATGGACAAGAAATCATAAAAATTCATGGATTTGTTAATAGAAATTAAAAGAGCATACAAGTTCCATCAGATGTTTAGTATTAAATAGTAATGAAGATCTTATTGTATCTGGTGGTTTGGATAAAATGATTAGATTCTGGTAAAAGTAAGATGAATGGTTGTGCTATTAGACAATCACAGATCATACTGAACGAGTATTAGGATTAAGTCTTAGTGAATAATAAAATAGAGTGATATCTTGTGGATATGATAACCTTATATTAGTAATAGAACTATCAGAATAGAATAAATAATGGATGGTAATATAAAAGATTACAGTTGAATCTGGATATCGATTATGCTTTATAGATAATAATACATTCACATTCTATCCTTCTTGGTATGAGTGTATACATGTTTTTGAGATTAATAATGCTAATTAATAGTATAAAAAGACAAAGGATATTCAAGTAAAAGGTGGTTCAGATGATTTTTTATTTCCTTCATAATATATTTAATCAAAATGTATCCTTGTAAATAAGAATGCTTAAGATGTGAGTTTAATAAGGAAGAAATAAAATGGTGAGTTTATAGTAGAGTAGTCTATTTAATTTGGAACTAGAGATATATATGGATGTATGACTGATGACGGACAATATTTGATCACTTGGGATAAAAAGTCAAACGAATTTTAGATCAGAAAATTTCTGGAATGATAAGTTTTAAATATTGGAACGAATCAATAATTATCAATTTAAGTTTAAAATTTGGTTATCATTAAATGAATCATTCTTCAATGCTTTAAGAATTTGTAATAAATTTTTTAATTATCCTAAAGAAATAAATCATCATTCTAAACTCATAAATAGATTTCATTTTACATCCTAATTTCTTTTTTTATAAGTTAATAGGAGTTGAACATGTAATCTCAATATAAAAAATGATATGTCAACTAACTAATCTGTATTACTCAAAATATAAAATAATAATTTGAAATATCAATTAATCAAGAATTTGATTAGATATAAAGTTTATTTCTAACATAATTTAATTAAATTATCATACTTATTAGCTCTGTTGGATACAATATCAATTCTCAAATGTATAAGATTATATTACAATTGATGATTTAACAATAAATAAAATTTAATTCATTCCAATAAATTCAAATTCCACTGATTTAATATTGATAATCATTACTTGAGCTAGGAGTTGTTAGAACTCAAATAGTGATTAAAATAACAAATTGATAATGAATGTAATAATTATTTCCAGGAAAATACTATTACATATTACTCTAATTATAATTAATAGAAAATTAATAATTATTTTTAATTTAAAAACTATTCACTAAAGTTGCAAAAGTTAAAATTTTTTACAATTAATATTAGTATTATTTAAAATAATCATTGGTATATTGATATGATTAAGAAGTTAGGCATTTTTCATTTCAAATCGAATTATTAATGATTATTAATGATTAGTATTTATTTCTACCAAAATATGATGATGTAAATTGCTTTAAGATTACTTTAGAGGAAACTTTAAATCATATATAATTATATTTTATTATTATTATTAAAGTAATTCTATTACAAGACATTGAGATAAGTATTCTTTTCTCAAATATTATGATTATTATTTAATTTGATATTATTTATGCTATAAAGTAGACTAAGTAATTATTTATGCTAGAATGATAAATTATAAGGAATAATTGTAACAATATAATATAAATATCTCCTTATATTTTTTATGCTAAAGTAAATCTTTCATCTAAAGAATTATAAATTATTTTAGGAATATATGATAAAATGAAATAGATAATTTGATTAGATTAAGCCATATATTGATATAAAATTAGGACATATAAATTATATGTAACAGAAATGATACAAACATAAAATATTATTGAAAAGATTCCACTAAGAAATATAGGATTTGAGGAATATTTTAGTAAATGAAAATTAGAGAAAAATGTAAAACATTATGAAAAAAGGGGATAGAAGATGAAGAATAGTGGGTTTTTTATTATTAATAAGGATAAAACAAAGAGTATAGTATTTTTGGACAAGAAATTTAATTTAAAATAAATGGTCTGAGATATTAGAGTGATGATTAATGGTAATTACAAAAATTCTTCAAAATTCTTTATTTATACATAAAAACTCATTTTAGTATCTCAAATTTTATTATTTATGAATTACTACAATTTATTATTAAAAAATGGTTTAAAGCATAATTACTTGTTGTTTTTTTCAGTCTACCATATTTTTATAAAGTATTTTTTGATTAAATAGCTTCATTTTTATAATCTATTATCTAAAATTTTAATATCAATTTGATTTATATGTGTATCTAAAAATTATTGTATTTAAATTGTTAATTAATTTATTCATGTAAAATTTAGAAAATCAAGATAAAAATACCAAAGAATTTGAATTAATTGTTTGGGATTAAGGAAATAATGGATTGTTAAGACAAACTATTTTAACTGAATTCAAAATTAAATCGATGAAGTTACATGTATTAAAAAAGGAGTTATTTTATCTTTTTAAGTATTGGAAAAATAACTTCATTTTAGAAATAAGATTTAATTGATGACTAAAAAATCACCAAAAATCTTGTGAAAATTAATCATTTTAAATGGAAAGGAAAAGAAGGTAAAGAGAAATAGAAAATTGGTAAATGGGAAGGATATTGGAAAAATAAAGTATAAAAAATAGGAGGATATTATGATAATTAGGGTCTAAAGTAAGGATTATGGTACGAAGAGTATGAAAATTTCTGGGAGTACTTTATTTTATAAATATGAAGTTATGCTTAAATTGTTTACGTTGGAATTTATCATAATGGAATATAAAGAAATAGATGGGATACTATTATGAATAATAATATTATGTAATCATTTATAATCAAAATGTAGTGGAGGGGGTAATTATGATCATAATGGCAAAAAGACAGGCAAGTGGGTTGAATTACATTTAAATTACTTTAAACAGAATTATGTTTATTGCGATGCCACTTATGAAGGAGAGTATTTAGACGGGATAAAATAAGGATATTGGTAAACATTTCTCTCAAAAAAAATTATGTAATTTATAAATATAATTATAGTGGAGGAGGTTTTTATAATCAGGTTGGATAAAAGGATGGTTTTTGGATTGAATTGAATGATAACTTTTCATTGTATTTAATAGAAATTATACATTGTGGTAATTAAGTTATTTACAAGGGTAACTATAAGAATGGTTTACAAATAGGAATATGGGAAATTGTAATAGTTTATGACGGAAAACAAATATATATGTAAAATATAAAAAATAGTAAAGTGGGGGAGGTTCTTTTGATGATAATGGAAAGAAAAATGGTAGATGGGTTGATTTAGCTATAGATTGGTTGAAGTATATTATAAAATGCATATTATAGTGGTAACAAGGAAATCTTTTATATTGGTGATTATAAGAATGGATAGAAAATAGGGTAATGGAATATTCATAATTGGTATAACAAATCCATGTATTATTTACATCATATACTTTTAAGTGGTGGTGGAGAATTTTAAGAAGGAATTAAAGATGGAATATGGATAGATGTGCATGATGATTGGCGTCCAGGGTATTTAATAAATTTAATTAATAGTTGGAGATAAATCATTTATCATGGTGAATATTAGATGCGCAAAAAAATTGGAACATGGAAAATCTTAGAGAACTCAGATAAATAAATGTAAAAATTTAGAATATCATAAATTTTAAAGTAGTGGAGGAGATTATAATGAATATGGAATGAAGAATGGTAAATGGTTTGAACCTGATGAAAAATGGGATAAAAAGTAAGTTAATAATTATAAAATCAATAGAATTTGGAATTCATTTATGAAGGTGAATATAAGAATGGTTTAAAAATCGGTTAATGGAATCGTATAGATAATTTGAATGGGATAAATAATAGTTTATATGAAAATTATAGCGATGATGGATTCTTAATAGAAAATGAATTATGATAACAGAATAATATTATATTGTTTAAACTAATAACATATTATTATAAATGAAATTGATTTCAAACAATTAATATAGTAAAATATATAATATATAATTTAATGAAGATATAAAAATCAATATTTAAATCCAAACCAAATAGAATAAAACATCTTGCTTTAAATTATTATTACAATGAGATATTTAAACTATCTAGAAATTTTGCCAAAAGAACTAAATTTACAAAAATATTATTTAGAATATAAAAATTTTATTTAGGAAAATATAAAATTTATAGGTATAATATTATAATTACATTATCTGCTATTGCCTTTATAAATAGAAAATGATGATTATAAATTCTAATAGATATATAATTATTTTATCTTAAAACTAATAATTTAAATAACAATTATCTTATAATTTAGATATTAAATTGATAATATTTCATTTTTTATTTGATTTTAAACTTGATAATGGAAAATTAGCCATTATCTTAATCTCTGTTATTTATTTGTAAGATCTAAATATTTATGTTAAATATACATAGCTTTAAAAATAAAGGAATCAAAAGTTTTTGAATTGTAAGTTTTTGATTTCATCCAATGACTAAAAATTTTTTGATTATCAATACCTAAAGGAAATGAATAAATATTTTAGTTTTGATTTGGAGAAGTTTAAATATCTAATTTTTCTATACTCAATTATTTCATAGATAATTCATCATTTAAACTATTAGAAATATAATTATCAATATGTAATTAATATTCATCTCCTAAAAGTAATTTGAATTAATTTATTATTTTTTTAGCATTTTGTTTTTCTTTTTATAAAACTTACTTCAATGTATTTTTATATTAATTTATCAAATCAGTATGAATTGAATTTGAAATATTTAATTATAAGATTATCTTATTCCTGCATATAACAATCATAGGATGACTAGGGTTTTCTTTAAAATGCTCTTTTACAGCTATTAAAGAATATAAAAGATTAACAAAATTTTACAAATCTTCATAAACATAATATTAAATTTCTTGTAATTCATTCTAATCAATTTCATTGTTTTCATCCTATTGAATAGTGCTGATTTCTGTAATATTAGTTGTTTAACTATTTATTTCAGTCTCTTCAAAATCAGTAACACTTGTTACTTATACAATATTTATAATATTATTGAGTATTTAAGTACATTAATTATATTCATTGAAATTTTTAAATTATTCTAATTTTAATTTCATTTTTACGCATAATGCTTGATTTATTTTAATAATTTCATTATTGAATTGTGATTCATTAATTTGTTAAATCTTTTCATTTGATATTAATATATCAAGTTCTTAAAAGAAACTATAATCTCTATGTATTTATTTGATTTAATCAAAGTTTTTTATCCATTCTTTTGTATTTTCAATTAATTAATCAAGCTCTTGATTAAAATATGATTTTAATGAATAAAGATGCTTTTACAATTGATCAATTTATTTAATATTAGGTTAAATGATATTTTCTAATAATTCTAATAATCTTGTTTAATTTTCTTCAATTAATTATTATGCCTTTTTGAAAGTTACCATTTTAGTTATACTATCAAAATCTTCCATACATTTTGTACATAATATCCTTTCTTTTTATGATAATTTAGGATCAAACACTACCATATATGGTTCTAAATTATGATTATTAGCACAATTTAAGTCATTTATTTATTCAATCATTTTTGGGATCATCATATCTATTAATAACTTTATATTAATATATATATAAATAATAATTGATTTTAATTAGAAAATATTTAGATATAGAATTTATGAATTAATATTAATTAAATGATCTTTTAAAGTAACTAAAAACCTCCCTAATTATTCCAATATTACAATTTAAATAGAAAAGGAAAGTAATAGAAATCTTTGATAATGGATTTATATTAATAGAAATTAACTCATTTATTAATATCATTTCTAATCTTAATTTTCTCTAATTTAAATCTCATTTAAGGTAGGATCATAAATTATTAGAAATTCTCCATTATCACTAATAGTACCAATTATGCTAATATCCTTAAATTCAATTGATTATGCTACTCTACACTCATAATTTTACAAGTTTTGAGAGATAGAAAATTATAAAATGTTTATAAAATTTCCATTAATGCTTAATAATAAATTTTTAGATGAAACATAGGTACTATTATAAGATTCGATTATTTTATCTTATTTAACTAATCCTTTACAAATTATTTCACTAGATTTTATATATTCTCTAATGTTGCAATCGAATGAGTAGATTGATAATGCTTAAGATTAAATTGGTTAGAAACTGAACATGAAATTATTTATAAAACAAAAATTTTATCCAATAATTGGCAGAGTTTATTTTAATTTCCACTCAGAATTATGTAATTCTCGTATTGTGATATTCTAAAGATCACAAGCTACTAATTAATTTCCATTTGGATTAATTGATAAACCTCTAATTTCATCAAGTGAATTCTAAATTTTTTATTCACAAGCCCAAGATTTTGAAGAGGATAAAAAATGGATTTAAGAATTAAGAGCAAAAATAATCTGATTTTCTTCAGAATTCAATTACAAAAATTTAATGTCATAATTACGTATTATCCAATTATGTTCAGGTTTTTATTTTAGTTTAAATATTTGATTCCATTTACTTTTATTAAAAAAATTGGTTGCTTATGACCAGATGATAATTAAGCAACCATCAGAACTTGATATGAATGAATTTAACATTGCTGTTTTCTTTTTGAAAAAAACAAGATTTTATACTTTATAGATTCCTACATCTTTAAGAGTTATCACTTAATTGGTATTGTATTTTTATTATTACATATCTGATTAGATTTCCATAACTTTGATACCTTCATCTAATCCAACTAAAAATAGAGAGTTATCATGATTGATTGCTAAAGCATAACAATCTACTTTCTTTTTTAATTAGAATTTTGATATTATTTCATATGTTGATTATTTATTATTATTATTTATTGTATTAGGTGATAATTAGAAAATATTTTCTGGTGTTTTTCTGGCGTCTTTATATTTAACGAAAAATATAATTTAAATGATTTTTTATATTATAACTAATTTTTCATTATTTAATTCAAAATTATTTGTATATCTTTATTTTCTTCATAGCTCTAGAATCTATCTAAGTCTCTAATCATTTCCCAACACCATTCATCATTAATTTTGATTAAATCTATTGGTTTAATATGTAATTCTCCCTAATTTAAAATTAAATTATTCAAACAATCAAAAAAACTATAATTTGNATAAGATTCGATTATTTTATCTTATTTAACTAATCCTTTACAAATTATTTCACTAGATTTTATATATTCTCTAATGTTGCAATCGAATGAGTAGATTGATAATGCTTAAGATTAAATTGGTTAGAAACTGAACATGAAATTATTTATAAAACAAAAATTTTATCCAATAATTGGCAGAGTTTATTTTAATTTCCACTCAGAATTATGTAATTCTCGTATTGTGATATTCTAAAGATCACAAGCTACTAATTAATTTCCATTTGGATTAATTGATAAACCTCTAATTTCATCAAGTGAATTCTAAATTTTTTATTCACAAGCCCAAGATTTTGAAGAGGATAAAAAATGGATTTAAGAATTAAGAGCAAAAATAATCTGATTTTCTTCAGAATTCAATTACAAAAATTTAATGTCATAATTACGTATTATCCAATTATGTTCAGGTTTTTATTTTAGTTTAAATATTTGATTCCATTTACTTTTATTAAAAAAATTGGTTGCTTATGACCAGATGATAATTAAGCAACCATCAGAACTTGATATGAATGAATTTAACATTGCTGTTTTCTTTTTGAAAAAAACAAGATTTTATACTTTATAGATTCCTACATCTTTAAGAGTTATCACTTAATTGGTATTGTATTTTTATTATTACATATCTGATTAGATTTCCATAACTTTGATACCTTCATCTAATCCAACTAAAAATAGAGAGTTATCATGATTGATTGCTAAAGCATAACAATCTACTTTCTTTTTTAATTAGAATTTTGATATTATTTCATATGTTGATTATTTATTATTATTATTTATTGTATTAGGTGATAATTAGAAAATATTTTCTGGTGTTTTTCTGGCGTCTTTATATTTAACGAAAAATATAATTTAAATGATTTTTTATATTATAACTAATTTTTCATTATTTAATTCAAAATTATTTGTATATCTTTATTTTCTTCATAGCTCTAGAATCTATCTAAGTCTCTAATCATTTCCCAACACCATTCATCATTAATTTTGATTAAATCTATTGGTTTAATATGTAATTCTCCCTAATTTAAAATTAAATTATTCAAACAATCAAAAAAACTATAATTTGCCATCTATTTTCCAATATTTATAAGGCTTTTTGTAAAATCATTTACTCTATTTTCCAAATTATCCAATTCTTACATTATTGTTCTTCTTAGTTATTATAATATTCCATTTATATTTTTTAATAAGATCATTTTCATATTGTTCCAATATCTATTTTAAAGGTTCTTCTATTATTTTTAGAACTCCTTATAATGGTTTAAGGTCATGTTCAATATAATCTATACATTATTTGCAATATAGTCTCTCATTAGGAAGTAAGTTTCCTTATAGACTAACAAAGCTGACAGGTTGATTATGTTTAAATGTACATTAATAATCTTGAAGATTCTCTTTACTTTGTAAAGTGAACATATTTGTATGCGATTTCAAGTAATTAGATAATAAATTTATGAATTTATGCAATAATATGATATTGAATACTTTGTTATTAATTTAAAATATTGATAAAGCATAATATTTTTCATTTATTTATAATTAAATGAGTGTCTAACAACATTGAATCAAGAATTTCTCTATCCATGTTTTATCTAATTGAAATTAAATTCTTATTAAATCCTTCGATATATTAAGTAAATACTTTCACTCTTGAATTTATTGATTTACACACTATCTTCTTACAATGAGTATTAATAGTTTATGAATAGAAAATTGAATTACAATACTATTAGATTTTTAGAGTAGTATCTTTATAGATATTTTAAATAGCTGTGAATTAGAATATCAATAATAACAAAATCTGAAAATGTTTGTGATAATAGCAATCATCTCAGATATATCTATCTTTATAATTTTAATATTTTTGTTTTAGATAATTAATTATATATATTTTAGATTTTATTTAATAAATTATAATATTAAAGTATCTTTCATTTTAATTAAATAATTAGATTCATGTTTATCATAATTATCATTCTTTTAATATCATTATATCATTTATTATTACATAAATCAATATGAATCTCCATCCAAATGTTATAATAATAGATATGTGTAAAACTATTCAAAATTTATATTTATTTATTTGAAAATGAGTAAATCTAGTAAATTTAAGATAGTTCTTTTATTTAATTAGAAATTTTATTAAATATACAAATTCATTTAATATTATTTAACATTTTTTATAAATAATGTATATAATTTATATACTAAAAGGATTATTTGAACTCATCAATTTAATTTTTCATATAATTCAAAACATACTATGTTATTTCAATATCTCTAAAGTATCCAATTGAATATCACATGTATTATTAAAGGATGAAACTATTCATCTATTATCACTCTTAAAATCTTTATTCAGGAAGGTTTTAAATTATAATGTCTTTAAGTTTTTAGTCATCAAATTTATTACCAAAAAGCTTATAACTCATATCTTTTAAGTCATACAACTTATTTACCATTAATGAATATGAAAAGTTACTAACTTAAAAAAAATAAAAATATAATTAGATTATTCCTTCATCAATATTATTCGTTGATTTTGATAATAAAATAGAAATGAATTATTGTTTAGAATTCATAAAATAAAAACAATATATTGAATAAATAGATTTACAAAGAATGTGTTTATATTATACTTTAAAAAATAGGTAATCTAAATTTAGATAGCGTGCACAATAAAATTTAATTGATATTATTCTAAATATGAATATTATTAATGTTTAACCCCCGTTCATTACTTCATACTATTGTTTATATTTAATATCAAATTTTTTTCCTAAAATGTTCTAATAATATTTGTAAATATAAATGTATCTTTTAAATTCAGAATATAAAATATCTTAGAGTCTTGGATCTGGTTCAAATCATATTGTTTTTAAAGCATAACATATTTTAACTTAATCGATTTATGCTTTAAAAATTGAAAAAAAACCAGGAATCGGATAAATAGAAAATGAAATTTAAATTCTTTAAGAGCTTTTTGGAATAGAAGGAATTCCAAAATTAATATAATTTGGAAAAACTAAAGATTTAAAGTACTTGTTTTATATAAGTTAGGAATTTTTTAATCATTCCAATATTATATTGTAGTCTCTAAGATCTAAGAAAATCAAATTAATTATCTCTTAGTGCTATTCTTGCTATTGGATTAAGTGTATTAAGAACTATAAAGTCATTTCATAAAAGAGGAATCCTTCATCTTGATATTAAACCAGAAAACATAATGATATCATCATCTGAAGTATTTAACTCAATAGAATAAATACTTACTCCTGGAAATGTTTAATTAATCGATTTTGGTTTGTCTTAGAATTTAAGTAATTCATAATTCTTAAAACATACTTTTATTGGTTCTTTAAGATTTGCTAGTCGTCAATCACATAAAATAGAAGAACTTGGTTACAAAGATGATATTGAGAGTCTACTTTATGTCTTAGCTTATTTAAGAAATAGTATATTGTTTTAATAATATTAGAAAATTTACCTTGGTAATTGCCATAATAATCAGCAAATCAATTAATGGATATTAAGAAAATAGGCGCAATAAAAGATTAAACTTATAATACTACTTTACTTTCATAATCATTCCCTCCTCAATTTTATTAGTTTTAATTATATATTGATACTTTAACTCATTCTTCTTTACCAGATTATGATTACATAGAAGAATTATTCAAATAAATGTTATAATTCAATGAAATTCAAATATCTCCACGTTTTCAGGAATCAATTACCTATATTCAAGAACAAAAGGATTTAGGAAATTCAGAAAATGTAAAAATGAATGAATCTATATCAAAACTTGGTGCAGATACTAGAGTTGTTATAATCTCCGATTTAATTAAAGCTTACACTACTATAAAGATCAAATCCATTAAAGATATTCATTTTTGAAAAATATTAGAAGAGAATCTTATGAATAGAATTAATCAACATATCTTTAAAATTAATAATCATGTGCTAGAATTGAATTTATATATATTATGACTTTTTATTTTTGACTTAGATGAAGCTAATATTTCTTTTTTTCTCTATTTTATTTTAAAGATCTAGTAAATAAATAGTTTCTATTCTAAATAATAGAACTATTTATTTCTCAGTTTTCAGTCAATATTATTGTTTGATTCTTTGGGTAACAATAATAATACAAATCCAAGTGTTTATGAGATAAATTTCTTTTAGGAAGGTGAAACAGTAACTAACATAGAACAATGACTAAATTTTAATTAAATATATCAAGTAATATTTAATTATGAACTTAAATTTTTTGATTTAATTAATAAATATCGTAATGAAGATTTCTTCACTTTTTCAGAAGACCTTAAAGATTCTTGTATTGTGTGTAGATTTAAGAAAAACTATTAATTTTGTGTTACAATTGAGATTGAAAATATAATGAATAAGATCAACATCTACTTTTGTTGAAAAAATGTCTAATCTAATATTCCTTAAATGGAAAGATAATCTATTGTCAGATATTTTTGTATATTTTGAAACTCATAAGTTTGAATTTACTCAAATTCATGGATAGAATTATTGACAATAATACAAATCACAATATTAGGTAAAATACAAATAATTAAGAAAAATTACAATAACAACATTTTCTATTTAAGTGTTATTATTAGATCTTAATTTTAATCTAAACTCAAAATGAATATTCCAATTATCCATTCATATAGATTTAATATATTCTTTTTGATAAATATATAGCAATAAAACTATTTTTTCAATAGAATATTTGTTATTATTTTAATGATAGTATTAATTTATTATTTTTATGAAATCAACTGATCAAATTTAGAGAGAAAAGTATCTGATTAATGTACCATATTCATCAATTCCTATGATCAAATTATTTTGCATAATTAATGGAAAATATTTAATTTAATACTTCTAATCAAACTATTTTTTCAATTCTTTCTTCACTCCTTTTATTAAATCAAACAAAAAAAATTTATATTTTTCTTATGCATTTTCTTTGTATCTATAAGCAAATAAATATATGGAATTTTAATTTTAAAATACATTTCCTTAATATAATTAAAAGTCATTTATTCTTCTGATTATCTTACCAGATCTTAGTTATTTAATATAATAAACCTTCTTTATAGTTTACGGAATAACAATAATTTTGTTTTAGAAAATATATATGCTTTTTTGGTATATATTTGTATTTTTTTGTAAACTTATAATCTTCTTGCTCTTATTATATATTAGATATGATTTAGTCTAAGTATCTGCAATTAAAAATCTTGAGGAGATTTTCCAAAAACCCAATAATTTCTATCTTTAAAACAATTAAGAAATTTAAGCATTATTTAGTAAATTGTCATTTTTTAATGAATATATGGCAAAGGTTTTTTAATTAATGATCAAATTGATTTAATTATTCTTACCTAAAGAGTAAAAGCTTGCATTTACTTCTATAACTTTCTCTGTATTTTACTTAATATCGATAATTCCGATGCTATCTGCTCTAGAATACACAACAAATGCAGAATCCTATGTAAACTACATAATGAGGCGATTTAAGCACCAGAATCTTCCATTAAATATAGATTAATTTGTTTTCATTTCTATTATTTGGATTCTATAATCAAAATGGCTGGATTATAAAAATTAATCATTGATGATTTTGAGTCTTTAAATATTAACAGCTAGATATTAATGATTTGGTGAAAGAATAAAATTTTATATGCAAAATTGATATTCTTTTGAATAACCTTAATTACTAAATAAAATGTTGAATTGTTAAATTTGTGATTGGCAATTTACTTCATTCAAATCATTAGGTTGTTTTAACAGTTAATATTCACCTTCAAAATGAAATCCCTTAATACGCGAAGCAGAACGAGTTTGCATTAAATTATAATAATAATTTGTTTAATAATAAAGATAAGTGAATAAATGATGGTCATTTATTGATAATGTAATGTAGAGAATTAATTGTATAATCTTTATTAGTTTTAAAGAATATTCAAATTAAGATAATGGCAAGCTTTTAGAAATGATGAAAAAAATAAAAAGTTTGAATTTATATTTATTACTTGTATTTTTCAATATAAGATCCTTTAAATTTATTGATAATTATTAAATAAAATTAAATAGTACAATATTGATAAAAGCAAAATGTAAATGACATTTATTGAATATTCATAAAATTACATATGCAACTTTCTCTATAAATCTCTTAGCATAATCCTCTGGATTTTGAGCAGAAGTGTCTAAAGCAATATTTGCATGAATGGCTTTTTTAGTATGTTTTTCAATAATTTTTTAAGCGTTCCATTCTTGTAAATAATCAATAATAGCGATATGATAATAAATTCCTCTTTCAACATCATTTATGGAGGGTATACATAATAAATCGGATGAGAAATAATTAGGAATCTTAGATATATGAAATTAATTTTACTTCTGCTTCTCTTATATGTGGATTATTCTAACTATATGTATACCAATCCATTTTAATTATCAATAGTGAATAATCCATCAATTTAACTTTACTAAAAAAGTTAGCATCATTAACTAAACATTTTCTCAATCTATATATATATTATTAAGGAATATGCAATTTTTATTCTAAATTTTGAAAATCAATGTCTTTTAATGTAATTTTCCTTAATTTATCATCATTAGGATTAACGTTTTTCTTTAAAACTTATCTTGAGTGTTCAGATCCTTTAATATCATAAGTTCTGACTCTGTACATAGATGGAATTTGCATAGCATTTCTCATGACTACAACATTTATAGATTCTTAGACCTAAATCATTAAATAAACATTATACATTTTATCTGAATAATTTGTAAATGCCATATATGGGTGAAATTACTGATTCATTTTCACTAATATGGAGAAAGTAAGGAATAAGATTTTTTCTAATAACAACTAATTCTTAATCAGATAATGTTTTGATGATTAATTTGTTATCATGAGTGAAAAAGAAGAATGCTCCTCCCTTGCCTCCATCTGGTCCTTTAAATTATTTAATTTATTCTTAATTTGCAAGTAGATCAAATGATTTGAAATGATTAATCATTTTGCTATCCTTTTCTCTGATCTTCTTGAATATGGTTGGAGCATAGACAGTCATAGTTGATTGTAATAATTTTAAGTCAAATGATTTATCATCATTATTTCCTTTATTATCAATTTCATAAATTATTTCTTCAATAAAATCATCAGTAGTTAAGTTGTAATTAGATTTCAATCTAGTAAGATCATTGTTCATTAAGGATTCATTAGATAATTTAAAATCTGTGTATCTTCTACTTATATTCATATGTTTGAATTCTTCTTAAATAGATGTTTCTAATTATTAATCTGATTTGCAAATAGCTCTTATACCAAAAATAATTGTATTTACTTAATCGAATTTTAGATTTTAGTGGATTGTATCATAAAAATTAGCATCATCATGTACTAAATAATAGTTAATAATATTTACATAATTCACTTTAAACATTATCTTTTCTCCAAAGTTTCCTCCATAATCTTTTAACTTAATCTTTGATTGTAGGTTCATTGTATCTTAATATTGATAATACAACTGGTGTACACAATTTTGCTGAATTACCTAATGTTATAAAAATTAGAAGGAATCCCTTATGAAAATATGAACAATTAAAGCCTGCAATTGTAAAAGATATTGCTTCACATGTCCATATTATACAGGAACCTTTTATATAACGATAATAATATTTTCCAAAAGTATCTCTAATTTCTTTGTATTTTTCATCATCAGGAATAGCTTTATTGAAGTACCATATAGTATACAATGAAATAAGAGTATATAATAATACTAGTACAATACCTGCCAAAGGAAACCCAGGATGATACTTGAAACTGCAAGTACCAAATATTGAAAGACCATTATTATGAGTAAATTTAGCTAAGAGAGGAATTGAAATCATAGCTAACCATGCCAATGAATGCAAAATTATAGGCAATTTGGATATTACCTTGAATTGATTTTTTAGAGTTAATCGAATGTATATGCAAAATACTACATTATAAGATACTTCTCCTGTTCCTGCAAATATACTAAACATTGAATTTATCTAACAAAATGGACCTGAACTCAAAGGATTTTTATCATATATAGTGAAATAGCATGCAGTCGCAAACCAATGTATACACAATATTGCATCAGACAAAGATATAAAGAAAACTATATCCCCAGGCATTTTCCTTGTATTAGGATACTTGATAAAACTATAAGTGATAAACATTGTGCACATAAATGCTAATGGAGCTGGTTAATAATAATAATTTCTAATACAAACTATCAAAAATATATATTGATCTAATGGCTACACAATAATCTTTTAAGACAGTTCAACATCAGTCAAGTCATCATAACAATAAAAAACATCGTCATCACTATAAATTCCTAGGGCTGAGCTTACAAATAAAAAGTAGATTATCAATTTTATCATATATATAATTTTATATTAAAAACTCAATTCAATTTATATAATCCTATCTTGATGACTTGGAATACTAAAGAATAAATAAATTCCCATCATTATTCTGCCTAAAAAGTAATCAAAAAATATCAAAATATTTATGAGATAGAAGACTTTCTTTACTTTCTTTTAAGATTCATGCATCCCCCATTATTGATACGAAAGATATATAATAAATTTTAATAAAAACTTTAAATTTTTTTAGAAGAATTTTTTTACAATTTAATATTCATAATTATTAAAATTAAAGGGTCATAATCAAAATCCGATTATTTCAAGAATTACATTCAGTTAATAAAAGCATAAATTCTTTTTTGACCCTTACAACCAAATCAAAAAAGATAAAACGCTTTAGAGTTGTAATTAAATCAATGAAATCTTATAGAATTGATATAATTATTTTATATCATAAATAAATGAACAATTAAAACCCTAAATAAGACTTGATTAAAATAACTTGTCTTTATGAATTCTAACAAGTAAATATATAATGAAGAAATTAAAAAGATCTTATCAATTATAATTAATCTATTTCCATATAAAATAAGTTTGGAGAAAGAAATTTTTTAATTATATGTTAATCTTCAATAATAAAATCTCAATATTTGTAACATCTTATTCTAAACATTATTCACAGCTATTGAACTTGATCCTTATGATACAGAAATTATTTTATAGTTTCCCTTTATGGAGTCTTACTTAACAAGCTAATCCTTATCATCAATATAGCAGATATCTAAACAGTTATCTTATTCTTAAACTATTACAATGTTAGGATTTATTAAATAACACAATCTTTATATTATATGATATTTTTCTAATTTTTAGATGTTAATGAAACTACCACTTTTGTCCTGTTTCCAATTTTTTATTTCCAATCCTCCACTAATAAATTAATCTGTTTTAACCCAACTTACACTATAAATTCTATCAATATGAGCCTTTTTAATTGGATCGCATAATGGCACCCATTTTATTTAATTATTTTTAGTTACTGTCTACTTCCAAACGAATATATCTTTATTAGGAGTGCATATAACTATATTCATTGTTATATGATGACAACTCAAATCCTATACAGGCCAACAGAAACCCTCTAATACCTAATGTTCAGACCATTTCTAACTTTCTTAATCTTTGATATAGATTATTATCTTAGGAGATGGTTAAGCACAAATTAAAAATTATTTTTTTTCAATTGACACCATACATGTATTCCATCCTTCATCTTTTTGAGTTCTAATTATAGTTTATTTTTAGACAAATGAATTATCTATTTAGTAAATAGAAATGCCATTTTCAGAACTTCTTAAAAAAAGTTACTATTCGTTTAATCCTAAACTAATTACATCATTTAATGATGTTAATAATTTTTTAAATATCCCTTTTACTTCCAATTTATAAATATCTATCATTTGTTAATTCTTATTAGTTAAAAACAATAATTTATCATTAAAAGCACAAGTATCATAGTTCTGATCTAATTAATAAATGACTTATTATTTGCACTTAAACTATGATTTATATAAACTTTCATTGTTGATCACAGTATTTTCTTTTACACAGTCCCTTGTATATGTTAAAAGATGCTCACTTATTTAATTTAGTTGGTTCTATATATTTATACGTAACTATTCTATTTCTGTTGATAACTACTAATTAATAAGTTCAATTGATTTTATTGTTTATTGATATTCTTCTGAAAATGAAATGAATGGGTCCATATTATTAGCACTTAGAACTACCATTTAAGCAATATTTTATAATTTCGATAAAGTTAACTACTCCTCTTCATGCACTTAGAGCTCTTTTTCTTTCTCAATTAAATTAATTAAAATATTGTTATTCTCATTATCCATTTTATCTACTATTTTATTTATTTGCAGATTGAAGTGATCTCGTATGTTAGAGATTCTTTTTTTTAAATCCTTTTAAGAATTTATTTAAATATTTTTTAGTTATCTTATTTCATCTACAATAGACTTATTAACATCCTTGTATTTCTGTAAGATTCTAGCAATATTCTCACGATTTTTGGATGGGCATTCTATGCAAACAGCTCTTTCTCCTAGAGGAGTATTGATATCAACATCAATTTGTATTATTTCATTGTTATGTAAAGGGCAATATATATTCATTTCTAATTAATATTTTTTATTAGATAAATATTGTTATTGAATTAATACAATCTATAATCAATTGGCTAAAAAATAGGTTTGATTTCTTTGAATATCATTACACTATTAAAAAAATAAGAAATGATTAATTTTGGGGAAAATATTTATGGAGAGAAAATATTATGTAGTATTTAGAATTTCACATTATTAATTGAATGAATTCTTTAAAAATTAAAAGCCCAAATGTAAAATACTCTTAATTTAGGTTTAAATTATAAATTATGTCAAAATAATTTTCAAATCAACTATTGAAGGCTTCTCTAATTTCATTTAGAATTAAAGTATCAAAAATATTAAATGTGTTTTCTAATAATTTACAATTCAAACTTTCATTAAAAAAAAAATTTTCGATTAACTTGACTGATTAATTAATAAAAACTTTTGTTAATATTATTTATCTTTATTCAATAATTTTTCTATTTATATTAATAATTACAATATTGGATAATTCAATCTTAATTGATAAAATATTTGTTTTTAAAAATAATATTCATTGAAATCTATTAAATGAGTTGTAGTGGTTAGAATTAAAAATTCAAAGTTAATATTTAATTCCTTTGAATTATTTATTATTATTTTTTCAATCAGAATATGATAAGTTAGTAAAAACTTAAATTGAATCAATAATAAGGGTAATATGAAAATATATATTAATTTAAGGAAAAAATTAAATTTTAAAATGTAATTTTAAGCTTCATTATTAATTATTTGATTATTAATGTTTCGGCTAATGTTGATAACTAAAATTTATAAAGATGATTTATATATAAAAAATAGCAATTCAATTTGGCAATTTAATAATAAATTTTTAATAAATAAAATTATTTCTAAATAATTTGTATATTTATCTAAACTTTTTTAAATATGAATAAAGATTATCGACTTTTAACAGTAATAACAATTTAAGGAGAATAGAAATATAATTTATTATATAAAAAATTATTCTAAGCTGTAGTTAAAAGATTATATTTATGAAGCGATACATATTAATAAATCATTATTTAAGAATAAACAAAAATTGATATTATGCTTTATTAAAATTTTCAAAGAATTAAATAAATTATGAAGACTTGAAATTAATAAATTAAAAGCATATAAATATTTACGAAGAATTAAAAATTTTAATGTTAATATGCTTTTTCCTATTTAGTCTATAAAAAAAAACATACACAATCTTCTTTTTTTTAATAATTGGTTCAAGAAAACAAGTTTGTTTTAATTTATTGAGAAAGTTATACATAAATTTATTTCTTACATTCAGAATTAGTTATGATTCTCTTAAGTTCATCTTGTTAAAATTATAGGCACATTTATAATCTGTAAATTTAGAAGCTTCTAAATTATCAAAATTTATGCATTAAGCTTGTTAAATTTTTATTAATAGAATAACTTTTTGTTGAGGATTAAAAAAAATTTTAAATTAATTTTTATTAAGTAAGATAAAAAATAATTATTAAATTTACTTTATTTACAGATTCTATTTGGGTATAATTTGAAATTTATTCTCCTAAATTTTTCACTGCTGAATTAACACATATTTGATATTAGATTAGATATCGTCTAGGGATTTTTTATTTGTAATTTAAGATACTTAATAATATTTATCACTTTTGGTTTGATTTTTGCCGAATTTTTTAAACATATAATTGTCACTTTTGATCAGGGTTCTAAATATAGAATACTCATAATTATTACCATAAACAAAGTTTTTTGATTTTGCTCTAGAAACAAGGATTTTTTTTTATATGAGTTGAAAGAATTTATACTCTGAATTCGCAATCACTCATTTAAAATGATGTCTTTAACAATTGAAAAATATTTGTTTCGAATGTATTTCTCACGAATTCTGGTTATTAAAAACCTTTTATTTACTCATTTATTAAATTAACCTTGTCGAGTTTCTAGCTATCATATTATCAAATAAATTTAGAGACACAAATTATTGTTAAAAATTAAGTATAACAAATTAGTAAGATTCATTAGTAATTTTTAATCTTTTTCAATCTAAGATGTTTTCGTTATCTTAATAAAGGATCCCTAAGGCATAATATTTAATAATGTTTGAGTCATAAATAAATTTTTATTAATTTATAGGACTTTAATATACAAAATAATACACAAATTTATTTAATTTCTATACTTTATAAAGAAAAAATAATATGAAATTCATTTAATTTATATATTTTGATCAATACATCATACTATCTTATTACCAAGCCGATAATTGAAATCCCCCATGATATTAATCATTCAAAATTATTTTTATTAACTAAAAAGTTAAATAAATTATACATTCAAATCATTTTTATTATGTTTAGAAATTTATATAATAATATTATAATGCTGCTCTGATACAAATACAGAAAAATAAATCAGTTTTAGAAATTTCTAAGCATTTTTAAACAAACCTTATGAAAACTTATTGGTTGATATTTTAATACAGAAGATGGTATAGCTTGTTAAAAAATTATCTCTTTGAATTATTTCGAATGATATTTGTACAATTAAAGATAACCTTTGATTTTTAACTTTTTCATCTATTAAGTCAAATAAATACTGCTAAATTATTTAAATACTAAATATTTGATGAAATACAGATTTTGAAGTTGCTTTTTTAAATATGATTAATTATTTAGATTATTTCTTATTATTTTCAAAATATTACATTCTTGTTGGTCATCTGTTAATAAATCTCAAATATTCACTTTCATTTTGGAAAAGTCAAAATTGATAAATAATCCTCTTTTTGATAGTTTGATCTAGATAAATATCAAATTTTTGAACTACACAATTAATGATTTAAAATAATTATAATAATTATTATAATTTACTGTTCTTAAATTTGAATTCAAAAAAACTTATTTAGATTGTAATAATCTTCTTCATCCTAGATTTCATCAGGAATGGTGACAATTTCCTTTTAGATTCCTTTCCTTTCAATAGATAAAAGCTCAGCATCATCCTCATTCAGAATAAGAGGCTCCCTTTTTATATTGAATCGTTAAGTTGACTTGAAATTTGAAAAACCATCTTCTGTTACAAATGGAAGATGTAATTTAATACCAATTGAATGGGATTTTAATATTTCTTCTCTAAATTTAAATGATCTTATTAAGAGATAAAGTCTTGATATTTCATATAATAAATTCATATAACTAAGCTTTTATCGCATTTACCTTTAAACCTTATCATATAATTGTAAATATGCTTTCTTATCTACCTCTATTTGATTTAGACTTATTTTGATTATTTATTATCTCCAATTCTTGATGATCTTAATATTCTAAAACTCTGGATAATAAAAATTTATTAATTCTGTTATTACTTTTTAATTTAAAGAGTGTTAATTTAAGTAGATAATTATATATTTCATCATAAATAGTATAGATATAATAGATCCAATATTTGCTAATAGATCTCCTAGATGGGGATATTAAAATATAGTTTTTGTTTAAGTTCCGTTCATTGTAATATATATTGCTGCTAGAATTTCATTTTAATGTGTTAATTTACACCTTTCTGCTGAAAGGGTTTAAGTTTATACTTATGCTCCACTTATATATTCTTTTATTTTGGATGTTCCAAATAATAAATAATCTTCTACTTCATATTTGTTTGTTTCAAGAAATGTATTTATATTATAGCAACTCTATTATTCAATTTCAATATAAATATCTTAAACTGTCATTTATTCTGATCCATCCCTGGAATCCAAAGCTGTTGAGTAAACTTATAGACCGAAGTAATTAATTTGTTACTTAAAAAATTATTCTTTTAGTTCAGAAGAAGCACATTTTTCATCTGGTTTCAAATACTTTTCTTAGCACAATGCTATAAATATATACATTTATTTCGATGTTTGTAAGTATCCATCTGCATAGGAATAACCAAAATCTAGTTTAGGTATGTACAAGTTCCCAAATGTTGATTCTGTATAATTTTCAATTATCATAGGTTCAGTTGGAGCATAATAATCAGTATACATTACTAAAGGTAATAAAATTTTAGATTTGAAAGGATCAATCAAACCTTCATAAGCTTCATAATATAGAGTGATTTTTCCTGAATTATAATCCAGTGATTAATAATCTGAAACATACCTTGAATTAGAAATCTTTGGACTCATTTAGTTGCTATTCCATAGATAGAATACCCAAAATCCATAAGCCAAACTTGCGGTACAAATTATTAGACTTAGAAATCCCCCTAATGCACTTTTGAATACTGTTTGTTGTTGATTAATACTTTATACAAAAGGAACCCCAAAAATATCGACATTCTTTAAAAAATTCATATAAATTTCAAATCTTATTAATTATTTATATTTAATTATTTTTTAGACTCTAGTAGAATCAAAGAGTTAGGTAATATGTTAAATATTATTATTTTTGATTTAGAAAGTTATTAACCTTAAATTCTTCTATTTTACTTCCTATTTCCTATATCTTTAGAAAATAATAGAAATATTTCAAAATATATATTTAAGAATATAATTATATGAAAATTCTCATTCAAATCTGATAAAATTCTCAAGAACACTTAAATACCTATTACCTAGTAATTATAGTAGTTAGTTTATTTTTAATTTTTTTTGGCCTACTCTTCATCTAATGTAAAAATCAATACTTCTCCATTATAGTTTAGCTCATTTTGTAAAAGATTCAACAAATCAATACCAGCAGTATAATTAATAATAAAATTTTCAATTCTTACCATATCAGTAATAATCCTTAACTAAGATTTTTTTAATAATAATAACCATTTGTGATATTTGATCATTTAAATTGCATCATTTGTGGAGGTACAAAAAGTTATAGATAATTTATCATTTTATGTTTCACATTTTTTTTGCAATTTAATAATTGTTCTCTGGATTATCATCAACCCATAGTACTATATAGTTAGTATTTTTTGCAAAAGGTATCTCTCTCATTGATACAAATATTGGTTGATTATAATCCTATATAACTTCTAATACTTTATAAGTAGAAAATGGCATCATTATAACCTCTTATTCATTTGGATAAACTGAAATTTAAGAGATATCTTTAGAACTTATCATTTCAATTTCGAATATCATTCCTTCCCTATCACTAAATCTCTAGGCTACTTCTTCTTTTAATGAAATAGCTTATATATCTCTCCATTAAATAGTTTTATCTATTTAGTATGTATGAACATCTTAAAATTGTTTTATTCCTCTAAAACCCTTTCCTCTATAGTACTAAGATGATTTTATACCTTCAATTAAACACTTTAGATATTTTTTCCATTTTTCATAAGAATTATTTTTTAAATCACAATTTAATTATCTATATAATAGATTGCTTGTCCATAGTTTGAGAGCAATTAAATTATGAAGTTTATATTTCTAATAAATACCTTATTTCTATTAATCAATATTTATCTATTCTATTGTATTTTTTAAGTATTAATCTACATTAAAATTTAACTACAGAGATTATAAATATCGTTTTAATTCTGATAATTCATTTAACCCTATATTGTAAATTTCATTATAAAAGCTTATACTCAATCCTCCTTCTTCTTTAGAGAGCAATAAAATTTACTAAATTTTAGGTAGTTCATCTATTCTTATATCATCAAATTCAGATTTATACAATAAACCATCAATCAGTATGAGCTTTTTTTTATTTGTGTCTTCAAATTATCGAATAATCTTTTACAAATATTTCAAATCAATATCTTTATATAATAATAAATTATAACTAGACTCGTTTGTAATTATATCAACTGATATTATATTAGAATTCGAAGTTATATGTGTACTTTATTATTGTTATTTTTCCTTATCAATACTTACATCTAACAAAACCTCCATTAATTTTTCACTCTCATAATTCAGATTATAATCTTTAATTGTTTTTTCATCTTCCATTAATATATCTTAATAGTACAATTTTTGATTTTCTATAGGAATACCCATCTTCTTAAAGATTAATACTTTTATTTATTATATTGGCATTTCTGGAAAATATTCAATTTTAAAATTTTTCCCATTTATTTAAACATAGATGATATTCATATTATGAGCTAGAAATCCAAATACTAAGTAATTGTTTGGATATTTCAAATGAAGATTATAAACATAATCAAATTAATTCAATTTTTAGATTGATATAATATTAATAAAAGTATTATCTTCAAATAATAATTTATCTTCTAATGTTAAATTACTTATTTAGAAATCAGGGTGAGGTTCAAATGCTTTCCATCCAGATTAAGTATAAAATGGATGTCAGCTGTACAATCAATTATACTTGTTTCAGTTTCTATTCTAATTAATTGAATTTTATATTTAGTCTTTGTAGTACCTTATACTATTCCTGGTCTAAATTCTCTATATTCATAATTATAACATAATATTTGATCTCCTTTTATTATTTCGCTTATTGGCTTTTATGATTTATCAGCAAGAGTTATAGGAGCATAAAAAGGGAAACAGCCACCAAGGGACATTACAAACATCTTAATTACACTACCATTCGCAATCCCATATTCTGCAAATGAAGATCTTCCATCTAATGCGATTTAATAGAAGTGAAACTAAATATCATTTTATGTTTATAATATTTCCTGAAATTCCCTTCTTAATTCCTCGACTAGTTGATAACGATTAACCCTAATAGGATATGTTTTATTCAATTATTAACATTCCACCATTAGATTAATTTCATTATCGTAAAAATTCTGAGAGAGTTATTATTTTTATTAAGATTGCAAAAATTAATTAATTTCTTTGTGTTTCGTATTTAACATTTCTTCATGTTAAGGATTCTGAAGGGGCTATTATTATTAATTTTAGGTGATTTAATTTTAAACAACTTTATTTTTTTAAAATATATTTTTATCAATTTTCTCACCTAATTATAAATTAATTTCATCCGCAATTGGAGGTAAATCCATAATATCCTCTATTGGTATTGAGAATTAATGCGTAAAATCAATTAATTATTATTTATAGAATTAAACATTAATATAAAAGTCTTAAACCTAATTCTTTTGATCCCGTTAATAAAGTAATTTAATAATATTCATAAATGCATATTCAGATATAATAAATAATCATAAGTTGGAAAGATTAACCAAAGGAATACTGATAAGAGGAAATCAAATAGAGTTTTGATAAAGTATTGGCAATAAGGTGAGAAAAGATAATGGAATGACCATTGAAATCAAAACACAACAAGATTATAGTGATATGGATGTCAACATAGAAGAAGAGCACACTCAAGGTAGAAATAATTAAATATTAAAGCAAAAGTGTAAGTTAAAGTCATAAGAAATAAAGTAGTTCAATTAGAGGATTTTTTGTAGTGAATATTAGAGAAAACATTTAAGACCCAATTGTAACATTACAGATTAAATAGAAATTATTTGTGATATTCAAATTATAAAATGATATTGAATGTGAAAATCAATTGATTTCATTATTTGGTTAAAATCTTTTTGGCGTTTATTAGATTATTACATATAAACAAACATTTATATTATACTCTCTTCAACAAGGCTTATAGTGTTGAATATGTTGAATAAATTGATTCATATAGTATATACAAGAAAGTCTTTAACTTTGACGGAATCACAGAAAATGAGGAAAAATAATACTTAATTTTTGATTATTTTAGAGGAGAATTAGTATTATAACATATTTTTATTCTTACTTTATAGGAATTTAATTGATAATATTTTAATGATATTAATTCATTCAAGAAGAGAGCTCTTCAAAGAAGATCCTTGAGACAATGATTGATATTTTAAAAGTATTATGATTTAATCATATGAATTCAAATTGATTCCAAGAAGAAAAGATTGAATTGTAAGAAATAATAATTAACTTATTATACCTCAAAGGATTGCCTGAAGATTCAACAACAATTATTAATTTATTACTTTAAGCATAATTAAGAAGATTAAAATAATAAGGATATTATTTAAATTACATAGTGTACAGGCACATAACGCAAGCATCTTATAAAATAATTATAATATGACAAAACTGATTCTCAAATATATTCAAAATTTTCAAATATTAAGATTTAATCATTTGCCTAACCTATAACCTGATTTTTTTTCAACCTTTATTTGAGTTTTGATATATATCTAAAAGAATGAGAAAATTCGTTAGATAAGATCCATTTCTTATCTTTGTATTTGTTTGAAGTGATCCTTTCAATAAACTATATCAAAGTGATATCATATAAATGGATATCATCCTGTAAGAGTGAATAACCAATTATATTTTAAATTCATATGTAACTAGAATATTTTAGATGTTAATTAATTTTTAGTAAATTTATTAATCAACATCAATAGATTGAAAATATTGTCAATAGGATTTTACACAATGCTATTGATGAATTATATGAGAGTAAATTTTCAGATGTTGAAGAGGATAATTGATTAGAAGGGTTGTTGCTAATTATTACTATATCAATATTTAAACAGCCAAGAAATTCTGATATAAGATTAATTCAAATGGCAAACTCATAAATTTACTATTTATCTTATTTGTGGGTAAAGAATTTGAATACTTATATTAAAATTAATAAAACTAATACAAATGCCCTAATTTTATTTAAAAGATAATTTTACTAGTATAAAATTGAATATTCTGCTTTCAGATATTATTGCTGAAGAAGAAATAGTTCAGAATGTGTCTTTTCACTTCAAGTTGTCTTAAACAGTAACACCCAATTTTACACGATTTATGTGATTGGTCCTCATTATTTTAAGTAAAAAGTAGCGAAATGGTGAGTTTTATATACGAATAGGAACAAAAATATATTATTTGAAAACAAGAAAGATTTATATTAATAAAGCATTAAAGTTAATATCAAAATTCTAAGCTCCTTAAGTTTAATTGTCTAATTTAACTATTTATACCATATTTAATGTATAAATAAGTCTAGATAATATTAATTACAAATAATTCTTATTATTATTGAATAATAATAAGAATAATGATATATAACAATATTATAATTTTCGTAATTTAATAAATGCATAAATAATTGAATTCGATATCCTTTCTTTCTGCTAATAGCGGATTTTCTGATTTGTAATCTTGTTCTATTATTAAAGGTAATAATTATTATATAGCCAAATCTATTGATTAACATCCAGAATTGATTTAATAACTTTTTGAAACCGAAAAGCTTCAGAAAACTAAGAATATTTTCTAGGATCCTGTTAATCTAAAAATTCTATAGCATGATCCTGCAATCGGACCAAAATATGAAAAAAATAAAATTGTTTCAAGATCTATTGTAGGAAAACCAGATATTTTCAGAAAGAAATAACCTATTCAAAACAATCATTCAAATTAAGACTTTCATATGCCCACTTAATAGATTAATATGCAGGAATCAATTAGTTTAGCCAAAAAGGAATCTCCATTACAAAGAAGATTGACATAATTAAAAATTGCTTAAAGTCCTGTCAAAATTTCGAAATAAACAAAAAACGAAAATATAATTACAGGTTCTGAGTTAATTAGTAAAATTGCTCAGCTAGAAAAACGATTAATTTAAAATAAATTAGACGAATAAGAGTAATTAGATAACATGCCATTTATTTAAAAATAAAATTTATATCGAGACCAAAGAGCTTTGGAGGATTTTGATAAGTAAGAAAAAATTCACTCTGAACTTCTTCTTTCCTTGTCAGCTCGTGTATCTAGAAATCCAAGTTGCTCAGTAATGATGGATTTGTATAATTTTAGAAGAAAACAAGAATATTCAAGTACAAATGATAAAATGAGGCAATTATCAGAAAATAAAAATCAAGAAATTATGTACAAATTGTATAATAAACTAGAGAAATGCAAGAATAAAATTAGATTCCTTTTTTCATCTGTTCAGATAGATAATAAATTATTAGAAAACCACACATCTTTGAAAAAGATGCAACTATTTCCAACATTTTAAAGCATATGAACGAAGATAAAACATTTTAAAGTTTTACAACTAACAACTTCTTAAAAGAAAAAGAATAAAAATATAAATTGTTAGCAAAAGATAAAATTAAGTTGAATATTGATGAATTGATGGTGGTTGGGCAATCTAAATATGAGTAGGAAATCTCCATAGATCCTAGCCATAAATATGTAATTAAAGAAATAGAAAAACATTAAGGAAATGAAGAGGAAATATTATGACATTAGATTATTTGTTATTTTATGAATATGATGAATTAATCATTAAATTCATTCGTTTTATTGATCAAATCTGGTACAACTTGTAATTTGATCTGGCTTATTTGCCCAAGGACTATTAATAATTACAATAATTTTTACATTGAATATATGACTACTTCATAAATTTATTATTCTAATTAGTTGTTCAAATATCTTAACTTAATATTGTAATTGAATCCAGCTACAAGTTATTCATGAACACTAACTATTGAATCAAATTCAAATCCTTCCATTTGAGGATTAAATTTAGTGTTCACTTCATTGATTGCCTCTTCAATTACAAATTAATTAGAATTACTAAAGTTATTTTCATCTAATTATTTCCATGATCCGGATGCTTGTCTCTTTGATCCTCTTAATTAGTTGAATTATTATTTTGGAGTTTCAAATGCTTTTTAGAATTCAGAAGAAGAACTTGATGTACTAGATTCAACAGGATTATTGCCTGATTGAGAATATTCTCTATTAATTTAAGTTGCTTAACTATCTATTGTAGTTAAATTTCCGGATCCTAAATCAACATTATCAATGTTTGTTTGATTTAATACATTTATGAAAGTAGAATTAATTGATTAATTGACAGCTCCTTCTAAAATCTATTAGTTTATTTGTTTTTCACTTTAAATATCATTTAATGTAACATTGTAAATATTTTCACTAAATGTGGAGTTTGAAACTTGGTTGACATTAGCATGAATTGTATTAGCTGAATTTGATTATTAAGATTAGTAAGATCCATAAGTTCCATTGTTTTATGTAGTGCTGTTATTTGTATTTTAGAAAGATTATTAGTTTATTGTTTAATTTGATATGGATTATGTACCATCTTAATATTCACTCATTTATTCGTTTTTGAAAACGTTACTTTGATTTGATGAGTATGTTTTTGTATACTATCCATCTTAATTTGATTATTATGATTAACTCTCATAAGTTTAGTATGAAGATGAACTTGAAGTACTTGTATTATTAATTCCATTTACATCATATTAGTTTTATGTATATTAAGTTTGGTAATTTGTTGAATCTTGTAATTTGCTGCTAGTTGATGAATTATAGTTTCTATCAAATTCTCCATTGAATTATTAAACGTTACTTTAAGAATTAAAGTTTTGATTAGTATATTATTAATTAACAGATTCTGTATTTTGATAAATTTACTCTTACTATTGTTAAGTTTCAGATGAAGATTTATTCAATTATGCTTATCCTTAACCATTATGATAATTAAATTCTCCTTATCCGCTACTTTACTTATCTTGGCCTGTGTAATTGCTAAAGTATTAAAGACCATTTGAATTAACTTATTCGTGTGAATACTAATAATTAGCATTTATTCCAGATGAACTTTAAACTAAAGTACCATAGAATACAGCATTATTATATCCTAAAGAATAAGTATTACCCATAGGTGGCTTGTAAACAACTATACTAAATTACAAAGTAGCATTTCTATATACTATATTACCATTTTAGTCATATATTTTTTCTAAGGTGATCAATTCATTATCATTGTAATAGTAATATATAGAATTATTATCTGATTTTGGTTTATATAGATCTGTTTAATTAAAAATAACTATCTATTAATATGACTGCATAGATTAATTATAAAACATAACAGTTTGAGTTGAGTTGGTTAATTAGGATTTAATTTCTTGATTTCTCAATTTTAAGCTTATTTTAGATTGCTAAAGTTTCTATCTGGCTGATGTTGAAAGATTAGAATTATTGGTTGTATTAGAAGTATTACTTGAATTACTATATGTATAGTAATTGGTATTGGTATTTTATTATGGATATGAGTAGTTATATTAATAAGGATAGCTAGCATTTGTCAAGTTTGTGTTATTGGTTGTATTTGAGGTATTACTAGAATTACTATATGTATAGTAATTAGTATTGGTATTTTATTATGGATATGAGTAATTATATTAATAAGGATAGCTAGCATTTGTCAAGTTTGTGTTATTGGTTGTATTTGAGGTATTACTAGAATTACTATATGTATAGTAATTAGTATTGGTATTTTATTATGGATATGAGTAATTATATTAATAAGGATAGCTAGCATTTGTCAAGTTTGTGTTATTGGTTGTATTTGAGGTATTACTAGAATTACTATATGTATAGTAATTAGTATTGGTATTTTATTATGGATATGAGTAATTATATTAATAAGGATAGCTAGCATTTGTCAAGTTTGTGTTATTGGTTGTATTTGAGGTATTACTAGAATTACTATATGTATAGTAATTAGTATTGGTATTTTATTATGGATATGAGTAATTATATTAATAAGGATAGCTAGCATTTGTCAAGTTTGTGTTATTGGTTGTATTTGAGGTATTACTAGAATTACTATATGTATAGTAATTAGTATTGGTATTTTATTATGGATATGAGTAATTATATTAATAAGGATAGCTAGCATTTGTCAAGTTTGTGTTATTGGTTGTATTTGAGGTATTACTAGAATTACTATATGTATAGTAATTAGTATTGGTATTTTATTATGGATATGAGTAATTATATTAATAAGGATAGCTAGCATTTGTCAAGTTTGTGTTATTGGTTGTATTTGAGGTATTACTAGAATTACTATATGTATAGTAATTAGTATTGGTATTTTATTATGGATATGAGTAATTATATTAATAAGGATAGCTAGCATTTGTCAAGTTTGTGTTATTGGTTGTATTTGAGGTATTACTAGAATTACTATATGTATAGTAATTAGTATTGGTATTTTATTATGGATATGAGTAATTATATTAATAAGGATAGCTAGCATTTGTCAAGTTTGTGTTATTGGTTGTATTTGAGGTATTACTAGAATTACTATATGTATAGTAATTAGTATTGGTATTTTATTATGGATATGAGTAATTATATTAATAAGGATAGCTAGCATTTGTCAAGTTTGTGTTATTGGTTGTATTTGATGTATTACTAGAATTACTATAGGTATAATAATTAGTATTGGTATTTTATTATGGATATGAGTAGTTATATTAATAAGGATAGCTGGCATTTGTCAAGTTTGTGTTATTGGTTGTATTTGATGTATTACTTGAATTACTATATGTTGCAAAGTTATAGGATGGTTAACCACTTTCATATGTATAATTATAGGTTGAATTAGGATAAGAAGTGTTTGTATAATTATATTAAGTTTTATTCACTGTTGTAAAGAATATGGACTTGATGGTGGAATCATCTATTTTAAACAAAAATGTACTTATTTTTTCATTCCCTGGAATTTCAGCTTTTTGTAAACTTGTTGGGTCCCCACTTTATAGAATTTAGATTATTTCCTCTTTAACTTAAATGTTATTCTTCATTTTATTAAGTAATTATTCAACAGAATCTTGTCTTGCCGAAGAGCTGACTATCAACAAAATAACAATTAATGACAAAATTTTCATTAAAAATAATATTAATAATTTAGAATTTGATTTGGCGATTTTACATGGAGCAAATCTTATTTTATTTATTTAATAAATTATTTCTAAATTTTTTCAATAACTATATTAAAAAATTTTTTATTTAAATATCACAAAGTATAATATAGAAATTAGTTTAGATAATTTTCTTTCATGTTTTTATTCTCAAAACCTAATCATTAAATTAGAAAACTTTGGAAATGTCTTTTAATTAGACACTCAAATTAGTTTAGAGGATATTAATTTTCATAAATAATTTCGAAAAGCAGCAACAGGTTCTTTGAAAATTCAATTGTCTTACATTAAGTGCCCAATCACTATTGCTACATTATTCTTATGCTTATTTTTTTATTTTCCTTATTATTTGGACTCCATTTTCTTAAATATAATTTTGGTCATCAAATTTTTAAATGCCAAAACTTATATTCTAATATCTAAATGTCCACTTTGAATATGATTCGTTAAAAAATAAATAATTAATTCGATAAGGGGAATAAAAGTAATCATAAAGATTTTTATAAATAAAAATTAATGTCCAAAATTAACTTAAAAATCATTATTGCACTTTTAAAGGTAAAATTAGAGTATTGCAATTTAGAAAAATATAAATAATAAAGGGTAGTAGCACATTCATTCTAGTTTTTCAAATATCAATTACTATAAACAAATACTATAAAATAGTCATCGTAATTGAAGAAGAAACTAATTTATTAATCTTAAGAGTGATAGCTTAAACTGAAATCTATAATTTATCAAATTTAGTAGAAGAAATTAATAAAATTTTTTATATACAATAATTTAAGCCTTAAATTTTGATAATTCTTTATTTTTACTAAAATGCTCTAAATAGACTTAAATATTATTTCAAGCGAAGCTAATTTAATTGATTTATTTAATAGTTTCTTTAATGAAAGGAAAACTCTATATATTTTTAAATAATAATGTATTAAAATAAAAACTATGAAATTTTTAAGTTGCCTCATCTCTAATAATACAAATCTAACATTACATTTATTCCTAAATCTCCAGAATATATTAATTAATAGCAACCACAATTATAAGTGAGATTGGAACTTCCTAATTTTGGTATGATGCCTTAGAGAAAATAATAAATTATAAGAAAAAAAACACCTCCTAAAAAGTATATTGATGAGTTCCCAGCTTATTATTTAGACTTATTACCAATACCTCCATTTCTTAAAGAGCCAGAATAAATAAATTATTTGATTTTGCAACATAAAGGGGAGAGGCCAAAAAAAATAGAAATCCAATAATTGCCTTCATTAAGGTAACTTAAAGAAACACCAAAATTGATAATATCTTCTAAAACAACTTCTAACCTTACTAACAAGCCTATCATAAGATCTTTGAATTTATAAGCCTTAGGATCAGATTATTAATAAAAGGAATAAGAAAAATAAACAGATAAATAAAATGGATAATTGGAATAGATAAAGATTCAACAGATCAAGCCTAGATCTAAACAGCTACAAAGATGGATTAAAAGAGTATATCATCTAAAGATATGGCTATCTTTTTATAAATTGCTTATTGAAACATTAACAGCTAAAACTGAAATAATTTTAAAGCAACAAAGAGAAGAATTTGCTTAAAATCTTAATGGAGCTTTAAGACAATTATCTGATTGGACGGATGCAACTTTAGATGAATTGCTACTTGAAATTATAAATTTAAAAGAGCCTTTATATATGAGAGTAGGTGAAGAAAAGTAAAATCAATAAAAAAAAAAAAATATAGAAAATTTATTAGTTTTATGCATGAAAAAGTTAATTTCTGTAAATATTTCTGGTTTTTTCACAAAATAACTTGGAATGATTTTGAACAGATTAATATAACCTTATTAATTTCCTCCTGTATCATTTTACTTTAAATTTGAAATAATCAGACTAAAGCCTACTGTTTCTGGAAGTCTTGGATAAATGGAAAAGAATCAATAAAGAATGATACTAATGCTATTCATATTTATAAGATAAGTTTTATTTGCTTAAATCTTGAGAGCTTGGTAATTTCATCCTAATTAAACAGATAATGATCAATAATTGATGCTAATTTAAGCAAACTCTATTATAATAGTCTCAGTTGTACATGAAATTATTATTAAATGGATAGAAAGAAATGTACCAAAAAAAAGAGGGCTTGATTTAGATATGTTACATCATCANTTTTTAAATAATAATGTATTAAAATAAAAACTATGAAATTTTTAAGTTGCCTCATCTCTAATAATACAAATCTAACATTACATTTATTCCTAAATCTCCAGAATATATTAATTAATAGCAACCACAATTATAAGTGAGATTGGAACTTCCTAATTTTGGTATGATGCCTTAGAGAAAATAATAAATTATAAGAAAAAAAACACCTCCTAAAAAGTATATTGATGAGTTCCCAGCTTATTATTTAGACTTATTACCAATACCTCCATTTCTTAAAGAGCCAGAATAAATAAATTATTTGATTTTGCAACATAAAGGGGAGAGGCCAAAAAAAATAGAAATCCAATAATTGCCTTCATTAAGGTAACTTAAAGAAACACCAAAATTGATAATATCTTCTAAAACAACTTCTAACCTTACTAACAAGCCTATCATAAGATCTTTGAATTTATAAGCCTTAGGATCAGATTATTAATAAAAGGAATAAGAAAAATAAACAGATAAATAAAATGGATAATTGGAATAGATAAAGATTCAACAGATCAAGCCTAGATCTAAACAGCTACAAAGATGGATTAAAAGAGTATATCATCTAAAGATATGGCTATCTTTTTATAAATTGCTTATTGAAACATTAACAGCTAAAACTGAAATAATTTTAAAGCAACAAAGAGAAGAATTTGCTTAAAATCTTAATGGAGCTTTAAGACAATTATCTGATTGGACGGATGCAACTTTAGATGAATTGCTACTTGAAATTATAAATTTAAAAGAGCCTTTATATATGAGAGTAGGTGAAGAAAAGTAAAATCAATAAAAAAAAAAAAATATAGAAAATTTATTAGTTTTATGCATGAAAAAGTTAATTTCTGTAAATATTTCTGGTTTTTTCACAAAATAACTTGGAATGATTTTGAACAGATTAATATAACCTTATTAATTTCCTCCTGTATCATTTTACTTTAAATTTGAAATAATCAGACTAAAGCCTACTGTTTCTGGAAGTCTTGGATAAATGGAAAAGAATCAATAAAGAATGATACTAATGCTATTCATATTTATAAGATAAGTTTTATTTGCTTAAATCTTGAGAGCTTGGTAATTTCATCCTAATTAAACAGATAATGATCAATAATTGATGCTAATTTAAGCAAACTCTATTATAATAGTCTCAGTTGTACATGAAATTATTATTAAATGGATAGAAAGAAATGTACCAAAAAAAAGAGGGCTTGATTTAGATATGTTACATCATCAATTTTTATTTATAGAAAAACCATTAACATAGGATAAGGAGAAAATGGAGAAATAAGGAAAAAAATATTAAGATAATGAATTAATCGAAGGGATATTAGGAAGCAATTAAATTATGAAGTACTTGTAAAATACTAAAGGAGAATATGAAAAGTGGGTGATATAGTTTGAGAAGGATATGATAAATTATTGTGATTAGATTTATGATCATCTAACAAAAGAATTTGAAGAACAACCTAGACAAAGGGATCGAATTTGCAAAATGATGTCAATCCACTATTTAGCATCTTTAATTAGAAAATATTGATAATATTATTCACATACTTTTAGATAAATCAGTTGTGCAAGATTTTCTTTTGCTAAACATATATTTTTAAAAGCTCTTTTTTCTTTGAACAATCTGCTAACTTAATCTTTTATTAACTAAATAATCAAAAGAAGAATTAGCAGTTTTCTACGGAGTAATATTAGTATGGAATCGTTTATCTTTAAGTTTGTTCTATTTTTCAATAGTTTTGGAATTGCTAATTTTCGTTGACTGTTGGGTACATATTTCAAATTGTTTGTAATAATTTAGTTCATCCTTCAACAGTTTAACTTATTAATAGAGTTCCTCATTCTCTTTTTTTAGTTTCTAAGAACTAAATATCGAATGAATAGTACATTCAGAGTTTTTTTTGTATTCTGTAATAATTCATTTCTGTCTTATTCTAACTATTTGATTTAATTTTTCATTTCATCGTACTTTTAATTCATTAGATAAGATTCCTAAAATAATATATATGTAAGTTATACTCTGATATGCACTCTGACTTCAGATTCATATTTCTACAATTGTTTTTCTAATTCCTTGTAATCCTTTTTAATTTTGTTATTTTAAATATGTTCAATGATTATTGTAAGTTGGTGAATTAGGTTTTGTGATTTAACAAAGTTTTAAAAGGATTCTATATCACTGTGATCTGCAACTAGATGGTATAATTTAATTAACAATTAAGACACTGACATATTTATATTAATATATATAGTATATATACAATCATTTCAATCTGGATTTGAGTTTAGCTTAATAATCAAGGTTGTCTTTTTATACTTTTTCAAGTTGTTATGACTTTTCTAGAACTTTCATTCTTAATCTTTCTATTTCCTTATCCTATAATTCACATTTGCTTTGTAATTCGTTTATAGTAATATTGTTCATTTTGACATCTTCTGCAAATTTCTAATATTGTTTATGTTATAGAGCTAAATGTCTATAGTTATCAGCTTATCTTGATAAATCATTGATCAAACTCTCATTTTATTACTTAAGTAAATTGATTTCTTATTCTTTAATTTGAATAACTTCATGAATCTTTTCATCTTCTCTTTCTTAACAATTAGAATTATTATTCATCATCATTTCAATAGTTGATAATTCTTGATCTTTTTAAGCAATAATATTGTTTAATCTATTGCATTCTCCTTCTAACATATTAGTTTTACATTCTAAATCTCTGAAATTATATTGATAAAATTGTTTCAATTCATTTAATTATTTATCTAAATGCTGATTCTCACTTCTTAATTCATGATTTTACTCCTTTTATTAAAGTAATTCCTATTATAAAAATTGAATCAATTTAGCTTTTGATTCTTGAATTTCTCTTAATTCCATTTCCTTATTCTTTTACTCATTTTCTAAATTGATTTGTAATCTTTTAATCAATTCTTAATCTCTTTATTATTAAGTTTGAAGTAAACATATTTATTCAGCTTATTTTCCAGTTAATAATATTAAATCATCAACTCTTGATTATAATTAAGTTTTATGTTCTTAATAAGTACAACTGACATGTTTGAAATCATTTTCTAATTCTTTTACTCTACTGCTTAAACTGGAAGCTAGAATAGTTTTGTTATCAGCTACATCCTTCAATTTTTTCACAGTTGATAACAAATCAAGATTTTAATCTTTTTGAATCTGAAGTTTAGATTTCAATTCATTTAGATATTATTCCTAAGAATTTATAATAGTTTATTATTTCATCAAAGTAAATTCTTAGTCTTTTGATTATAGGTCAAATTAAGAAATAGCTTATTCCAACTTTTCTTCTAAAGCATTATTTATCTACTTTACTTAGATCAACTCATTTTCCTATCCTATAATATAGAATTTTTACCAAAACTTAGACTAAATTCTAATTGTTATTTTCAACACTTGAAATCTTAGAAAGACTTTATTATAACTTTGCTATTTCCTACTTGTATTACATAGTTTCTTATCTTAAACCTTATCTATGGTTGATCTCCTATTGTTCTAATTAAAATTTTAAGGTAGCCACATCCTATTTCCAATTTATATCTAATTATCTTAAGGCATCTGAATGAGTCTTCTCCTATACTTCATTTTTATGTTACAGTAACTCCAATTGATTCTAAAAGATATTTATTGATTTAATTACTTTTAGGTCTTCATTCTCAGCAAGAACCTTTTGATTTTCCATAGTCATTGATATGGATGGCTATTATTTAAGACGATCTTTCAATTTTTGATTCTCACCTTACAATCTATCTATTTCTTTAAGGAATGTCTCGATTTCTGAAATTGACTTGCATGATTTATCAGGGTTTCTCTCTATTGAATTAAAAGATTATAGTGGTTATCTGATGTTCATTTTTGTTAACGGATAAAATTAATTAATATTAAATTAAAAATTTTATTCACATATATATACAAATTAAAGGTGGGGGGTGAATTGCTCTATCACATTCCAACTCTGCTAATTATTTGAATGTTATTTTAATCTCCACTTTATTTAACTTTATATCCGCAACACTTTGCCTTTATTGAATTCTATTTCAGAATATAATTTAATTTTATACTGCTGCCAATTTATTTCTTATCAACTCATCCTTAAAAGTCTTTCGATGAGCAAAAAGTATTGTCTTAGCAGATGAATACTTTATTCCAGCTTTTTAGGCTGCCTAATAAAGAATTTAAACAAAAACTTTACATCCTGGATTTTATAGCTTTCAAATAAAAAGAGCTGGAGGAACAATAATTTTGCCTCAGAACTAATGTAAGTGTAATTTCTTGGCTTTTACTCAAGTTTTCTCTTTTTTGTAAAGTGGCGATGCTTTATAAAGGTGAATTATGTCTAGTCAACTGATGCCATGACGTAATCAATTTACTATGAAATTATTAAAAAAATTATTTGTTTAAAATTATGAAAAGTCAATTTTCTTAAAAATCATCTAATTATTTTATAATAATTATTAAGATTAACAAATCATTACATTCATTTTAACTTTATTAATATAATAAAGGATTTTCTTTTATCATTTCATTCATTATTTTAAATTAACAAATTTATAGATTATTTCTGAAATTCTTAATTTATTTCTTCATCAATGTAAACACTATAATTAAAATAAAAAATATTAATGGTATATAGGTATTATTATCTCTTTCTAAATACATTTAATTAAGTAAAACTAATAAATAATTATTCTTATGAATTCAATATTAATTATATATATATATATTATATATAAATAATTTAAGAACTGAATTATTAAAATTTCCGTTTTATTGTTGTATACGAATCATTAATTTTTTCCTTAATTATTCGAAGCTTCTTCTAATATCTTAATCTCTTTTAAACATATTTCTAATAAATCAAATGATAAAATAACTTTTAAGATTTTAGCATTTTTCGTCAGAAGGGTTAAATTTTAATACTCGATCAATTAATTCTAATGCTTCTTTTGGCTATAATTACTTCCTTAAACATTAACCTTAAATAAAATTTTCAACTTACTTAATCCTAGTAAACAAACCACTCTATTTTTATCAATCTAAAGTGCTTTTTCATAATAACTCTAAGCTTCTGAATAATTCTTTAAAATTCGTAAGCTTTCTCCTAAAATTTTAGATAATATTATACCTAATCCAGATAATGAAATTAAGTCATTCTTATTTATTTCTAATGATTTCTTATAATAAATAATTGAATCTTCATATTTTCCTAAGCCTCTTAGACTTTCAGCTAAAAAATAAAGAATAAATAAACCTTTTCCAAATAATGATAAAGCGTGATTCTTAAAGCCAAAGCTTAATCATAAAAATTTATTGATTTTTGAAATTCTCCTTTTGCTCTTAAAATGTCACCTAATTTAATAAAAGAAATTAACCTAATCCTCTTAAATTCATAAAGATAATCGGATCTTAACTTTAAGATTCTTCCTTAGCTTTTGTCAAGGATTCCATATAGAATTCTTCAGCATCTTTAAATTGTTTTAACATTCTTAAACATTCTCCTATAAAAATATTTATTATTTAACCTGCTCCATATAATGAGATACTATTTCTATTTAATTTTAAAGCTGTTTCTAAAGTTTACAAAGATTCACCAAATTTAAGCAACAATCTTAAACAATTTCCTTTACCATTTAATGATTGAATATCTTTTGGGTCCTTTTCAAGAGCTTATTCATATAATTTTAATGCTTCTTCATAATTTCCATTTTTTTTAAAGTATCAGCTATGTATTACAATATATAACTTACCTCTATTACAATAATCTCGAACTAATTTTCTATCGAAAGAATCAGAACGTTTGATTATTTTGGTAGGATTATTTGGCAACTATTAGAATGATTTAAAAAATTCGTTTTTAGATTCTTAATTAGGAACTCTACAATTTGAAAGATGATAGACTTTTTCCCCTCCTATTTTATAATGTGTTATTTACCTCTATTTGAAAGAATATCTATTTAAATGAAATTTTCTTATTTTTCATCTGTATTTTGATCAACCTAAGTTTAATAAAGCTTCTTATTTTTCTTCAACTCAGCTAAACATAAATCTAAAATTTAATATCATTTTGGAACCATGTTCTTTTTTTGAGTCTCTATGATTTGGATTAATTTCAAGAACTTTAATGTAACAATCATCAGCTTATTAATAATTATAAATATTTCTTAAGCAATACCCTAAGATAATTCATTTATTAAATTACCTTTTCCATATAAGGAGATTATGTTTTTCTAATCCATTTCCAAAGCTTTATCGTATTATCCAATAGCTTCTAAAAATGACCCCATATGCCTTAAGCATTCACCTTAAATATAATTTAATAAAAACCTAATCCTACACGAGATACTATATTCTTTTCATCAATATTGACTACTTTCTCATAACATTTTTTGGATTCTTCATATTCTAAAAGCATTCTTAAGCATTCACCTAAAAATTTTATGATTTTCTTACCTTTTCCAATTAATGATGGGATATCATTTTTCTCAAAATACAAAGCTTTGTCATAATATGGAATAGCCTCTAAGAACTCTTATATCAATCTTAAGCAATCTCCTATTCCTCTCCAACAGATTAAATTTTTTTGATCAAATTCTAAAGCCTTATTGTAATTAGTAATTGATTCTTCATACTTTTCTTAAATTTTTAATGATTCAGCTAAAAATTTTAATTTTATTTTTAACCTAATTATATATAATGATCAATAGAACACTTTCCTTCTTATGTAAATTCAATATTTTTATTAATTTCTTATATACTCCTTATTGATTCAACATTTGTAATGTTACTTCCGATACTCTCATATTATTTTTTATCTATTTGATTATTTATATCTTCAATTTTTTATAAATTTGAGCTATTCTCTTGATAAGCATTAACAAATTCAATTAATTTTTTGATTTATCCTACATATGTGTCGCTAATATTTTTCATGGTGGTTGCGATATGGTTAGATATTTTTTCGAATTTTACAATTTTATTGAGCAATTAATTATTTTGAGGTGATAATGTGAATTTTATAGAATTTTATTGATGAATAACTTGCTTTAATTGTTAAATTAATTCTGGTATAGAAATAGATAGGGACTCTAAATATTTTTCTAATTCCTAATTTTATAAGATCTGTTTGTCTAAATGGAGTCCAACTTCTTTAAGGTTTAATTATTTTTAATGATGTTTATGAATTTCAAATTATAAACACTTATCACAAATCAATCGTTATAAAGAGCAATTTTAATCTAAACAAACATATTTTATTATGCTTTGATGATTTTCTAATTAGCAAGTTAATTCTAACTAGCTAGTTAATACTGACTATTATTATTGCTATGACATAAATATTATATTATTAAATCTAAATATAAATGTCTTAAGTTATAGAATATATATTTTTAAGAGCATTTCATTTTTGTAATAAATTAATTCAATAATATTTATTAAATGTAAAATAATACCATAGTATGTCCAATTCATTTAGAAAATTAAGCAACATATATTTGTTAAAATGAGAGTTGCATAGAAAAAAGGTTATATTGTCATACATGTTTTCAAAGCAACAAACATTTTATTAATCCCAATAAACATCTTGTAATTGATCGATTATCAGACATTTTGGAAGAATCACGAAATGATTGTGATCGCCTTGTATAATATATTGAAACAGCATTTCAAGATATTATCTAATTTAAAAAATATTTAGTTTAAGCTATTAGAAGGAAATATTATATTTAATTAGAATAATTCAATACAATTGATCTTGAATCTAAATGTTAAATATTAGATAATTTAATAAAATTTAAAGAAGACTCAAAAATTATTGAACAAGTTTTGGATTATCCTTTCAAATCCATAATATACCATATTTAAGATGGTATAAAATAAGTTCGTTTAGAATAAGTAACTTATCTACAATAAATAAGTGAATAAGAGCTTCAATAATTTCAAACTTATTTAAATGAAAGTAAATTATTAACTTAGAATAATAGGTTAGGAATTAATTTAATTTAATCGTATAGATTAATCTTTAGAAAAAGTAGATAGAGCATTACTAATAAATCCAAGAAATTTAGATGCTCTTAACTTAAAAGGTTAAATTATTTTCATAATTTTAGGCAATATTTTAATGAAACTACATAGATTAAATGAAGCTTTTTAACAATTTAATTTAGCTTTATAAATTGATGAATTTCATATTAAATCAATGCTTTCATTAGGTAAATAATAATTATTATTTAGGTTTTTATTATATTCAAACTAATTAAAGAGAAAAGGCAATGTAATAATTTATTAGAGTAGCAGAAATTGATATTGGTAATCAAATAGCCTTAGATTAAGTGAATCAATTGTGATGAGTAATAATTTTATCACAATTTTAATTCTATATTTATTATCATGTTAAAATATATGAGAGTTTTGCTTCTTATTAAAAGAATAAAATAGAAATATATTAAATATTATATTCTGATTAAATTTATATATATTATAAATTAAAATCAAATTTGATTGGATGAGTCAATTTAGATAAGAAGATAATTAAAAATAAGAGATCTAAGATGATAATCTAATGTTTTATATAATTTTAATTTTATAGAAGGCAAATACCTAACTATAGTAGGTTTCTACCTATAGCAAATATAAACAGGATCATGAAAAAGGCACTTCCTGAAAATGCAAAGATTGCTAAAGATGCAAAAGAAACAGTCTAAGAATGTGTTTCAGAGTAATGAATAAATAAATAAATAGATTCATTTCATTTATAACATCAGAAGCTTGTGAAAAATGTAAGAATGAGAAAAGAAAGACAATAAATGGAGAAGACTTATTGTATGCCATTAATACATTAGGTTTTGAAAGTTATGTAGATATATTAAAACTCTATTTAAATAAATATAGAGAGGTATGACATACATTAAATTGGATAGGCAGTTAAAGCGGTAGAGGGTACTACAGGAGCAACAAATTAAAAAAGGAAAAGGTAAAATTCATCAGATGATGATGAAGAGGATGATGAAGAAGATGAAGAAGATAATGATGATGATGATCAATCGTGAACATTTATTTAGATATAATGTTAATAAGTTTATTTATTCAATTCTAATGGTCATTTTAATTAAATAACAATATTCATGGTTTAACATTTTTTATTATTAAATTTTCTATAGAATTGTCAGTGTTTTTAATCATATATAGTATACTGTCCAAACAATCTCTTAATATAGTATAGAAATCTAAATCATTAATTTTTAATGACATTCTACTTAACTACATATTATAGTACTCATCTTTGTAATTAGTCATATAGTATTTTTTGATTTATGAATGTAATTGTTATAGTGAATTTCGAATTTCATTACTAATAATTTATAAATTTTAGCATTTTAGATAATTAAGTGAAGTTTGTATTTGATTCTTTTCATATTTCAGTTATTCATTATCTTTAATTATTAATTGACATTATTCTTCTAATTTTTCCATTTAAGGTTAGAGATTATTAAATTAAGTTAGCTATTTCATTAAACTTTTATTTTACAAATCCAATTGTGTAATTTTATTCTATTATTCTCTAATAATGCCATCTTTTTATAATAATATAGTTAGTAGTTGCTTTTTTTCTCTTTAAATTTATTCAAGTATTAGTGTATAACTATGAGTTTAAGTTAATTTTTTATCTTGTTATTAATGCTTAATTTCTGGTTTAGTAAAAGTAGTTGAAGATTTTTTTAATAGATCATCGATCTTGGAATTGACTTCAGTTAAACGGGAATTGCTTTAAGGTGTTTATATAGTAGTTAGAGGATTAGATCTAAATGATAAGTTGGTTAGATGAGTTGAAGTAGATCTGGAAAACTTCATTTAGGGGTTGTTATAATTTGTATTTTAATTTATAATTGAATTATTTAAGGATGTGCGATAATATTGATATATTAATATATATATATTAATAGGTGATTAAATATATAAAATAATGAATTTCACAATAAATGAAATACGAAAATCAGGGACTCATGTAAAATAATTTATTATGACAGACAGAAGAAGAACTCAATCAATTAACATTAGATGAGAACATGGGAGAGTTGAGAAGAGCATAATACATACTATAGAAAGGTCATCCAATTTAAAAATATGCAGTATGATAGATAGTAATTAGATTTATTCAAACATCCACAGATTATTTAAGGTGAGTGGATTTAGTTTATTGTTTCCTATAATTAACGAGGATTTAGTGAAATAAGATGAAGACATGATTGCAATAGCTATTAAAGAATTGTTGATGATTGCAAAATAAATGAAAGAGAAGGAATAATAGATGTTACTTAATTAGACATTTTATTTTATGAAGAATTATAATTTGAAATTATCTGAAGGTTGGTTTGAGTTATTTGAAATGTTGTATTGTTGTGATATTCATAATTCAATCAAATTGATAAATGAATTAACTGATATTGATGCTGATACACATTGGCGTTAAAGAGGAGCTCGATTATTATAGTATATACCATAAATAGAGAGAATATAATTACTTTGTATGGATAAGGATCCTTAAGTAAGATTTTAAATTGTGAAAACAATATAGATAGTATACTGTACTTTTACACCTGAGAAGTTTAGTACTTATTTATAAATGAAGGTATATAAATCATATTACAATAAAGATTTTTGAATTGATTTATGATTATGAAGTATAAGTAAGAATGGCAGCAATTGAAATGTTTTTTATGGTTTAATCTCATTTATAAGATAGGGAAAAAATGATTACAAAATAATTCTTTGAATTTCTAAGTTCCCAGAATGTATAAATTATAACAATAATGTCAAGAATATGTGGAAAAGTATTAATGGAAATAATGGATGTAAAACCTGATATTTAAAAATTTCTAAAAGTGTTCATATCATTTGCTGATAATACAAATGAAGAATATAGAATTAACTTTGCTTACAATTTTCCTGCTATTCTCCAAATTTTAAAGGGTGAATGTTATGATTAACTAAAAGATACTTATTTAAAATTAATGCAATTTGATACATCTATTTAAGTCAGGAACTTACTCTTGGCAAGCATCCCAGATGTTATCTCTACTTTGAAAATTCATAAGACTCAATCATTAATACCACTTATTCGTAAAATGTTAGATCATCAAATAATATAATACAATCTCTATTCAATTATCTATGCTCTTTGGCCAAGTTATGATTAACAAGAATAATTGATTTTATCAGTAATAATTAATTAAAATAATATAGAAAATGTTAGTGAATGATATCTTAATAGATTTAGTGAAACAATTAAATTTTAAGGCCAATATTGTGTTATTAGAATAATTACTAAAGTAAAATTACATTATATATACAGAGACTTCATGAGTTCTTTTAATAATGCGATGCATATCTATTATTATTATGTCCCTTATAAAACTTATTATCAGCAGATTCCTCAACTGTTCGAACTCTAGCAACTTAGAATATAGCATATCTTGCTTATCATGATTAGTAATTAAAATATATAAATGTTATAGATCTATTAATAGTTAAATGATAAACCTATGTATGAATAGTCACAAATTTAGAATGCGTATCTGTTATATTGATTTCATATCTTAAACTATTGATCTATGTTCTAAAAGATATTTTCATGTGAATAATTTCATCAACATATTGGCACTTAGTTAGGATAAGATCTTTGATGTACGTATTAAACTAAGTCGTATCATGAAAAAGATATAAACAATCATTTTAGATAATGATGAAACTGCATGTATTGCATATGATAAAGCAATTAAATATCTTTAAAGGGAACCAATTATCAATGAAGTAATTTAGTAATTTAAATTAATATAGATTCTTAAATAGAATGAATCATTATAATTTTCCTTTGGAGATGATTTATTAAAAGAATAAAAAGAACATTTGTGTTTTGCTAGAATTTCAGCAGATGATATTGATGCTATTGAAAAAAATGATCATACTGGATCTATTTCACCATTTATTATTAAATCTAAAAATGGATATGGACATAGTAGAAAAAGATCATCAATTACTCGTTAACCTGTTAATAGATCTTAACCAAATGCTTCATTTACTTAAAAACTTACTCAAATTTCAACTAAATACAATCCTATCAAAATTTCAGAAGATATGAGTCGTAGAACTTCTGTTCCTCCAGTACCTGGTAGAAAATTACAACTCACTTTAAAACCAACCAATACTCAATTCAAACCAAAATTAAATTAATAACGATTGAGAAAATGAATAATATATTATTATTAAATGGACTCTGCACCAAAAAAGAAAAAGTCTGTCTCTTCTAAATAAGACAAATCCCAAGCTGGTAGTGTTAAATCTAAAAAGTAATAACCTCTTGGTGAAATTTTGGAATAATAAAGTATACCATAATTCAAATGTTAGATTCATAACATGATATTCAAATTGATGATCATCCATAATAAGCTGATCCCTTTATTTCTCAACCTCCTTAACAACAAATCAAAGTTTGCATTCATCACAATCTCCCATTCCAGTTTTTCTGTGAAGCATGTGAAGATCCTATATGTTAACAATGTACAATCTTAGGCCCTCATAATACCTAATTACATAGAATTAATAGATTAAGTGATTCTTTCAAATTACGATGTGCTAAAATTGAAGAATCCATAAAAGCAAATCTATTAGGGAAAAGAGAATAACTGTTAGCATAAATTCATAGAGTAAATTAACTAATCATTCTGTTAGATAGAATACAGAATTGAAGAGATTAAATATGTCAAAACTATCATTGAGAGAGATGCAAGAGCTGAATTTGGTGGTGTTTTAGAAAGATTAAAATAGAGTGAAGGATAAAAATTAGCAATCTTAAGTCATGAGATATCTGAATTATAAAGGTATTAATATTTATTATCATATTTAGAGATTTAGATAAAATTAATGAAGTAGGATCTTAATTTTATGATCTCAAAGAAATTCCTGATCCTTGTCCTTTCCTTCTTAAATCAAGAAATATTTATGATTAAATAGAATATATGGTTGCAAAACCATTTAAAGTTTAAATTGAAGTTTATCCATATGATTTACCAAGAGAATTAACTGAATTAAGATTGCAATTATAGAGAGCATCTGCTTAATAATAATTGATTGAATTCAAGAATGAAATTATATGGAAATTATTGAGTGAAAAATAAATAGATGAAGAAGCTATTAAGTAATTATATATCAATATAAGTTTATTAGATAAGAATTGGAAAGATAAGCAAGTGAAGAAATAAATGAATGGAGTAAATTAGTAGATAAATTCTCAATGGAATTAAGAAAATAATAATTAGTATGTTATTATTGTGGATGTAAAATGGAAAAATAATATGTTAATTCAATCTGTGTATAAAACAGATAAGAATAAGATTGTAAAATCTATTTAAGAATTTAGATGATAAAGTATTTTGTAATGAATAACCACCATAAAACCATCATGGAACTAGTAGACATTACTTTGCAGATCCAATTTTATGAATATATATTCTATCTATTGATTTGTTTAATATTCATAAAAATTTATTCTATATCAAATTAAAATAGCTTTTTTGTTCATTTTAAAGATTATTCTATAAAACATATTCAAAATTACATTGAATATATTAAAAATTTTATAAAAATATTAAAATTATGAATATATATACAATTATAGAATTTATTAAACTCTCTGAATAAAGAGGTATAGAATTACTTATTGATACTTTGATTATTGGAATAGAAATAGGAAGAAAAAACATTGAAAATCAAAATCAAATTAAATTAATGGTTGAATAACTAACAACACTGAAAAAAAAAATTGATTTAAACATCTACTCACCTTTTTTAAGGGATGAGATATTTGATAGAGTGCTTAATAAGAATGAGAAGGTATAATAAAATATCAATTCTTAAAGTTAGATGATATTCTTATTGATTTACAATTAGAGTTTCAAAGACAATCAAAGATAAAATAATAAAGTAATATTTGTGAAATTTGTAATCAACCTATCAATAACTTAAATGAAAAATTTAATGCTTAATGCAAACATCAATTTCACTAACAATGTGTGACTCCTTTGATTCAGGCTATTGGAAATAACAATTGCTTTAAATGTCCTTTATGTGGTTATACTACCTTACAATAGGAATTGGAAAGACAAATCAAAGACAATCACAATATAAAGAGATCATGTTGTCCTACTCCATAATGCACTAAATAATTTTCATATTTAGGATAAGAAATATATAGATGTTAAGAATGTGGAAAGAAATATTGTTTAAAATGTCAATCATAGGGTCATTTAGTTAATCAATGTAATAATTCTATAAAAACTGCTAAATTTGAAATGGGTGATAATTATAAGGAATGTCCAAGGTGTAAATTATGGGTCAAATAAATAAATGATGAAAAAACATTGCATTGTACTTGTTAATACATTTTTTGCTTTGGTTGTGGTTAGAAAGAAGGAACTTGTAGTTGTAATAAAGCTCCTGTAGGTATTTTTCAAAGTTTAGCTTGGATTAAAAGAAAGATTATAGGATGATATGATAATCTATATATAATTTTATGATTTGATCTTCTTTTTATTAATCAATTTTTAATAATAAATGAGTTTTTAAGGGTTTTTAGTGAAGAAAACAATTTAACAGTTTCCTATTCGATAGAGACCTGTTTATTACGAAGACTACACAGATTAAAATTTGGTGCTCTTTATTAATAAGAAATTGGCTGATTTAAGATGTATTGTTTAGAAATAGTAGTTAAAAGTGGCAGCAACGATCTATCGGCAAAGCGCATCATGAATTTAAAGATTAAGATTCCAAAGGATAAAAATACTGATGGCCCAAAGATTAAGAGAAAGGCTTCTCTTAAACAAAAAACCGTCTCTGCAGATGAGTAAGAAAAGAAATGTAAGTACAAATTCCGATCTCCTTAAACAAAACCTGAAGTAAAACTTGCTTCTTAATTAAATGATGAATTACTCAAATAACATTAAATCTCATAGTTATTCCAAGAATACAAGCTAGCAAATTTGAAGGCAAATCTAGTAAAATTGAAATCAAAGTAAAACTATGAATTAAATGAATTGAATCATATAGAGTTGGAAGATGATGAACAAGTTAAGTTCTTTTTGTAAGAGATTTGTAGGAATCATCCTGAAATTGAAGTTAGTCAATTACTATAGGTAGATGTTGAAAAGAAGTAAATGAAAACTGAGAGTAAAAAATAAACATTGTAAGAATTAATTGAGAAAAGAATTAAGTAAGAACAAAATGAAAATTTGGTGAAGATGGAACAACAATATTAAAAGAACTTAGTCAATATCTACAAAGAAACTAGATATGATTAATTTGAACCTGAATTTAAAAAGCAAGGATAAATCAATATTTGTAAAATAAAGAAACAGAAAGAAATTTAAGATAAAATGTATTCTGAGATATTTAAAATAAAACATCCTACATCTGAACATAATAATAAATAATAATATTTTCATAGACAATATATAACTCCTAATAAAAAACATCAAACAGCCAAATCATAATAATTATAAAACAATATCTTTCTTTCTTAACCAGATACTATTTAAATTACTCCTTAAAACTCAATTTTACATGAATTCAAAGTAAGTCCCCTCACTACTTCTGTTGGAACTTACAGTGATATCAAGTCTCCTCTGAATTCTTATAGGAAAAATGATTTCAGTTTAAAATTGAAAACAATAATGGACAAATGTGATATCATTGAAATAGAATAAGCTAAACAAAATGAAATCATTAAAAAAAAAATGAATAAGATGGGAAAAGAAATCTATTAACATTTTGAAACTGCTAGAAATAGATATTAAAATTAAGAAATGGAAATTGATGTCAATGAAGGTTTTGAACGATTCTTATAAGAAAATCAATTTAAAAGAAAATTAATATAATATTAAGTGAGTTAAGTTCAAAATCTTCATGAAGTTCTAAGTTAGAGAGCCAAAAGAGAAATGACTAATAATTTTATGGGTACAGATTTAGACAAAAGACAATTAATTTGATATAAGAAATAAAATTATTTTATAATAATCATAATGAATACAAGTTAAATGTCTGAATAAAGTTCAGATGATAGTGATGAATCACCTCAATTAATTTAATAAAATAGATAAAGAAAACATCTTTCAGTGATTGATATCCTAATTGCTACATTATAAATAGAACCAAAATAAAGAACTTGGCAATAATTGAAGTTTCTTTGTGATACTCTTGAATAAAATGTCCATTACTTTTCTTAATTACGTAATAAACTTACAACTTCAATTCTTATAAAATTAATGGCTACCATTTCACTTGAATAGTTTACTACATTTAATGTAGTGTTTAATTAAGGAGAAACTGGAAGAAAAATGTACATCATATTAAAAGGTGAAGTTGCAGTGCTTATAAAAACAGATGATTAAAATGAGATAATTCAAAAGGAAGATCATAAACGAAGAAGTAAGTTCATTTAATAATTAGGGGCAACCAAAACATTCGATGAATTGATATTACATAGATTTTCAAACTATAGAATTGTAGCCTATAAAAAATAATATGATTATTTCGGAGAAATAGCAATAGAATAAAGAATTCCTCGTACAGCTACAGTGATAGCGAAAGAGCCTTGTATATGTGCAATAATTACTTTTGATGCTTATTAATCTTTACTGAGCGAATTATAGGCTGATCATTTGTAATTGAGATAGGTTGTGATAGCTAGGATGTATCCCTTTAGTATATTGAATGAATAACAGTTTTAATAGATTTTGCATAATTATGAAGAACTCAATATACAAGGAGGTTGTTTACTATATAGAGAATAATAGATTGCAGATGCATTATATCTAGTGATTAAGGGAGAAGTGTTAGTGTAGATTAAAGAATTAGTTGATAATGCTGCAGCTTAGATTCAAGAATAGAAATATTTTGTTAATTTTTAAAAGTAACAGAGAATAAAAAATATTGGTCTATTTGGAACAGGATAAATTGTAGGAGATTATGAATTGTATTTAAATAAGAAATACAAACATAAATTGATACGAAAAACAATATCAATAGTTAAAAGTGATTCTAGAATTATAAGGATTCCTATCAAATAATTTGTAGATGTAATAGAACATGGATTATCAGCAAAATGGTTATTACGTTATTTAAATGATAAGTATGAATAGAAAGAATAATTACCAATATTATAATTGAAAGATGAGTAAGAGAATAGAAAAGTTTAGTCATTCATATCACCTTAATTCAAGAAAATGATTCTTCGTTTGAAGAAACATCATGATCACAATAAAATATCAAGTGATAGATATTAATAGGTCAATTATAAATAAAGTTTAGAGGATGGTAATACAGAATAATAATTTATTGGATTAAAGAAGGAAATCAATTATTAAGATAAATCATTACTTAAATATTTAGCTAAAGATTAGATTTTACATAAGAGAAAGAGCAATACTCTCACTAATTTTAGTATTGAAAAGTTTGCCTCAACTTTAAAATCAAGAGTTAAATTCACAAAATTATTAACTCAAATAGATGAAGAGTCAAGTTGTTACAGATTTCATTCTACTCCAACTAAAACAAATGGGTTTTCATCTAAATAGATTCAAACTCTAACTAATATTCAATCTCCATAATATAAATTCAATTAAACATTCAAAATGAATTGACTATTATTTATTTATCAATTTATGTATAAAAAATAATCAGCTAGACCTGAATCATCTAAACCTAGTAAATTATAGATTGCTGTAAACTAATTAATAGAACAATAAGAATAACCAGAACAAATGGTAAATTGAACACTTATAATTATAAGTTACTAAAAAAGATAACCAATCTATGGTCAAATAAATAAAGTTCTGAACATGATCAGAATATCTAATATCAACGATGTTTGTATATCTTGCAATTAGAACCAGAAGATAGATCACAAAGTTAAGCTAAATAAATTTAAGCGTATTTTGAGAAGCATTTCCATTACATAGGGTATGAATTTGTAAATATAAAAAGATAAATACGAGGATAATTATCACCAGAACTTTATTTAAAGTTATTCAAGAATCTCTTATTTGAGAAAGTCAATTAATTTGAATTAGTATTTAGTTATGGTGAAAAGGGAAGAAAGATGTATTTTATTTTGGAAGGTGAAGTAGGTATTTTACTACCTTAAGAAGATGAATCAAAAACTGAACGTAAATTAGATCGTAATTAAATTACTAATAATGTAAGTGTCGGCAATCAAAAGATTTGATGAGTTATTAGTGCACAATTACAGTAATCATAAATTAGTTGCCATAAAAAAGAAATCAGATCATTTTGGTGAAATTGCTATTGAATAAAGAGTTCCTAGAACAGCTACAGTAGTTGCCAAAACAGAATGTGTATTTGCTACATTATCTTATGATGCATATTAAAGTGTTCTTGGATTATTACAAGAATAAATAATGAAAAGAAAATTCGAAATTATTCGATCCATTCCTCCCTTTAAAAATTGGTTACATACTTCTTAATATGTTTTTTTACATAATTGTGAGGAACACATCTTTGAAACAAATAATATTATATACAAGAGATTTAATAAATGTGATTCAGTTTATTTGATCATAGAAGGAGAAATCTTAGTTTAGAAATGGGAATAATATAGATTAGATTCTTAAGAGAATGAAGTATTTATACCATAAGGTGAAAAAATGACAACTTTGGGTAGATATTCAAATGGTTAAGTTGTAGGGGATTATGAAGTTTATTTAACTAAAATGCAATAAAATTATGTAAAAAGATCTTCTTAAGCAAAATGTATGATTAGAACTTCAGTTTTAAGAGTGCCCATTCAATAATATATAGAAAATATGCGTAATAATTAAAGTGAAGAATGGTTATAATAATATTATGAAGATAAGTTTAATAAGAAATGGATTAATTATGAAAGTGTAACATCACTTCAAAAAAGTTCATCTGTTCCAATTAAAAATTAATATATTCTGCCAAATGCAAATTAGAAAAGTACTCATATTCTACGCAAGATTTCATAGCCTTGTACTTCAAAATTTATTGAATGCTCTTCTAATTTTAATGAGAATCAGGTGATTACATATTCATAAGATTTATTGAATCTTATGAAGTAGAATCGCAAATATAGAGATAATTCTCAAAATTAAAAAAATGGTTAATCTATTCATTCTTCTTATAATGTTATTTAAAATTTAAAAAATAAGATTTTAAATTATTAAGATAGATTTTAATTAGAAAGTAGAAGTGGAGTGTAATCTTAGAGTATATTTGATAGAAAGAGATGCCAATCTCGTATAGATATTGATAGTTTTTAAACATAATTTCTTTTAAAACCTAGTACTTGTTTATAAAAGAAACGAACAAAATTCAAAAGTATTCATAAGTTTGAAAATTTGTCTAAAGTGATTAAAATGGGATCTTGATTACTTTATATAATTTTATCTTCATTTATAAAACTTCAATGATACATTCAGAAGAAGAAAGTATTAATAATAGTTTTACACCTGAATCGTAATATTCATTCATTATCGATAGACAAGACTAAAACCATGAAGAGCATAAAAATAAAGACTCCAAAAAATATGCCATTATTGATTAATCAATTCGTATTCAATTACTACGACGTATAATTTCCAAATAGGCAACAATAAAGGATGCTGCTAAAGAATTTGGAGTTAATTTTTCAACTGCTAAAGCAATTTTACAAACTTATAGGAAGGAAGGAAGAATAGGAAAGAAAAAAACTAGAGAAAGAAATAAGAACAGATAGGAATCTGGAGAAAATAGTTCCCCTAGAAAGATTTAATCAATGTATAATTTAGAATAGCCTCAATACATGAGACCAATCTCTCCAGAACGTAAACCTTAAGCTCAAACCATTTAACCTATATTTCCTGTGATGAGCTCTCCTAATTTAGACAATGCAGGAGCTTAAATAGCATTGGCACTCTGTTAAAGGGAATTAGCTCAATAAAAATTAATTAATTTCTAATTAATGATGATGATTCAAGTAACCTAGAATCTTTATTAATTTAGAACTTCAAAAATATTTCATAATAATAAGTCAAAGAAGAACCCAATATAATTAATTGAATTATTAATATATATATATATATTATTTATTTATCATATTATATATACAACATTAATCATCATTATTATTATTATTATTATTATGGAGCTCTTTCTGCTGATTATAATTCCTCTAAAGAAATTAATAAAATTAATAATTACCTATAGGCATTTTTTTTACAAAAAATAACATTAACACAGTTATTGCAATCATGAAGAAATATTAATTTTGGTAAATAGATGACAAACTTAATTCTTCCTCTTTCTATTAATATAAATTATATGATTTTACTTCAAAGTAATCTTTTCTTTAAATGATCTCAAATAGCATTTAATCTCTTGTTTGTATTCTTTATTACTTGTTTTATTATTATTATTATTTAGGTCTTTATCTTGAAATAGGATGTATTTTTGAAACTGCAACATTTGTACCTTTATTGCTTGTGTATACATCAATAAATGCGGATTCGTAAACAAAATATCTTGAATGGACTTCTAAGAAGTATCTTCCATTTGGAATATTGTAACTAACATTAATTTAAAGGAGTATACAATGCAAATATTCCATTCTTTTAGGTGTGTGTTTCATATTATCCATAATTGAGTGTTACTTTAAGAATAGGATCATCATGTACAAATTCTCTTTGTAATTCTTCAATAAATAAGGAAGACGATGTTACATTACAAGATTTTGCCTTCAATTTTTGATTAGGCAGAAAAAACAATCATGGGAAAAGCAACGAGCAGCATGAGATTAAAAATGGCCATTTAATATATAATATTTATTTGTTATAATTTGAAAATGGAACTATGAATTAGAATTTAGTAATCTATATATATATATATAGTAAGTGTTAGACAGAAGAAGAATAAGAGAGATAATGAGGGTATGAAAAAATAATAAGATTGGAAAAATTAATAAATATTTAGTTTCGAATTAGAAACTAGCAAGCTAAATGTTTAAAAAAAAACAAGATATTTATATTGTGAGAATATTTTATTGATGCAGAAATAAAATTTGAAGGAAGAAATGATTTAGATATAATAACTAATTATAATAGAGTGATTGCTTATAAGATAAATTAATATGTATATATATATATTTTAAATAAGATTTTGAGTAATATATTTAAAAGGAATATAAAATTGAAAGTTTTTAGGATAGAATAGAAAGTAGATAATTGTTGATAATATTCTTTATTTGATATTAGATCTAATGAGGATATAAATGATGAAATATTATAAAAGACATAAAGAAGAAAGTAATTAAGTGCAATCTTTTCATAATAGAGAAAAAGAACAATATGATTCATCGTTTACTTGTTTTAAATAAATATATATATAATAATAATAATATATATTATAGAGATATGAAATGTTCGACAGTTGAAATTGATGATGATGACACTCTACTTGAAAATCGAGATGGCTCCATTATACAGCGTACCAATTGCTGCTTACAACACTAGTCGAACCATATTCAAATGATGCCCAAATACATATCACTCAAAGAAATGTAGATAGTGAAGATGAAGGTTCCCAAACTGACTCTTTGGATGAATAAATTGGATAGGCCATTCCTTCTCTTGTTAATTCCATTCTTGAGATGATGCTCAAATAACAACTTACAATTCTCATAATCGTAATCCTTCATGCCATTCTAAATACTATCTTTACATTTTTGGGTGTTTGTTTTAGACAAGATACAATCAATAAATTACAAACATTATTGGATTCCCAAGAGCGAGCTGAGTAATTATATTGGTTTCTAACTATAATTGACATTGTTAGTTGCCTCATCTTCTATTATTTAGCAATATCAGCTTATAGAACTAAATCCTATTTGATGTATCAATTATTACTCAAATGGGTATATTATTGTTTCTTTATTTAAGTTTTCTTAGCCTACATTAATAAGTATATATATATCACATTTATTATTATTAGATTGAACATTTTATTGGTATTTCTGAAGATATTAACATACATATACTCTAAATTTGTAGCTCAATTAATAAAAGGAATTGTGAATCTTCCTAGATAGAGAGCAGATTGAATAATAAATTGAAGATTGATTTCTATTCATAATTAATTATTATATACTTAATGTTAGTCATCTTCTCTATAATAAAAATAATATATATGTTTAAATAATTCAATAAACAGATCCTATCATTCTTCCTTAAGAGATACTGGTAATTGAATCTAAAGTTTAATAAAATATTATTAAAATTTAAAAATGTTGCTATTCTGGTACCAATTACAAAAATAACACAAAATTCAAGAAATTGCGCTCATCACAAAACAAAAGGCAAATATTAAAAGGATTATAAGCTATTAAATAAATAATGAAGATGGATGACAAAAGATTCAAGTTACTACTAGGAGTCCATTATTTAGGGTCAACAAGTAAACTATAACAATCATTCTTAGACTACTTTGCCTCATCCACTAAAGCATCAACTATAAAAAAATGTGTCCAGACTTAAACATCTACCTAAGATTGTACTCAAAATGACTATTCTATACAATCTCCTTAAATTATTAAGGTAATTATTCTAATATTATTGTTCTAGAAAGTCAAGACAACAGCTGATAGTACTTAACATACTTATGAAGATGAATTTTACTGTCATGAGAATCTAAAAATAGAGGATTGTGTATAATTACCTATTACTTTCACAAATCGAAACAGTGTCATTCCAAATTAAAAATAGTTCTATTATATCAATCCACTCTATATATAAGAATTCAAAGAAAAAGAATATAACTATAAAACTAGAGCAATAATACTTAATAGAATCCTTGACAATTGTATTAATATGAACAATCCTTACTTTCATAAAGCTATTTATCTATTTGATCTATTTCTAAGTAAACTCAAATGCAAGACTATATCAAATCAATAATAATTAAGATTTCTATCTTTGGCTATAATATTTGTTATCACTAAAATGAATTCAGAAAGTCCAAATGTTAATCTTTTACTTTCATAATCATCACTCAACATGAACAAATAATAATTATTATAATATGAAAGACTTATACTTAAAGTATTAGATTGGCATACAAATCCATTAACATTATAAGATGTATTTTATGAGGTTACTTTACGATTTTAAGTAGCTTTTCCAAATTTAAATGTATACATATCTAATCAACAATTAAATTTGAAAATCTAAATTAATGAAAATGATATGAAACTTATTAACTAAATTCTAAATGTCATTATTTTGGATCATAACTATCTAAGTTATGATTTTGATGATTTATCCTTTTCAATTTTATATGTGATTTACTAAAAGGATCTCAAAGAAAATGAATTTGAAGATTTTCTAAAATATTATGAAAAATCAAAATAATAAATCCTAACTTCAATTAAATTTGTATCCAAATTTATTAGAGTTGTTTAATAATTGGTAATTTATTATATTAAATTATTTTTAGAATGAGAAATAGTTAGACATAAATTCATTAGAAATACTAAAATTAGTTTGTGATTGATTATTTAATTTATGTTTTTATATTCTTGTTGATTATTCTTTTAATTTAATCATTTATATATTTATAATCATATTGAATAATAATAATAATATTATAATTAGAAATTAATAATTTTAATATTATTAGGAGTGGAGAATTTAGAAAATAATATCAATCATTAGTGAGTTTAACTACTTTAGCTGGAGTATTAGTTGTTAATTTTGTTGTTGCCATTTTACCCTTAATCCATTTACCTCTAAAAGTAGTTCCATTAGATTTAATGATTTATCCATTTCCATGTTAAAGACCTGCTTTCCAAAGTCCCAAATACTTTTAACCATTAGGCCATACTAATACACCATATCCTTCTCTCAAATCATTAACATATTAACCATCATATTTTCTTCCATCTGGCCATTCGAATACTCCTTTACCATATTTAACACCATTTCTCCATTCTCCTGTATATATTCTACCATCACAAAATGTTAAAGTTCCAAATCCAAACATTAAATCATTTTCAAATCTTCCTTCATAGATTGCTCCATCAGGATATATCAATTTACCAAAACCACTTTTAAACCCATCTTGAAAACTTCCTAGCCTTGGAATACAGATCAAATTTTACCCTCATAAATCCAACCACCATCATATATTTATATTCCTTAACCATTAGGTAAATCATTTTTCCATTCACCATCATAATATGAACCATCAGAAAATGTATACTTTCCTTTCCCTTTTACTTATCCATCAATCCAAGTACCTAAAAATAAATCTCCATTAGAATGTTAAAATGTACCAGATCCATTTGGTTTATTTTCATACCAATCTCCTATATAGAATGAATTTTCAGATAAAATATATTTACCAAAACCATGAATCATTCCATTTTTCCATTAACCTTCATAAAATGCTCCATTTTAGAGTTCAATACAAGGTAATTTCTGTTGTTAATTTGTTTAGACTAATTATTGATCTTTTTTTTATAACGGTATGAAACATAATCCATTCATCTCTGTAGATATTGCTATTGGATTGCTTGTAGGTCTACTAAGTTCTGAAACAGAACTAGCATCATCTTTGACTTCCTTATTTATATTTATAGTAATATCGGCATTGCAAAATTATTTTTATTTAGTTTCTTGCTCTTAATCTTTTCTTGGAGGTAATCTTTTCACTGTCTATTGTATTTAGAGAGTATTCTATTTGATTTATGATGTTTCAGCTATAACCAAATCATTATGTGAACTTTTTTAATTAATGATTGAAGAACTATGTTTTTGTGCTGTTGATCGAGAGAATTTAAATTAAAATTTTCTAATTTAAAATAGGATAATACTTTCGAATTACATAGCCTCTGAAATTTGCTTATATTTTAATCACTCCTTTTATTTCTTATTTGTTTAACTTCTTTCCAATTTTTTATTTACTCTTTGTTGTCTTTGTAGTCAAGATCTCTTAGGTCTTATTTGGAACAGAATCATTACACTGTTAACAATTTCCCATTTGTCTGGTTCAATTATTAATATTTATGATAATAGTCATCTAAGCCACAAAATTACGATTTTCTTATGTAAAATCTTTTATTCTAAAATTGATCAAACCCTCAATAATTAATGTCAATCTTATACATGAAATATTATTTGTAAATAAGATTCTCAACAACTAGGATAGTATAATAGTAAGATATTTTTTGTTAATATATGAATATAAGTCAAGATGAAAAGAATAATAAATGATTTTTAAATTGAAATGAGATATATATTGTACAATAATATAGGAAATATAATTTAATTATTCATTAGTTTATGTACATTTGTTTAAATGATATTTATAATTTAGAATCATTCTTATTATAATTACATAATATAGTAATTTATATATATATATATATATAAATCTATTTAAGAGTTCATAAATACATAAATATATTTCTGAATATCTTTTGGAGATATTAAAAAGTATATATATACATTTGGATTCAATCTGAATATTATGATTAAATGTCATTTTATTATTAAATTTTAACTGTTAAGCCATGAATAATTACTATGCATAGAATTTAAGTCTGAGTTAATTACGTTAATTGCCACAAGAACGTATGCATGTTAAAATTTACAAAAATGAAGAGTACTTTAAATATTGATTAAATAAGAATAACATTGACACCTCAGAGTAATCGTACTTAATTAAATGAAGTAAAGTCCTACTTATTTATATCAAGGCTATTGAAAATCTTGAAATATAATGGCAATCTATTCGTAAATAACATCTAGAATAACGATCATGTAGTCGAAGTCCTGCCAAAAATAATCTTATGAATCAATTACTCAAAAATAAGGATAAATAATAATAATGTATTTTGAAGAAGGTTGTACCTTTATCAACCATTAACTTAGCCAGAATCTAAGATTAACAGCAATAATAATAAATACAATATAATCCTTAATAATCAGCTCAACGCAATCATCTTAAAGTAGTTCATTATATATTTGTTTAGGATTCCTCTCATTTTCAATACATTGCTAATAAATACTGTAATATTTATAGAAGACCTAGTCCTGAATAATAATATGTTATAAATTCTCTAAGAGATAATGAATAATTAAGTTATTCAATTGGAAGAAATCAGATCTAATAACATTAATATCAAAGAAATAATCTTAAAATTTTAGATGAACGAGTTAGAGTCAATTCTTAAGATAAATATACAGCTTAAGCTCTATCCAATAGTAATATAATCAAAAATGGAGGACCCTAACGCAAAAGAGTTTCATAATATTATAAAGATGAAGAGAACAAGATGACATCTGTCAAATCTGTTGCTGTGTAAAATTAAAGAATTCTTCCAAAAAAACGAGCATGATATAATGATGTAAATTGGTTTATTAATAAAATTATGTACCTTATATTATTATATATATTGTAAAATAACAATCCATTTCTATATTCTAAAAATAAAATAAAATAATTAACATATTATCATTTTGTAAATTAACTAAGTTAATGGTATTATTAAATCTACAATAATTTAAAGATTGTGATTTTAATAAAAATACTTATTAACTGTTTATGATAGAAGAATCTAATTTTAATTAATAGTTTAATAGTAAATATTTATATATATTGTCTTTTATAATCATGGTGAATACTGTGTTTATGATTATAATATTAATTTTATAAATTATCAACAATTAATATTTAGGTAATAATTACGAATATATTTTATTTATCTAAAAATATTTTGCATTATCCATTAGAAATATCAAATCTATTTTTGCATTATTTAATTTGCTTAAATTAATTTAATTATAAAATATATTTAATACTAAATATTAAAATTAATGATTAATATTAATTATATTATAGATTAATATGATTAATGAATGCTTTTTCTTTATGTTTGTAAACGTAATTAAAATAATTAATCAATCTAAGTTGAAAAAACCATTATTAAGAATGGTTTAGCTTTTGTAATGTGATCAATAAAAATAAATTAAAATTTATATGTGATATTTAAAAAATGATGATATTCTGATTTCCCATTGATTTATATATATGAATTTTAATATTATACATGATTCCTCTACAAATGTAGTTTTTTTGTGATAATGTATTTTCAAAATTTCATAAGAATATTGTAAATTATAATGTGTAATTGATAATAATGGTGTTTTAAAATAGCATAGAGTTATTTAAGAGTATTAATTAATATGGGAAAATTGTGGAACTTAATTAAAAGTCAGCTTCTTATTTTGCTAATGAGTTTGCTTTTAATACTTCAGTGCATATTTGGTTCTGAAGAATACTACTATTTGTTTGTAGTGTTATTATTGTAAATTACTCGTATGGCATGGGAATATTTAGGGGCATCATAATTTTAAATTGTACTAATCATTTAATATTTGGGATACATGACAATTCTGTATTTAAGTAGTAACAAAGATGTGTTATCATGCATGTGTGTCATGTAAATAGGATAGACTTTATTGTTTGAGAATGAATTCAAGAACAAATGGCTAATAATATTGTTCTCAGTAGGAGCAGATCTTCTTGTACTTCTTTTGTTCATGAATAATCATATTACTCAAATTTATTTACCTTGTATATCAATAGCAATAAAGACTTTAACATAATTGATCAACTAACCTTAATAAAATGGAAACTTTAACTTCAATTAAGAAAATTTCTTTGTGGATAGTAATCATCATTCTACTTACAAAATAACTAAAGATCGTAATTGTCATTCTGAAAGTTAACCTCCAACTCCAAAAAATGATCTTTACTAAGTGGAATTGCTTAGCTTTTTTCCTTAGGGGATTGCACTGGTTGGATTAAATGATGATGTCTAGTTTTGTAATGAGAATATGAAAAAGATATTTGTTTAAGGAGATAATCAATAATCAATTCTATAAGCAATATATAATTTGGAGGAATAATAGATAGTGGAATAAGCAGAAAAATAATCAATGGAATAACCACCAAAATAATCAATGAGTTCATTTTCAACATTTTAACCTGTACCTATACAAAAGACTTTATTTATGAGTGCAGCAAGATCTTAAAATAAATAATCAGGAACAGTTATATAATAAAAATTGAAAGAAATGCCATTACCAAGAGCAAAGACATAGTCAAAAAAAGAGACAATTAAAATATAGGATACATTTATTTCTGATTGTTGTGTAAATGATTATTAATATTATTTAGATAATTGATTAAGAGATTCAATGTATGAAAAAGTAGATTTAAAGAAAAGAAGTTTAGAATTTGATGAAAAATACACATGTATAAGAACATATTGTTGTATTGGGGTATATTAGATCAGAGAAATAAAAACGTAGATAAATAGAAATTAAATTGTATTCGACTTTAATTAATGATTGTCCTTACATTCTTATAGTTGCACGAGATATTACTCATAGAGATTATATTAGATCATTAAAGAATTATAGTAATTAGAAATCTAAGATGTTGGCATTTGTAAGTCATGAATATAGAACACCATTGAATTGTATTATAGATTAATTGAATGAGAGTTTGAATGATGAAAGTAGGAATAGATCTGAGACCTTATTTTGTGAAAAGGATAAGGAGAATTAAAAATATGTTAGGGTTGCATTACATACAGCTAAATAATTGTTGAATCTTTCTGATGATCTTCTTGATTTAGCTTAGATTAGAGTAGGTAAATTTAAGGCAGTGAAATAAAAGTTTAATTTAAAGAATATGTTAAAAAGTTGTCTTGAATTATTCTCAGCCACTGCTGAAAAGTAATAAATAGTCTTGACATTGAATTATAATGCACATGTTCCAAAGATTATAGAATAAGATTCCAATAGAATTAAATAAATAATTATGAATTTAATAGGAAATGCATTTAAGTTTACACAAAAAGGAAATATTACATTAGAAGTAACCTAAGGATAAGATAGAAAGAAGATAAATATTTCTGTGATAGATACAGGAATTGGAATTTCTGATGATGATAAGGTAAAATTATTTAAAGCTTTTGCAAAAGGTAATAGTGAAGAGAGTAAGAAATTGAATACATAAGGTGTTGGATTAGGATTATTAATAAGTAATTAAATATTATAAAATCTTAATGGAGACATTTAAAATGGATTAAAATTACATTCTTAATTAAATAAAGGATCTACATTTTATTTTAGTATATAAATTTGTGATGTACAAGAAAGTTATTCACTTAATGAAATGGAAGAACGCAATTAAGAAAGTGAAAATTCAGAATAAAATTCTTATGATATTCCTGAAGATGATTAACCTCAAAAATTAAAAGTTATAACTAAGAATGTAAATATTAAGGCATCAACAAAAGTTTCTATTGGAGATCCAAAAATATTAATAGTGGATGATGTATAATTAAATATAGAAATGATTACACGTATGATATCAAACACTGCTGTAGATTGGGCATTAAATGGATATTAAGCTATATAAAAATGCAAAGAAAGAATTGAACATAATTAAGAATTTTATAAGGTTATACTTATGGATTTGGAAATGCCTATTATGAATGGATTTTAAGTATCATAAGCAATCTTTAATTTATGTGCTGAATTAGGAGCATCTACTACAATAATTGGGTGTTCGGCATATGACTCAGAAGAGTAGATGGAAGAATGTTTGAAAGTAGGAATGACAGAGTATTTACATAAGCCAGTGAAATAGAAGGCTCTTAAAAAAATCTTATTTAAGTATCTATGAATTATATATATTCTTATTACTTATATATTCTTTATTTTTTGTTTTTTACAACTAGATATAAAATACATTTGCCCGGAATTTTATATAATTTAAAAATAATAAATGGACCCACATCAAATATGTAAGTAATTACAAGAAGAGTATTTTAAAGAGAATGATGCTGTAAACAATTTGATTTCTAAAAGAGCTGAGAAATCGTGTGTCTGAGATGGAGGCCAAGAATGCTGAATATCAAGATTAAATTGAAGGATTGAAATAAATAATTGAAGAAAAAGATGCCAAAATTAAACAATTAGAGGATACATTAGCTAATTTACAAAATAAACCAATCAAAAAAACCATATAAAAGAAGAAAGATAAGAAGCCAACTAAAAAGTGATATAATAATTTACTTAAATTATGAAACACAGACCTTAATCAGCTATCGTAAAGCTGAAATCAGAGCCATCAGATCCTCGTTCCTCTTTTTCTCATTTAATGGTGTCTCCTAAACCAAATAGACTTCCACAGACACCTCAATAATTTCATATAGATCAGGAAACTCTTTATATGAATAATATGCATTAGAAATAAGAGACTAATGAAATCAAATTCTAGAATCTCAAATTAAAAACTCTAGTCTAACAATTATAGGTTTATTTAATAATAGTATATATTGTAGGCTCGTATCTCTAAAATTGAAAGAGTAGATAGAAATCAATTATAAGTTGATCCATTAGGAATGTCAACTTATAATGGAGAAGGTAGCATAATTCCTATGCTCAAAGCTAAAATTAAACAATAAGCTTAAATAATTGAAGAATTGACAACAGATTTACGTACTTAATGTAAATCAGTAAAACTAACTTAAATTCTTGAATTATAGAAACAGATTAAGAATCAATAAGATGAAATCATTAAATTGAGATAGTTTTAATAGATTGCACTTAAAATAACAGATTAAGAGTAATCAATTAGTGTCATTTTATTCAAAGCTTGTTCAATGATCCTGACATTGCTGAGCGCGTTTAAAATTATATCAAAACCCTTGATGCCCAATAAATTCATATTGATTAATTGTTAAAACAAAATAAGAAGTTAAATTAAGAACATTAAGAATTATTAGAAAAAACAAATAAATTATAAGAAGAATGCAAATAAATTGGTTTAGAAAGGATTCAATTAAAAAAGAAATTAGATGAACAATTGATAACTGAAACTGAATAATATTAATAAAAGAAAAGAGAATTTCTTGAAAATAAATTATAGTAAATACATTAATCTATTTAATTAGGAGTGTACTTAAATAAGTTGATGTATTAAAAGGAGAACTATCATTATATGAGAATAAATATAAATAATCTACAAAATTATAATAAGATTAAGAAAGAGAATTCAAATCAACAATAATAAAAGCATAAAAAACTAAATAACATTTAGAAGAAATCATATAAAAAAAAGAATAATTAATGTATCTAATATCATAATTCAGTTAGTTAGGATTTATAAGATAGAGTAGCCATCTAAGATTTACTCAAATAAAAATCAGCCAATGAAGAACCAATTGTTAAATCTATATAACCTCCAAAAACATATCGTGATCAAAATATATAATTCCCTGAACCATCAATCTTACAACATAAACCTACTGATATTATTAATGCTATACCTATACATTAAGAACGTCTATAATAATTATTAGAAGATCTCAAATATAAAGTGCTATCTCTATGTTTAACTCGTCAAAGATTGTTGTATATCTTTTAACATATAGAATACATGTAATTAAAAGATTCTGTCCATTATTTTATGAGATCTCCCTTTAATTATTAATATGATGATGCTCTTATATTAAGTCGATATTTCTTTAGTGAAGATAAAGGAACTGGATATAAAATTTAATGGGAAGATACATAAAGCATTAATGATTTAATTTAAATTATTGTACCTAAAAAAGAAGATACTTAATTTAATTTCAAAACTATCATTAATAGAAATAATCTAATTAAATAATTAAATCAATAAATGAAATACTTTAAATTAAATGATGCTAAATATAATGTAGATGATTATATTATATACATTAAAAGAAATACTAATTTAAATGATGAATAAATCACATTTCTTCGATTAATTAATTAAATCTATCTAGGAGATGTAACTAATATTGATTAAGGTTTCTTACGTATCTATTTAAAAGAAGAATGTGAAATGCAATCATAACTATATAATTTATAAAAAATAGATTTTGTAATCTATAGATTCATACCCAAATTATAAATAAAGTAAGATGATAAAGAATTTGAAGATATCAGTATAACACCCTAAAAAACTTCAGAACATAAAATTGATGAATCTTAAATAGCATATTCATGTAATTCACCTTTTCTAATTTATTATAGAATTCAGAATTAGTGATACCTACTTAAAAACTTCTGAAAGCAGAAAACCTACTTCAGCCAGAGATACTCTCACTTATAGCTAATCATAAATTGAGAGTGTACCTTTATTAAAAAGACCTAGTGATCAACTAAATAAAATTTCTAATAAATAAATTAAAGAGGAAGAAGATTCTGTTGAATTTTAAATATCTGATTAATTTATCCTATAACCACCAAAATTATTGAAAAACAAAGAACCAATTTAAGAAACTGAAGAAGAGTATTAAGAGATCTATTAAGAAGAATTATGATGATATATTATTTTATAAATATATTCAAAAATGAGTTAAGTAACAAAATATTTAAAAAAGATATTATGTTATACTATATCATTATCTTATTAAATCAAAAGGAAATCATATTATTTTCTTTAATGTGAATAATTTTAAGTGATAATTATATTTAAATTGAATATTCAATTAAATAAATAATTTCATTTTACTATTCTAGAAATGAATATATAGATTAATAAGGAGGATATAATAAGTGTAATGAGTTGGTATTCCTAATGAAATAGACATTATGAATTGGATAGTCTTCAAAATAATTGTACAACAAAAAGGTGAATATTAAAAATTATATTATCTATATATAGAAGATAGACATAAAGTTTACAAACTGATTGACTTTAAGAAATTACTTAATTTAATAAATAAATATTAATTTATTTATATTTAATCATTTATGTTTTAAAGAAAACTTGAAAATAATTTCAATAATAGAAGATGTATAATTTTCAATAAAATAAATTATAAAAACAATTATTAAAGCATTATTAAAATTAATAAGAATTGATTGTAATTATAAAATTAGTAATTTAGGTATTTATACAAGTTGATGTTATATATTAATGATAAAAAAAACTTTTAGTATTACTAAAATTAAAATTATTATTAAAACTTAAATAAAAACTATGAGCATTATAATTGATCCAAAGTGCTGAATTCTTAACAGTTGAATAATCATTATAGAACCAACAAATTTCAAAGATACATTTAAAATTTAAATTCAATATATATAACTTGTAATTAAATTTCTGTTTTATTTTACACTCATATATAGATAATAAACATACTTATTATAATTCAATCCTTTTAAACAAGTAGTATTAATAATGAAAAAAATAAAGATAATTCAATCTATTTATAGGTATATGGTATATCAAAATCAGATTGTTAAACATATCCTTTTTAAAATTAAAAATTTGATATGCTATTGTTTTGAGAATAAGAGATTAAAAACTTACCAAATAATAATATCTAAATCAAAAAGTTTCATAAGGATGTTATTTCATTATCTTTTTATATCTTTATTAAGTTGTAAGAATTAGTTAAAAATGAAATAAGTGTATTACTTTTATAATGAAAATTGATTTGAGTTGTGATTTAAGTCTTTTTAAAGTGAGTTGCATATGATAATAAATGATGGAGAAGTTATTTACATAAAAGTTAAATAAGATAAATTAAATTTAGTTTATTTATTTGATAGATTAGATGATTTACATAATACTATAAATAATCTATGATTTAGAATATTTATTTATGAGTTAAATTTCATTAAAATTTAATCATAATTGAATCATAGATGAGATCAAAAGTTATTTTATTCAAAATTAATAATTAATTAAAATTCATACTCGATTTGAGAAATTACTCAGGCTGAATGAAGCGAGAATGGTTTAGTCTATACTTCAGGAGTATTTAAATTTGGTTTAGCAGCATCAGATAGACTTCCCATAGCATCAAAAATTTAGCTTCTTCTTTAAATACGTTTAACAAGTTTATTTTGTCTTATCTCTTAAATTGAGAGTCTATCTCTTGGATTAGAATTTAACATTCCAATCAATAAAGCCTGACAATCTGGTGAATGTTTATAATTATCCCAAGGACGTGGAATTTATGCAGTAAGTAATTAATGAAACACAACACCCATACTATAAATATCTACTTTATAATCATAATTATGTGTAGTTATAATCTCAGGAGCCACATAATTTCTAGTACCACACTTTTAAAAGAGATAACTACCATCTGGTCTGTAAAAGTCTGCTAATCCAAAATCTGCTATTACTGGATCCTCTATATTTCTAAATAAAATATTATTAGGTTTTATATCTCGATGTATTATTTTTTTAGAGTGAATGTACTCAAGTCCATTTAATAATTTCAATAATAAACTTATTGCCTTATCTTCTTTAAGTATCTTTTCTTAACTTATATCCATTTACATCTCGAAAAGTTCTTCCACCAAAAATACACATTGATCACTCTCATAACATTCTTTTATTGAAAGAACATTAGGATGATCCATCAATCTTAATATTTAGATTTCCTTTAGAATTGCACTTTTATCACGACGATCAAGTAATAATTATTTCTCAAACATTTTGACAGCAAATTGTTATTCATTTTAAACATTCTTAACTTTGTAAACCTAATATATATTATGTATTAATTACCTTTCCAAAACTCCCACTTCCTATCTATTTCAAAACTCTATATTAATTAGCAAAATCCTTCTGAATTCCATAAAGTTTCAGTATTTACTTCAATTAAGAAGTTAGACCAAATATGAGTAATTCTTTATTTTACTATCGAATTTTCACACCTCTTCCCATACAAACATGATCATTAAATTCAATATATGAATTGGCTATATTTATTGAATTCAAGATTTCTGTCTCCTCCTCAAAATAGTTCAACGTTAAAATTGTGTTTACTAACTACAATTAACATCTAACAAAGTTATTTGTCCCAACTTTGAGAAATACAATTTGTTTCTTGAGTGTTATGCCTGTTTCAACTTAATAACACTAAGAGTCAAAAAAGTTATCCATTTATTATTTTAATAAAATTCTGATAAAACGTATTTCATTTAAATTACATAATATCAATAAAATGCTTTTGATTTAAATTATAGTTGTTCATTCAATAAATAAGCAAAAATAAAATTAATAAATAATAATTATTTACAATGTAAAACATAGTACTTAATAATTAATTTGTTATAAATATTTTAGAACAACATCCTTTAATTGTTTATTACTTTAATTTACTTTGTATAGTAATTAATTTATTTATATAACAAATTCATTTTGCTTTAAAAATACAATCTACAATTATTATAAATTATTCTAAGTAATATTTATAAAGAATTAATATCAAAATCTTTATTCATAAAACATATTAAGAATTGAATCAATATATATACATTGTAATAAAGTTTCAATATAATCAATTTAAATATAAAAATATTATTTATTGTTAATGAAGTAACTAATATAGAAATGAATTCTGTACAAAATTTCATCAAACTTTTAAAGCATTAATCAATAATTAAAATGATTAATAGAATGTTAATATTGAAATTTGTTATCAAATAAAATTAAAGGGTAACTTACTTTTATAATTCAAAAATTCAAAAATTACGCTGAATTTTAGATGTTTTAACTAATCAAATAGATTTCTAACAATTTATAAGCAAACCATAAATGTATATGTTATGAATTCTATTAAAATGGATTTTAGTTTAAGGTATTATAGATTAAGTAGCAATTAAAAATAATATTAGAATTTATTTTTATACTAAGAACTCTAAATTATTATGTTTCACATTTAAGAATAGATAATGAGATTGAAATGATGGAGTCTAATCACAATAAGAAGTTGATTGTTTTAAAATTTAATATAAATATTTTAAATACTAATACAAAGCTCAAAATTAGTCTCTTAATTTGCAATCCAAATACTCGATGACTAATATGGGTTTATCAATTTTAAATGTCTTTTTATTTGTAGGAGAAATGTTACTATTCCAAGAATCATCCAAACTAAATGTTTCAATTTCTTCTGGTTATGGACTTGGTAGTGGTCTAATATTAGAATGAAAATTATACCTGGTTTTAATGTGTTAAGGAGTATCTGGATATTGGAAGTGAGATTGTGTTTAAAGTTTGAGGTGATGAAGGCCTTGCATAAAAGGGCGTGATAAAAGTTATAGAAAATAAATAATACATTTGAAAGTAACAAATCATATAATTTAAATTGCTTTGAAATATAAAAATTGTATTATATATTATTCTAGAAGGTAAAAACTTTCTTAGATGTACTGAAATTAATGAAGAATGTATATTTAAATAATTACATAAAATTAAATATATAATATGTTATTCAGAATCATAATCTATGGTAAATATTAATTCTACATTATATGGAATATGTTTAGTGTAATATTTTTTCATTTATTCATAAATTAAAAGTTTTATTATAAATGAATTATCAATAATCACAAGATGAAAATGAACAAAGTGATATGTATAATGAATCATAATTTGATGAATATAAAAAACACTTTGAAATGGATTGTTTTGCTCTTGAAGACAAAGTACAATTTTACAATTTAAACATGAATGAACCTTTAGACATGAAATCTCCTTCTGAAACTGTATATTTAATAATGAATATTAGATATAAGAGTTCATATTCACTGATGAGAAATTAGAAGCATAAGGAAAAGGTTTATTGAGTACTTCGTTAAATTAAAATAAATTAGTTAATATTAAACTTCTTGATTTAACTAGATGTAAATTACATTAGATACCTGAAGATGTGAAGTATAATCAATCATTAAAGTAGATAAATGATCAATTTATAAAAAGTATATTTGAGTTAAAATATGTTGATAAACATACCTCATTTTTTGGAATCTTTAATATTTTTAGAAGTGTTAGATTTGTCTTACAATTAAATATAAAATTACTAAATACATTTGAAATGTTTAAAGCAACTCAATCTTGCTTGCAATTATATTAAATAACCTTATTTATATGAATTAGATATACTTTGTATTTAAATGAATCCAATTACATAACTGCCTCAACAATTTCATAAAGCTCTAAGAAATATGAATCAATTAGAATTTGATTGGTTTAAGTATTGCAAACCTCCTTTACCTTTCAAACTTAATTTTAAGAAATACTCATGGGTTTAAGAGAAACTAATTAATTCACTCTCTAAATAAGCCTTAAGTTTTTAGGAATTCATTAAGTTATTGAGTCAAAATGAATAGAATTTTAGTAGTACTGATTATAAGGAGAGAAATCTAATTTGTTAAGCAGGTATGAATGATGAAATAGGATTATTATATTGTTTAAATTAGATCATACCTTAGGATATCAATAAAACTGATTTCGATAATAATACACCATTGTCAGTTTGCTATATAGAAAGCAAAATGAGGTTAGTTTTCATTATAATAAAGATCAGTGAGCATATTAAAGGCTTTTGGTGGTAGATTTTCATTGAATACCATTCATTGTATGAGTCAAAGAGCTGACGTGTAGAATTTAAAGTTTCTTTTAGGAATAAAGGAAAATATTCATTATTAATTAAAAGTATCTAATATCTAACATCCAATAAACTATGAATCTTTAGTAATGTTAAGAAATATAGATGGCAATACTCCATTACATTAATTAATGATGAATTTTGATAAAAATGAATTTAGTTCAGAATTTGCTTTGATTTTATTATTATTTGGAGCAGATCCAAATGTTGAAAATTATGAAGGTTATACTCCTTTAGAGATGGCAATTAAAAAATAATAATTTAAAGGACTTAAATTTGGAAATGATTTCAATATGTCAAATAATGTAGACTATATAAATAAAAGATTTTTTGATTTTTCTCATTAATCAACTATTACAGGTAATGGTTTATGTCATACAGCTGCAATAGTTGGAAATCTAGAAATCTTAGAATTTCTAATTTCAATCAATGCTGATTATTTTTCTATTAGTAAATCTAATAGATTACCTAGAAGTTTGGCTACCTAAAGTTTAGTATCATTAAAGAATATTCGAAAGTTAGAAAAAAGATATATTTTAACTAATGTGATTAGAGAGAAATCACTTTTAGAATAATAAGAAAAGTATAACTATACTAAAATTAATTAGAAATGTTTATTAAATGAGACATTAAATTGAAAAGAATATGGTTTAAAGACATCATAATATGATATAAAAATATGCAGATTAAGAGGAAATTGAAGATATCAATTCAATGGAAAGCTATAATGATTTTAGTCTTTAAGTTGGAAGCGAATGTTCAGTTAAAGAGACTGTTGCAGAATCGACACCTATATTTAAAAAATAATTAGATCTTTAAAAAGAATCAAATTCTTCTGTGTAATAGAACATTTAATAATTATTATCTTTGGAATATTCTGATCATTATCCTGACATTTTAAAATTATTAAGAAGTGGTAATATTGACACAGCAATTAAAAAATTGGAGAATATCTTACAATATGAATTAATAAGTGTAGCTGAAAGACTCAAATATAAAAATCAATTATCTTTATTAAAGTTAAAATTTAAATAAAAAAATGTTGAATTGAAATCAAGAATTGGTTAGGATGTGTAATTAATCTTAAATGAATATTAATTTAAATCATTAAAAACAGAACTAAGAAGTAAATTACATCTATATAATTAGATAAATATTTCAAATATGTACAAACAATATTAAATGCATAAAATGAAATTGAAATCAATAAAGCATTAAATGTAGTCTCCAGATAAAAAATTATATGTTCATCTTTCAACTTAAATAGGGATTTATTAGTTTCAGATCTATCTCTAATATCTGATCTTAGAACAAAATTAAGTGCAAATCTAGTTTATGACATAAATAACTATGCAACTCATTTATTTTCTTCATAAAATTAACTTTATCTATGGCTCTAGAGTTGTTTTTCAAAAAAAGAAAAAGTCTTAGTCAATACAAGCTTTTTTAATCTATAAAATTATGAATATCTTTAATAAATGAAATTTAAAAAGAAGAGAGTAATTATTGGGAAAATAGATGATTTAAGTATTGAAAAGGACATTTCAGAATTAAGTTCTGTTCCAATCAACTAAATAATCTGTAATAATAATCTGTTTTGTAACAGTAAAAGAAATTGAAGCAACAATTATTATTATATTCATTATAAAGCTATTAATCATTTCAAAATTTAGATCAATAACTGAATTTTAATCAATATTGAGAAAATTACCCTCTATATTTAAATTAAATTATTTTAATACTTATGAATATCTAAATTTAAGGACGATTCTTAGGTATAATTTTTCTAAAATACATTTTTTTATGAAAAATTTATTATCCAAACATTCGAAATATTCATAAATTTCTAAAATGTTTCATTCAACACATAATTATTAAAAGTGTATACGATATAAGTTTAATAAGAATACATTTTTAAATAATCAAAATGTTAAATTTCTACTTGATAAAATTCATTCAAATATAAAGATTAATTTAGAAGAAACAAGTATTTAATATTAGAAATATTAGAAGGGTAATAATGTAGAAATCATCTATGGTTTAAATGAATATTATGATAGTTAAATAAAGTTCTCATTAATTAATGCATACAATATATAGTAATTTTTATTAATATCTAGTAAATCTTGTATTAATATTAGATAAATTGCTGATCATAAATTATGTCAGCATTTAAAGAGGATTGTTGCTGTTAGATAAATCTTCTTATTCTATTACTTCTAAGAGAAATCTATTATCTGAATATTTGACTTTATTTCACAAGTACTAATTTACAACTTTCGGTTGATAAATGATTAGAATTATATTTTGGGCTGATAAACAACAATTATTTTAATAAAAATGATTAAGAGATTCAAGAAACTCTTTCAGGGACAAAGTGAGTTCCAATCATTTCTAACAAAATCTAGTCTCTCAAAAGATAACTTTGTTTACAAACAAGAGGATGTAGAAATTTTAATACCTTTCCTAACAGATGATTAAAATATAATCGAATTTTTTTAGGTGTATTAAGAATAAACCTGTCAACATTATACAATCAAAATGAAAATGCTCATAACCATTCATTAAATGCTTAATATCAGTGATGAATTTGCCTAATAATTCACTAAAATAAATTTTGCATATTTTAATAAGTATGAATGATTGAATAATAGCAGGCCATCCCAAAAACCAGAATCAATTGTATTTAAGTAAGTAACTAATGAAATTTGGTTGCTTGAAAACCTTTAGATTCCATTTCTGCAGTATTTATAAAAATTGGCATTGAATGTATAAGAGATCAAGAGTTATCGAAATCATCATTTTAGAAAACCTATTCATTAATCAAAGTATAAGGTCTTAAGTTATTTAAGTCTTGTAGTGGAATGCTTTAAATTACAAAACCTTGTAAATTAAGGTTTATCTCTTGTGCCCTAACTGTAAACATCCCTTTCAAACTTCCCTCATGATTTTCTCTTAAAGAAATTGGCCTGCAATCTCTATTGTGAATTGAGACAATTTCAAAGATAGTTGATTAATTCTCTCTCTGCTTTATTGGATACAAACTCTAGGGCCTCAAATATAGAGATATTTGAGTTCTTCAGAGAAGTAAAATCTCTCTCTCACAATTCACATAGGTGTAAATAATAGAGAAGAAGACCATGACATATTACATGTTACACAAGTTATTTGATCCAGGAAGAAAGTTGATGCCTCCTTTGTAATTGAAAATCGATCTAAAAAGTGCAAAACATCTTGAATAGTAAGCTTTAAATGAGCAATTAAAGATTAATTAGCAAAAGCAAATGAGAAGTCAAAGAAATTCGAGATCAAATAGTTTAGATCAACAACATAGAGTGTCTTAAGGTTTTATTAGTTAAAGGGAACGTCGATTTATGATGTACAGTAGAACAAAGAAATAAGACACCATTTAGGAAGATATTGAGATGCCAACTGAGGAATAATAGCCATCAGATAAGAAAAAGATAACATAAATGATGGATAATTAAGCCAATGAAATTCCTAAATAATTCGATAATTTGGAAAATGACAATAGTGACATTTAAAAAAAAGAGAGTAGTAATGAGAGTGAAATTAATGAGAGAAATAGTTAGAAAGAAACTAATGATATTGTAAAAAATTAAGAAAGTACTAGTCAAGCAGATTAAGATGAAAATTAATATAGTTGATTAATAATAAACTTGTTTTTATTAAAATTTTTAATGAGTGCAGTGGAAGAAATTGAAAGATGTTTAGCATAAGCAATTCAATAAAGAACTGCAACAGAAATCATAGCAACTATGGGTACAAAAGTCCTAACTCTATAGAATTTTTAATAATTGATAAAGAAAAACAATAAAAATATTATTAATAAGGAAGTTGAGGAATATTATTACAAAATATTAACAGATTTTGATAGCAGAGTTGGAATTACATAAGAAATATTTGAGAAGATGGTTGAGAATTTACCTAAACCAAAAAGAAGGTAAGATGTTGTAATGAGTTTAATTGAAGGAATATAATCAAAGAAAGCTTCTTTAGAAAGAATATATAAATTTTTTGATTATGATGGAGATGGTAAAATGCAATTAAATGAAATCAAAGAACTTTTAGAATATTTATATCCAGAGATTAATGAAGAAGATATTAAGATATTAATGAAAAATAATAATGAAGTCTAATTTTCATTCGAAAATATTAAGACTTTATTGTCTTTTGAATAAAATATGAATGCTGAAATTGTTATAGTGAAAGATGAAAATGAAATTAGTGATAGTGAAGATGATGATGAGTATTATGATGAATATGGAATGTTTAAGGGAAATCAAGAAGAATACTTTGATGAATATTGTTTTACTGAAGATTCTCCTTTTTATTAAGATTTTATGAATTTCAAAAATTTATACTTTAAATTGAAAGAATCTAAAACATTGTTTATTGATCCTGATTTCAAACCTGATGAAACAAGTCTAGGAAATGTAGATGAGAAATTTGAATGGAAAAAATTGACTGAAATTTGGAAAAATGCATAAATTTTTTAAAAGGATTTATATCATTCAAATAATGAATTAGGAGTACATACTTTAGTATCTCCAAGAGACATTAAACAAGGATTACTTGGAGATTGTTATTTTTTATCATCTTTAGGATCAATAGCCAGCAAATAGTATATTTATTATGTTTATTTTTAGTCCTGATAAGATATTTGATTTATTCTAGACTCCTATTATAAATTCTTATGGGGTTTATGGTGTTTGGCTTTGTATTTAAGGGATTTGGAAATTGATTACTCTAGATGATTATGTACCTATATATAATGATCAGCCAGCATTTAGTGGTAGTGATTCTTAAGAAATGTGGGTTATTTTATTGGAAAAAGCATGGGCTAAAATATTTGGAAGTTATGGTAATATTATTAGTGGGGATCCAAGAGAGGTTATAGCTAGTATTACTGGAGGACCAACTTGGTGTATAAGTAGTGATGAAAGCACTTTTATTGAGAGATTGAAATAGATTATGAATTCATATCAAAATTATATTGTGTGTGCAGGAACATATTCTGATAAGCCAGAATATGAAAAATTGGGATTAGTGAGAAATCATGCTTATTCAGTATTAAACTTTAGAACTATCAAATTGCCAAGTAAAGAAGAAGTTTAACTTATTTAATTGAAAAATCCATATGGAAATGATCAAGAATGGAATGGAGATTGGAGTGATAAAAGTCCACTTTGGACTTAAGAATTAAAAGACAATGTTTTATAAAACTAAGAGGAAGATGGCATATTCTTTATGTGTATTGAGGATTTTAGAAAGCATTTTGAAAATGTTTTTATAGGATTTTGTAATCCTTATTTTAAATTTTTCTAAATTACAATATAATGTTAGAAAAAGAAATCTGCATATATTTTATTAAATATTAAAAAGGATGGAGATTATTATTTTTCTGCCTATTAGAAATCTTAAAGAATGTTTAAATAATAATCAAAAGATTTATAATAATAATATGATTATTCAGAAATGCGTTTGATACTATCTAGAATGAATAAAAATAATTCCATTTAACCTTTAACATATAAGACTGAAACAGATATGAGTTTCAATATATATGGAAGATTGTAGAAAGGATAATATATATTATAACTTAAAGTAAATTGGATAATGGAGGGATGGGATTAGAGTGATGTTCCATTGGTTTCATATGGAGAAGACACAACTGAAATGAAATTTTGTTAGAAAATATCCAATTTCTAACAAGCATCTATTTTATTTGAAGCTAAGGAAAAAAGAGCTGAAGCCAAACCACTTAATCCTTCTCATCCTGAACTTGTTGTATTGAAAAATAAATCATAAGCATATGGGTAATTCTTATATATTTAATAAATAGATATCCTTATCTTTATTATTAAAATTTATCAAAAGAAAAGACATTTAATTTTGAGTTATTATTTGAAGGAGATATTAAATTAAAGAAACCTCATAGTGGTAATTAAGTGGAGATTGAACTTAAACCAGGTTAAGATAGATTGATTGTCTATAAATTTATGGTGAAGGGAGCTAAAATGAAATATCAAATACACAAATTTAAATGCGGAAGTGTATAATGAATAATTTACAATATTTAATATCCATATGAATATCAAACTTATTAAGTTTTACAAATAAAATTATGTTGATATTTATTTATAATGAAATAATTGTCTTAACCTTCTTAATTATTGAAAGCAAAACAAAAAAGTGAACCCTCACTGTTACCAAATATTGATATTCTTAAAGAAAATGTTAAATCAAGTTTTGCACTTGGACATTTAAGAGGTCTATTAACTTATAAACAGGTTAGAGATTTACCCAAAACTGAAATATAAGTAAGAAGAGATTAAACCTTTGGTAAAGCAAACAAAAAGTCAAAGAATAAAAGGCTAACCTTTTTAAAATTTGGGTTTAGAACACATGAAAAAAAGAATAATTACTATCTATAACCTCTAATTAAGAAGGTAAAGGATGCATTTGGAGAAGTTGCTAATGATGGTTCAATGGGAGTTGTAGATTTATGGAGTGATAGAAATGTAAATAGATTAATGGATGCAATTTAAATGACAAGAGATAATTTAATAGTAAGAAAATTAGGTAAAGAACTGAATGAAGCTGAACACTTTTTACTGATAAGGATGGAAGAGAAAAAAATGAGAGACAGGATCTTTATGGAATCATTAAAATTGCAATTTTAAGAGACTGATACATTTTCACTTAAGTTTTAGTTATCTGATAAAGATAAAAAGATTGTATAAAGAGTAGCTCAACCTACTATATCAAGTAATCTTAGATATAATAATCCGAATGAAAACATTTAGACAATAGTTGAAAGTATTGATCAATTACATCAAGAGAATTTAGAAATTTATACTGATTTGTATAAATAGATTAAATCTATTTAAAAGCACATAAAGTGATTGTATTATTCTTCAAAGACCATTTCAAAATCATATGACTTATTTATTTGTCTAATATACAATATTTTTATATTTAAAATTTAATAATAAAGGATGAAATAAAGAATAAGTAATATTGATTGATAATATTAATAATAATAGATATTTTTGATTATTTATTACATCAGATTAATGTATACATGCAAATCAAAATTATTTATACTATCAGACCACATGAATGTCAAGAAGATAGTAGTCTATTTAGATATGTATTTTCGTTTTTATAGATTCTATCATGTTCACGTTTAATTTAGAATAATTGTTACTTTAGATCAGTTTTACAATTATCAATCTTTTTTGCATTTTCTTCACAAAACCATTTAGCATCTTAAAGTCTAGTTTAAAATTATTCTTTTAGATCTTCTTCTGGTTCTGTTTTAAATATTCTTTTTTCAAATTGTAAAATTGCTTCATTTTATGATTTTAATTATTTAAATGCTGCATCTCTATATTTTTATTCATGTAATTATCTTTTAAATGTTTTTTCAGCTTTCTTAATTTTATCTTACATTGATGGTTCTTTTTTCTCTAACATATGTTCTTTAATAACAACCCAATCATCACTATTTTAATATGGTTATAATTTAGTTTTAAGTTTCCATCCAACTCCATTAGGTTCTAATTCTTAATTAGATTAGATTCTCTAATATTTTTTTAACAGCTATTCCATATACTATTTTAATTGATTAGGTGTTAATTTATCTTTCATTTAAAATAAAAGTCTTGTTTCTTTTATTTCTTAATTAGATCTATTCATTCTCTTCATTGAATCTTTACTGTTGATTAAACAAAACTTGCAATAATCAGGTAATCCTGAATCTTATTACATTTTAATAAGTTCTTCTTTTATTTCTATATATTTGCTATCAGTTTGCCATCTAGTGATATTGAGTTCAGAAGGATTATCTATTTTTTTCAATAAGGCTTAAATATCATGATTACGTTATTTATCTTCATTTTTAATTCTTGAAATACTAGATACAATATCTTCGCAAGTGTGACTTACTTCATTAATAATGTTTGAAAATTAAGAATTCACAAAACGTGTACGAAATGTATCAGAGTGTTCTTAAAATTTAGATTCTAATGATTTATAAGGTTTAAGCTTTTTCTTAACAGTAATCTCTCTACTTCTTCCTTTTATGATATTACATTTATTTTCTATCTAATCTTTAAGTCTTTTAAATGATCTTAAACGATATTCATCTTTTTTTCTAAAATACTCAGCATCCTAATATTATTATTACATTTTATTTTATACAATATTATATTTACATAAGTTTCTTAAACATTTTTTATATTCTGTAATAAAGTATAATATAAACTCTTTATATATAATGAATTACATTTTTTAAAAATAAGAAAAGATATTATTGAGATTTAGTTAGTTTATAATCTATATTAAATTCAAATTTATTATTAACGTTTAAATCTATCTCTAATAAATTGTGTCTCTTTCTCTAAATTAGCTGCTAATCTATTAGATGTTTCAACAATCTATTCAATTTTTCAGTTAATAAATTTACTCTATGATATGTTAGATCTGTCTCCTCTATCATTTTATTGTAATTAGCTAATTTAGATTCTTTATCTTTCAAAATAGCTACTCTTAAGTCTAATTCCATTTGCATCTTACGAATTTGTGCATCAAATGCTTAGAAATCTGTTTTCTCTTTTTAATATTCTTATAACAATTCATCTCGTTCTCTTTTCATATTTTCAATTGCTTTAAATATGAAAAATAAAGATTTATACCATTTTAAAGATTCTAAAAAGCTAATTCATCTTCCATATTAAAAAAAAATAAAAAAAATAAAATTAAACAAAAATAAGAGTAAAAGTCATAATAATAATAATAATTCTTAGTAATTCCTATCTAATCTATTAGACCAATCACTATTATTTTTAAAAGATTAAGTTATTTATTTGGCCTTCAAAATACCTTTTTATGCTAATTCAGAACTGCATTCTAATGCTTACATAATTCCCCAATTCATGAGTATTTGTGCTGCCTTTAATGATTCCTATCTTACACCTTAAAAAGCATTATAGAAATATTTTTGTGCTTATTTATAATCATTTGTATTAGCATATAATATTCCTAATAAATTATATACAGGTGATAATTGTGGTTTAGATTCTTAATTAGTACCATTAGATTCTTTATTATTATTGGATTAATAAATTTAAATAGATTATTCAGCAAATTAAAATGCTGCATCATATTCTTTACGTAGATAAGCTAATTCAGCTAATATGAAATATGTATCAGCAATACGTTCATCCTCTTCAGGTAGATAATCTCTATATATAGCTAAGCTTTCATAACACAATTTATTGGCAGCATCCGGATTTTCTTAAATTATTGCACATAATTACTCAACCATCCATTCAATCTAGATAACAATGTCAGAACATATGCAATATCAAGACGCCAATTAAGTTATTCATAATGTAATAATGCATCATAATAATATTGTTAACATTTTTAAAAGTTTTTAGAAATAAAACAAATCTTACCTGTCTCAATTAAGATTTTACCTTTAATAGTTGGTTCATTAATGGTAAACTTACTTAAACAATTTTCATAATACAAAATTGCATGTTAGTAATTACCTTAAACTATCATTGCATTTCCTAAAATATATAAACAACGTAATGCTAAGACTATGTATTTGTATAAGAATTATTTCTTATTGACATTCTTAATCAATAATAATCTGATTTATTCAAATAATGCCTTAAGAGCTAAAACAACATTTGAACAATTATTGCAATTCAAATTACCTTATACAGAATCAAGATTATTAGTTATGTAATCAATATTCCAAGGTTCTTCATCACTATAAAATGATTATTGAGAGAAGTCAGATTCACTATGAGATTGCTAATGTTAATTTAATTAAGTCAAAGTATTAAGAGGACCTTGAATCTTCTTGGAAAAAGATTAATCAAGAAAAGCATCATTCTCTCGCTCAGGATTTGTTATTAATCCATCTAATTCAGTTCTATTTGTTATTGGAACTAATTGTTTTTCATCTCGACACATTCTGTCTATCTATTTTGACATTGTGAGGCCTTACTTCACTACTAAGTGTCTTCAGCTCTACGATATGTCCTGATAATACTTTTTCCCTAATCTTGCGTAATACATCTATCAATTATTCATCTCTTAATAAAGTTTCTTTATCTACTCTTTCAAATATACGGGACATACAATTAATTAAATTTAATATCTATAAATTTGTATTTTCATCACTCTTTCCTTTTACCTTATCCAAATTTAGTAATCTTAAAAAACCCCCAAACTATAATCATTACTATTTGAGCCACCCATCCAAGATCATTCATTGCTTTCAATACTTTATCCCATTTCAATAATCCTATAGGAGTAGCAGTTGAATTCACAGCCAATTAACCATATATAGCACAAATGATTTTTTGGATTGGAATAGGAATACTAAATCATAATAATAATTTGTATTTATACAATTTGAATTTATCTTTTGCTCTATAAACTTATTTTGTAATTTCATTGAAAATTGCCCATTCTATAAAAAATACATAGTAAGCAATAAAGAATCCATGCCTTCATATTATAAAATTATACCAATATGCACTTAAAACAAATGTAAGAAGCAAAGCTGATTTATGTTACTTATATCTATCATAAAAACAGGTTTGCAACCATGCTTAAACACTTGAATTCCAATGTTTTGTTCTTTTTATAGGAGAAAATTCTATCTCAAATTTATAATTAGCTAAACGATAATTACAAAATTCTAAATTTTATTATGATTTATATATTTATATACCTTATCCATCATATGTAATACCTCCTGCATCCATTGAAGCTTAAGAGAAGTTAAATGCAAGAAAATATTTAAATCTTTCACAACATGAAATTAATTGACAAATTAAATGACGAATTAATAGTGAATGCTCTTCCCATTATTGAGTTCCAAAATATGCAAAACTGAACTTAGGTCTAATGAGTTAATCAGCTAATTATAATTATTTATATTGATACCTGCTACAAAGAGAATAGCTTTGAAAAGGGATATGTAAGCCATTTTAAAACTTTAACCCATATTTGAATAGACTCCCTTTAAATTGATAAAATCAATATAGGCTGTAAAGGGAACTGTACCAACAATGATATTAGGAAAATAGAACACATAACTCATATAATCGAGAAATGTAAAGGATAATCTATCTTAAGCAGCAACTCCCACGTATACGAATCGACATGTTAGCATCATCTACACTACGTTAAATCCCATCTTCCAAGACGAGTCTGCGTTCTACTGATAGTTTGCCATTAACCATGATGCGGTCGTAATGTAAGTATCCTAAAACTAGAAAGCTGATTGATGCAATTGGGATAAATGGTCTTCTCAGTAATCTCAAAAAATATATGACAAGTGTCTATGCCATAACTAACTCTATCCATTAAGCTCCTAAGTACAACATAAAGAATAGTCCCCAAAATAATGTATAAGATTTTCGAATAATGGGACACTTCATATATCGTAATATAATCCCTAATGGAAATGCAAGCAACTTAAATCATATATATTAATTCATTACAAAATGCATAAGCAATTTAAATTAGTCAGCTTGGACTCCAACTACATTTAATTGATTTATTTGTATAGCAATCTAATCAAATAATCCAACTATGGTCATAATTAATTATTTTATATTCAAAAAAACTAAAAATATCCTCATATTTTTCTCTATCAATCAATGATTTTCTTACTATGGATTACATTATTTTTAGAGTTTCATAGAAAATCATTATAAAATTCTATACTTGAATTCTGATGAATTTTAAAATCGTCTTTGATTACAAATATAAGTTGCTTAATTTAATTGATTTATTACTATTTAATATAATGAAAACATAATTTACTCATATACCTATCTTTCTAAAAGACAAAGAAATAAATGAAAATGCATAAACACTTAAAATAAGCAATAAAAATATCAATATTTGGCCTAATGATATACCTTACAAATTACTTAATCTTGATTTAAGTGGAAATCGTTTTTAAACTATCCCACATCAAATCAATTTTATATGTCACTTATAAAAACTTGTATTACGAGACAACTATATTGATAATCTTGAAACATCTTTAAATCTTCCTTAACTCTTTTATTTAGATCTTAGTTATAATTACATAAGTAATTCTCATTTCACTATTAAGGAAAGTTATCTTCCAGTCTTATTAAATTGAATTCCTTACATCATTTAAATTTGAATTCTAATTTGATTGATGAATTACCTCGCCAACTCTTTGATTTATAATTGTATTTCTTAGGTATTGCAAAGAATGCTTTTATTATGATTCCATAAGAGATTTGTAAAATAATTAAAAAGTTAGAACAATTTGAATTGGATTGGTTAAATTACTGTAATTTATAATACTTTATGGATGAACAATTATCTTATAAATTACTGAATGTCTTCTCTAATGATTGCACATTTTAGTAATTTTATTAATTCTTTATGAAATCCTAATTCTCATATAATCTAGAAAAATTACTAAATAATCATTCATTAGGAATATTAAGATTAACTTTTGAATTTCAATAAGAAATTTCTATGAAGAGTTTAATTTTTATTGTTTCTTAACCTGGAACTAAAGAAAATATTAAATTTATAACTTATTTATTAGATCTCTTAAATTAATATGATACAGAGTTATTAAATGTTATATTTACTTTAAGTGCAAGAATTAATTCAACTTATATTATATAAATACTATCAAATTATGTAATTAATTTACATTATCAAATCAAATTTGACTTAATATGTAATAAAAAAATTCTAATTCTAAAGAATTAAACACCATATACTACATTATTATAACACAGTAATAATATTGATACAATAATGGAATCTTGGGTTTTAAAAGGTTTTAATCCTCAAATTAAATATTAAGGAGAGAATTGTTTACATATAGCTATTTAATAAAATAATTATGAAGGTGTGATGTGGGCATTACAACATTGTAATGTAGATTAAAGAGAGAGTATTCATAAAAATACTGCTTTGCATATTATATTTTAGAGATAACAATCAGTTGATATATTTTATTTATTAGAAAATAATAAAGCTAATCCTTTTATTGTGAATCGCTATAATAAAATTCCACGTTTTTATCAAACTTAGATGATTTAATTAAGATTTGTCAAATTGTTTATAAAATATGAACAATCTTATTTAAAATTTCATTTCTTAACATACAATTCTAATAAATTTCATGGTATGATTACTTAAGGAAGTAGATCAAATGCTAGATAAGATTGTGAAATTTCAGCTATAAATACAACTGATATGAGTATTTTAACTGGAGAATAATTACTTGAATATTTATTGAGTGATATTTTAAAGATATTAAGATCATCAAAATAACTATAATTAATTATTGAAAAGATTAATCTACTATTAAGTACTCCCTTAGATTTATAAGCAAGAATATGTTTATAATCCATATTGTAACTCTTACTTTGTAAAGCTAAGTATGGATGGATATATAAATCTACTATTTTGCCTTAAATAATTACTGAAATCAATTTATTATTCAAACATAAATTCTATTTAGAAAAAAGAATATTTATTAATTAAGATATTTAATAAATAATAGAAAACAGAAAATTAATAATCAATTAAATCAAATTAGAATAGGAGAAACCTGAATAAGATCATCTTAATAATTTATCTTAAAGACTTAAGTTAAACATATCTAATATAATTGATTCTTAAATTTATGCAAGATTTCATGAATAATATGTTTACAATTATATCAATATTGTTTATCTAGGGAAATATATGAAAAAGAATAAACAGAATGATATAAATATCTTAAACTAATATGAAACTTTATAATTTAAATATATGTTGATTGAAGAATAAATAGATATTCCAGAAAGTCCAAGAAGTACTCTTCTTGAAAAAATGAAATAAGTTTCAGTTTTGGATACTAAATTCAAAGATTTTTCAAATTTAAGATCAAAGTCATAAATGGAAATGTGAATTTTTAACACTAATAATAAATAATTAATATCATTCTTGAAAAAATAGCATCACCTCTGATTTTGTACTCCTATGTTATAATTTTTAGTTAATTTAAGAATAATAATTTAATCTTCTATCTAAAATAGGATTTTGAATCATTGATTTCTCTTTCTTACTTTATTCCAAAATTAGATTATCAAGTTCATCATGTTAATACTAATGTAAACTATTCATTCTTTAACTTTATAATGGACTTGGTATTATTTATATTTGTTAGATATTTGTAGATGAGAGTTAAGTACCTAAGTTTATTAAAGTGTTTTTCACTCCACTTCTATGAATACATCCATGATCCTATTTGAAAATCCTATGATTTAAAGCCTATTAGACAGTAAGTCTATGAAAAGGATTTCTAGATAATACACTTTATAGGAAATCCAAAGCATCTCCACTAATATTAATTATTCTCCAATCAATTATCCCTTGTTTATTTAATTTAACTCTTTTATTATAATCTTCAGATTCAAAAGGATTTTGTCCAGTTAACATCTAATAGAGCACAATACCAGCACTATAGACATCAACTTTGAAATCATATAGTTTATTTTATAGTAATTCAGGAGCACAATAACCAGGAGTTCCACAATTTGTATATAAATATTATCCATCATTTCTATAAATATCTGCAAAACCAAAATCAGTTAAGACAAGTTCTTCTGAATTTCTAAACATTATATTATCTGGTTTAATATCTCTATGTATAATACCAAGACTATGCATATAATCTAATGCAATAAACAATTATCGAATATTATGAAAAGCTCTTTTTTCACTAACCTTCTAATTTTTTATTTCTTATCGCAGATTGCCTCCCAATACCAATTCAAATACTACAAATATAAATTATTCAGATTCAAATGATTCATAAAATTACATCAAATTAGGATGATCAAATAGACGAGCTATTTCTAGTTCCTTTGCCAAAGCAATCCTATCACTTGGCAGTACTAACAAAGATTTTTCAAAAGTCTTTACAGCAAATTCCATTTGATTTGATTTATTTTTAACTCTATAAACCTAACTATTATAGTCAATACATACCTTTCCATAAGTACCTTATCCAATTAATTTGAGAATAGAGTATTTTTGAGTAAAATTAGATTAAATGCACTATTTTTTAAGTTTTTCATATAATTCTTTTATCCTACCATAAATCTCAATATAATTTTATCCAAAACTTAATTTACACCCTTCTCCATAGACATCATGTTTCACATTATCTAATTAAGAATTCCCAATATCACAAACCTTCCATTTCTATAAAAGTCTAGATTTATTTTTTTTACGTGATTCCTACATTTATACAAATTTTGTCCTTTTAGAAAGATAGTAGCTTCTTTATAGACTCCTTATTTGCAGGAAACATGAAAGCAGCCCCCTACACTTGAGTCTATAGGCTTAGTACTTTGATTCCATATTGTAGTTCGGTTAGTTTAGAGTAGAAAGTTACATGTCTTTATAGTATTATCATTATGGATCATTTATAAAAATATAGCAATTACAAAATCAATCCAGCAAATAAATGTAATTATTAATTAATTAATAATTAATTATTTATTTATTATTATTACATTTGCAATATATTTTTGCATAATGCTTGATATCAAATTTAACGATTAAATGTGCAAACTTTATATTATATTTACAATATATACCCAAGAACACTAATTTCCAGGAGAAAAGCAAATGTTACTATTTTTACACATTCTCTTTTTGCTATGTCAGTAATGATTTAATAGTTTTTATTCTTTGATAATAAATTTAATGCTTTCTTATGATATCTTTGAATGATAGAAACATTTCATACTAAAAATTTAATTCTTCAAAACATATATCATAAACCATATTCATACTTTATTTAAGTGCAATTCAACCATATCAGTGTAATCAAGAATTTGGTAAACTTCATTGTCATCTTTAATAATGTGTTTCTAAAACTATTATTTGCTATTTTAGCAATGAAAAATAGTACTCATTGGACATTTATGTTAGGGATTTCAAGAGTTTTTATAGATGTTCATTTATTTGGGTATATCTCACTTGAATAGGTTTATTTAGAGCATTCCAATATGATATTATACACTCATAATTGTATATACGTGATATTTTCATAATCCAAATACTCATTATAGATTAATATGAATACTAATATGTAAATCAAATACTAAAGGTTTTTCAAATAAAGTCCTTAAAGGAATTTGAATATTTTTAATTAGTTGGATCTATTTATGTTATATTAATTTTACTCTTTGAAATCAATAAAAATATAACTAGATGAAAATGAAGTGGTAAAATAATTTGTATTATAGATGTTATATTAAATAGAGGCATTTATAATGGAAATTAATTCAGTACAAATCACTTACTTATTGGTAGAAAGTTATCAAAAAGTATTTATCTTCTATATATTTTATATTATATTAAGTGTATATCAAAATATTTATGAATAAGCATTTTGAAATGTAAAAGATAAAATTCTTACTTTTTTAATTTTACTTGGATCGTAAATCATTTATGTTTAATAATTAATATTAATTATTTGACATCTACTTTAAGATCATAAATTACTTAAAACATAAATTAGAAAGTGATTTTATATAAATGTCATCTTAATTAGTTTGAATAAATTGAAGGATAGATGGTTAGTGATATAGGATAAATAAATTATTGAATTATTTAAGTATTATAATTTGAAACATAAGTATTAAAATTAATTATATAAATATTAAATTTATGCAATATATTTAGAGTAAATTGCCTTTGATCATTTTGTGTAAATATTTATTTATATGAAGTAATAAAAAGCTTAGATATCTTTGGATAATCCATAACATTAAATATTAACAAACAAAAAGCATATAAAACAGTTTTTGGTGGTATTTCATCAATATGTCTAATCTTTATTTTGATTACAATATTTCAATCCAATATTGTAGACTTTTTCAAAAAATCAGATGTTGTATTCTATACAAAAACTGAATTTGATCCTAATCCTGATTAAATTAAATTGAATATCTAAAATTATATGGTAGCATTTTCGATTGAATAATTGAATTTTGTCACCAATCCTATGTTTAATATTACAATTGAATAAAGGTAATAAATTATATATTAAATAAGACATTATTCTAGAGACTAATTTGGCAATTAAATTAAAAATATTCAATATTTATAATTAGAACCATGCACTTTAGATCATTTTGAATTTCTTTTATCTTAGCCTGATTCTGATTTTGAATCACAATACAAATAACTTGAATTAAATAATTGGCTTTGCCCATAGTAAATTAATATATATATCTTTTTAAGGAAGGACTTTTAATTCAATTTAGAAGGAACATTTACAAGCACATTATTTTAATTTCTAAGAGTTGTTGTAAGTGATTGTGATGATTCCAAAAATGGGTATATGAATTGGAAACCTAAATGTGCAACATAATAATAAAAATAGGATCATTTAAATGACTAAGGATAATTTAAATTGTAGATCTATTAAGTTAATTCTGTTGTTAATCCTAAATCTCCTGAACAATATTATTAACCCTATCTTGATGGAGAAATGTATTTTACATTCGTTCCTTATAAATTATCAAGATAAACAAATCTATATTATAGAAAATATTAATTTGAAAATGATGATTCATTAATGCCATTTTTTAAGTAATTTAAAATATAGATAGTTATTTAGGTCTATAAATGATAAAGAATTAATTGTCAGATAAAGTGTAGATTATAGAGACTTAACAGAAATTGGTAGAGATACAGATCGAAATTATGCTATAGTTTATCTGAGAAGAAGTTAATTCTCAGAATATATTAATAGAAGATTTATGAAAATTGATGAATTATTGGCATTTTTAGGTGGATTCTTATAAATAATGATTACTGGTTTTGGAGTATTTATAATGTATTATAATAAATTGTAATGTAAATCATTATTTATAATAATATTTTTAGTGTAAATAGAATTATCTAATAAATTGTATAATTTTTCTAAGAAATTTAATAAAACTGCCTCCTTTAAAAAATCAATGAAATAAACTGTTAATGCATCTATATAAAATGAATCCAAGATTCCTATTAAAGAAGTTTAAGAAGTAAAAAATCATAATACATTGATGAATGAAAAGGAGGAAATATCCATTACTTAATCAATATTAAATCTATTTGAAAAATCTACTAAATTAAAATTAACCCCAAAATCTTTAATTAATTATTTATCCTTTGGATACTTATTTAATGATTAAGAAACAAAGATTTTTAATAAAGCAATGTAAATTTTTATTTTTATTTTATTTAGGGTAAGGGTTGACTAAAGTTTAGATATTTAAGAAATATTATATTAGTTACAAGAAATAAATAAATTAAAAACATTAATGCTAAAAAAACAATAAATTATACTATTTAATTTTACATAAAAACCAAATTTGACTTTGGAAGATGAAGAATAACTTCCTAGTAGAATGTTAATTGAATAGCATTTAATAGAAGATGATAAAGAAGAATTCAATAAAGAATTAGTCATAAAAGATCTTTATATTGTAAATATTATATATTATTAATCAAGGCTTGGCAAGAAATAAAATCTAATTAAAGTTAAAATATTTGCTAATAAGAATTAAACAATAAACTTAATCAAGAATTAGGTAATGAAATTTAAAAAGTGTTTGATGATTATGTAAAGGCATAAAGTGATCATACTATTAAAAAAATAGAAGAACAACAACTACTATTACCTTAAGTAGAATGAAAGATTGTATATAAATGGAAATTTGAATATATTGATTAAGATAATATTAAAAATTAATATATTATAAATGAATGTATTTATTAAAATTAAAATCATCCTTCTTAATCTGGATTTACTTAACTAATTTTAATACTTCTACGAGGTGTGAAACGCTTTCTTTGAAATACATTTTTAAGTTCTACAATCTTTGATATTGATAATCCAGGTTTTCGAGGTGGGTTTTTAGTAGTTTTAATTGATCTTTCTCTTTATTGAATTTTCTAATATTTCATAACATAATCATATGGGAAATACATATAATAAATTAATTTATTCATGTAATTAAAATGTCTAATTGATTTATTTCTTAGTTCTTATAATACTTTATTGATATTATTACTTACCATATATAGATCATAATTCTTTACTATTTCAAATTAATCTAAACCTTATTCAGATTTAAATTATAAATAAAGCATTTCTATATCTAAAATAGAATTAATATTATCTAATTATTCATTATTAGTAGACTTTTTCATTTTCAGATATAGTTATTCAATTTACTATTGCATCATTTCATTAAAATCTGTTAACTAATTTTATTCAACATCTAATTAAGATTTTAGAGGTTATTATTATTAGTATTTACTCAAATAATTCTTTTTATACATTGATAATTTAGCTGTATTATATTTATTAATAGTAGGAGGTTTAAGTTCTAAATCATTTTGATTTTACACTCTTTTTAATTAGATATTTTAATCATATGAGTTTTAAGTATCCATTATACCTTATTTACGTCTTTGATTTTGGGAATGAATCATACTATTTATTGGACTTAATGGTTATGGTATAAAGTTATTAGAAGAGTAAAAGTTATCTGAAAGTTACATGGAATCTGACTTTCTTAAAAGGATCTATTTATTAGGTTCAAGACTTTAAGGTGCAATAATGTAATCATCTGATTTCATAGGATTTTCATCAACTTCTTAATCAAATACTAATTACTATTGTAATTATGATTTAATTAATTTTTATTTTTCATTTTGAAAATAAAGTGTAAATTATTCTATTATATCTAAATCAGGTAATGTCTAAAAAAGATCTTTAGTTCTTTTTGAGGATCTTTTCCATTTATTTCTTTCTTATGGTTTAGAATATAAGTGTCTTTTAACAACAACTTCACGATCTATTGTTATTTTTAGTTAAGGACATCCAATTAGATTATGATCATTTTATTTACAAGCTGCACAATAGACTCCATAAGGTAATTATTTCTTTTGAATACTCAATAAAATATTGTCTTTGAGTTGACAATAATGTTAATAATCTTTTGGGAAATTGTTTAAAACAGAAAGAAAGTCACTCTAATAATTAATTAAAATATATACTTTACTAAGAGTTAGAAGACTAACATAACCAATGGCTTAATAGATTTGAGTGTTTTCATTTTCAGAGACAAAATCCTAGACTTAAAGGAATTGACCCTAACTTTGAATTCCTTTGAGTGAATGACGATGTCTATTAAGGTATTGTAATTGACCTTATTCAACAAAGCAGAGATGAGGCTATTTAATATTACAGAGAGTAAAGATGGAGAAAGTATTTTAAGGTAATATGATATTTCGAGCAATATGGGAAGATAGAGCATTCTAAAATTCTAGGCTAAAATTACTAGATAAAAAGGAGCAATGACTAAAAAATACACTATTTGATTATTGTCTTAATTCTTATTTTAATTCCTCTGATAATTCAGCTAATAATTATTCTTCTTATTAAAGATCTATTTCAGCTTCTTCTTTCCATCTGAAATTAAGATATTCTCTAATTCTAAAATCTATAGATAGAATGAATACCTATATTAGAGTCCATAAGGAATTTTACGTTTATGCATATATCTATTAATAACTCTTATTTTCTTAATTCTTTCAACCATATTTTAATTGATTTCTTTAATAATGATACCAATTGTATTAACACTATAACTAAACCATAAACATGCTCCCATAATGAAAAAGATTGCTACTATTTTCTCATTTGAACATTTAGGTACATTATCTCCATATCCTATTGTTAGCATTGTAACAATAGCAAAATAGAATGCCTCTAGGTATTGAATTTACCATGATTATTAATCTAATTATTTTGATTAAATCCAAGACTCATCACTCAAATTAGAATTAAAATACCAAATACATGAGAACATATGTAATATATACATTAGAGTTAGAATTAGTTTTAATAAACTAATAATTCCTTTTTATGATTTACTAAAGTATTGTGATTCTTCACTCTTTTGTATAACTTCACTAATATGTTTGAATTACATCAAAGATGTAAGTAATATAATTAGATAATAATTTGATATTTATTCTCCATTTTGAATACAAAAATAAAATAAAGGTGCTATTGTTAATATATCTATAAATAAAACACTAAATATTTATTAGCGTACTATTTCAAATCTATCCAAAACAGCATGTCCTTTTATATAACATATAGTATTTAATCTAATTAAGACATCAAAAAGTAATAAAGATGATAGTAAAGTAGTGAGTGGTAAAATCTATACAAACAAAATACCTGGAGTATAAGCAATTTCAAGTGGTATTAATATCAATAATATCAATCTAATTATTGTTATAAAATAATCCCACATTAATTTATTAGGACTTTCAGGATGGAACTAAGGAATTTTTGATAATTTTTCATATGTATATTTCCTCAACATTTAATACTTTTCTTTTACATTTGAAAATATTGGATTCTCTGGATTCACTAATGTTTATTACCTAAAAAGTCTAGAGACATTTCTAATTTAAAATACTGGACTTGCAAATTTCATTTATGTAAGCATGACTTAACTATTATTGTATTGTTTATTTACTTATCAGATCCCTAATCATCAATCAATTATAAATGACTTTCATTTATATTTTGTAATTTTTGTTTATGCCTACGTATTTTCTAAACAAATCGCTTTACAAAAAAGAATGCCATTAAACTAACACCAGTACGTTAAGCTCGTTTCGTCCATTCTGGAAGTAAAGCCTAATTAGAATATTAATCAACCTCATTTGTTCTACGAGTGTCCATTTATGACTTAATTACTAAATTTGGACTATTGTATGTTCCTCTGAAACCAGTATTCAAGTATTCTTAATCATAATCTAATTCATTAATGGCCTATAACTCTTGTATTGGAGTAAAATTGCTCTGTTGGTACAAGAGATTTGATTAATTCATTTTTGTATTAATAATTGTTATACATTTTACTCTATTGATTGTAAATTGATTCAGAATTCAGATAAATGATTTTACAATAATAATAGATTAATATGATTTAATGATTTAATTAAGTAAATCATTCTCTTCTATTTCTTATTCAAAGGAATATATTCATCAAAAATTCTAATTTAAAATCATCCAAATTATGAAATTAAATATGAATTTATTCATTAAAATTTGATTATTGAGTTTTCCTTTCCTTTTTCTATTTATTATTATTATTATTTAATTAATGTAACAAGATAATTAGTATGAAAATACATACTACTAACCAAAAGGATTCATAATGCATACTAGATAATCAATTAAACCTTTTCTTTTACCATAAACAGAAGCCAGCACACATCGCTTTTCATAATTAGATTATTTTACAGAACCCACAGCTAGTATTGTAGATCCATAAGGACCATAAACTGATAGAACGTATGTCAGAAACAATAGATAACTTCTCAAAAATATTAAACCTGTTAACATAGAACCTGAATCTAATATTTTAAATGAAGAGAAGAATAAATTACAAACTAAGTTTAATTTATTAGATTCTTTTACTATAAGACATTCATAACATCATTTATAAGTGAAAAATGACATTAAATAAGAAATATTATAGAGAAAATTTAGTGAATAAAAATAAGGTTTCAAAGTATAACAATTAGATGAAGAATATGAGTCTCATGTAATTTTAAGAAGAAATCAATTCTTTTATACTTCTTTAAGAATTAAAGATAGATATTCTCCATTAACTCTTCAAATCAGAATCAAATAAGGTGATCCAAATACAAGATTAAGAATATTTGCATCTCCTAAATTTATCTAACCTAATAGATTTAATGCTGCTGTTGAAGTTAGTGGAAGATAATTAAAATTTACATCTAATTCTGAAATCTTTCAAGAAGAAACCTTATATGTTGCAATCTTAGCCTTAAATGAATTATCAATTGGTATAAACATTGAATTTGGAAGACCTACAACTAAAAGAGTTATTTAAAGAGAAAGAAAAGAAAAATCTATTCATGAATTTCCTCCTGATTTAGAACTTCAAATAGAAGAAATTATGATGAAAAGAAGACTTCGTTATGCAAATTAATAAAATTATGTTGAATTAAATAAATGTTCTTAAATGTCTCGTAGAATTCCTGAAAAACCTCAAACACCAAAATATATAGAAGTAAAATAAAAAATTAGAAGAATGAAAGTTGAATAAAGTCTTAAAAGAGTAGCATAATTATAAGTTCATGATATTGCAAAATAAATACATAGAAAATAATTAGAAATGTAAAGAGAAATAAAACATCGTGAGTATGTTTAAAAGACTTGGTTTAAGATTATTTGTTTAATCAATATTTTAGCTCCTGGTATTAATGAATTTATAGAAAATCAAAGATAATTAGTTGCTAAAAATATGAAAAAACAAATCTCTTTAGTCTAACTCTTAAATAAAATTAGAAAAAAAGTAGAAAAATTTGGTCCTAATTGTAAATTAAGAACTATCTTATAAGGAAAATGGTAATATTCATTCATTTCTTAATAGTTGTTTACAATTGATTGCTAATAATTCAAGAATGATAGCTAAAAGAAGAGCTTAAAAGATTATTACACAAATGTTGTAAAACAACATTACTTGCTTTATTACTGAAAGTAAAGGCACACATGTTGTCAATTTAAGTAATGCGAAAAACCATATGAAGTAAAGAAATGCGTGAATCGATTAGTGAAGCACAAAATAAGTAGAATTGAGTTTATGAGCAATCTTAAACTATATTTGAGTGTCCAGTATAAGCAACTATATCAAATTGCTCTTAGATACAGTAAATAAAGTGAATCAGCTAAAAACAAAAGAGATCCTATACATTTTCTTTTATACGATGCGTAAAATTAATAAATAATAATATAGTTCTTTTCTGCATCAAATGACAAAGAAATTATTAAGTCATGTATTTGAAAAGTGGAATAAGAATTTTATCACTTTTAGAAATGCAACCAAAGAAGAAAGAGAAAAATAAGGTAAAAAAGGAGTAGCCCTATTTTGGCAACCCCCAAAACTTTTTGAATTACCATAAGATATAGTGGTTAGACTATTCTTATTTGAAGAACTTGAGAAAAGAGGACTAATAACTGGGGAATACAAAGAATGATAATTGATAATACTAATCATTATGAATCAAAGAATTAAATTGTATAATAATTAAAATATCTTTCTGATACTTTAAATCTTAAAATTATAAAATTAATATCTTTTTTTAGTTATATATTTATATACATAATGATTTAGTTCTTGTTACTGCTTAAATAGAATATATAAATATCCTTTCAGAATTAGGTTGATATTTTATATTATATTTTTTTTAACTTTAAACCTTATATTTTAGAAAATATACTTATTATCAAATACAATTTATATCCAAATCTAATTTAAATTTAATTGAGTACAAATATTATATAATTTTTTCAAGATTTTGACATCCATTTTATTCTCTATTAGTATTTTACTTTTGCTAAATTCAAAATAATTGATGAATGAATTTTTGATCTTTTTACATCTATTTAAGTTGTTCTTCTTTTTGTCTTTGAGTATTAAATGTAAATTCAAATTAACATTTCTATCAGAAGTTTAATAACATATTTATTATCATCCAAATATAACTACTTTGCATTTACTTATAAATATAGACCTTTATCAAAATATTGCCCTTCTCATACTTTGCTAATTTAAATATATAACTGTTATTATTCTATTAAGCAAGTATTTTTCTACAGAGAAATTTAATTTGTAACTTTATTTCAAGAATTTTAATAAGTTATATATCTTTTTATCATCTTAAATATTTTGAGTTTTGTGTCTATTTTTCTATTAATTAAAGTTCAGAACCCAACGATTTAATTTAAATATTACTTCCAATAAACTGTATTTTATTTATATATTTCAATAAAAAGTGTAAAGAGTGTCCCATCAATCTGATATATTAATTTCTCTGAAGACATTTTAGTTAAGAAATATTCCAAAAAATTTTAAACTCTTTTTGATTTAGAATATTATCCATATCTAAATCAAAAAAATAAAAATCTTTGTCAATTAATAACCCTAATAAAAATGTTCAATAATTGTTATTTTATTCATTTGATTATGTAGTTTAAGGAATGATTTGAGTACTTAAATGTGAATAATTGATATTATATATAAATTAATAAAGTAAATAGAATTAGGTAACTGCTTTATTAAATTGATAAAAGTATTTATTATAGAGTTCATTTTGATTATTTAGAATCGATGAAAAGATTATATTAAAGTAAGCTGTTATAGAATATTTATAAGCAATACAATAACTTGACATATTTGGTCAAACAATCACACTAAATATCAATAAATAATCAAGCTACAAAACAGTTTTTGGTGGAATTTCCTCAATATTGATAATTGCCATTTTGATTGCTTTCTTTTTTTCAAATGTTATGAATTTCTTGAATCAAACTGAAATCATATTTTCATTAGAAACAAAATTCTCCATAAATCCAGATGATATGATTTTATCATAATAAAATTATATGGCAGCATTTTCAATTGATTAAGGAGGATATGCTATTAATCCATACTTTAATATTTCAATAGAATAAAGGTATTATATTATTTAGATTCAGATAATACATACGTGATGAAAATGGAAAGTAAATTAAACATGTTAAGTATATCCCTTTGGAACCTTGCACATTATCACATTTCAATGTATTGTTAAACCAATCAGATTTAAATTTTTAAGAATAATACAATCACCTTGATTTATCAAATTGGTTATGCCCTAAGTAAGTAATATTTGAATAAAATAAGAAAGGATTTTGAATTCAAACTAAGTGGTACATATTCAAGTTAAGAATTTAATTTTATTAAAATAATTGTAAATGATTGTGTATAGAAGAATGAAAATGAAACTGGATGGAATCCAATTTGTGCTTCAGATTAAGTAAAATAATAAAATTTATAAATGAATGGATAATTTAAGTTTTAAATTTACTAAGTTAATTCAATTATAAATCCAGGTTAACCTTAAGCATATGTGAGTGCTTATTTGGATGGAGAAATGTACTTTACATTTGTTCCAAAAAAGATGTCTAGATAAGCCAACTTATTTTATAGAAAATATAAGTTTTATAATGATTAATCTCTCTTGCCTCTTGAGTATTAAATTTAATTTAGATTTGAGAAATATTCATTAAGAAGAAGTTATTGTTAGACAAAATAGTGATTATCGAGATTTAACTGAAATAGGAAGAGACACAGATAATAATTATGCAGTTATTTACTTAAGGAGAAGTTAATTTACTGAGATAGTTAATAGAAGATTTATTTAGATAGGAGAATTACTCTCTTATTTAGGAGGATTTCTATAAATAATGATTACTGGACTTGGTATCTTTATTATATACTATAATAAAATTTAGAGTATAAATTATTAAATAATTATAGTGCAAATTGAATTATCAAATAGACTTTATAACTTTAAGATTAGTTCTGGTAACAATAATAAAAATTAATAAAAAGTAATAAAATTAAGTTAGATATCTAATTAAAATGTGTAATAATAACCTGTAGATGATTCATAAAATATTAATTTAAATGATAGTCTTATTGACGAGAATTAAAAGAAAAACTATCTCAAAAGTGCAATCATTAAATAATTTCATTAGTTGAATAAGATTAGTTTATCATTAAAATTATTTTTAAATTAAATGACTTTTGGATTATTGTTCAATAACAATGATTCTCTATTTTTGAATAAAGCTATGTAATTATTATTTATATTTTATTAATTTAGTAATTAAGTAAATCTTGATTTAAATATTCATCATATACTTTATAAGATTTAGGAGATATAGAAATTGAAACAGGTATTGTTGAGACGATCTCAAATAATGTTATTTAATTTTACCCCAAAACCTTTGATTACTTTAGATGTAGATTATCAATTACCAAATCGAATGGACTTTGAAGATAACCTTAGTGATTTGATAAATTCTAATCCTTCAGACTAAACTGAAAACAATTTATTCTCCGATTTATATTAAGTACAATTTTATATTCATATTTATTGAAGGCTTATTTAGAAATAAAGAAGGAGCTAGAGGAATAATCAATACCTCTTTGTTAGTTTTAATTGAATTCATAATTGGCTTTAGAGTTGGGACCATAAATGTAAGAGATATTCAAAAATCAGGAATTGATAGAAAATTAAGAAAAAGTGGCATTTTCAGTTATTTTAAAGTCGGTAAATGAATGAGTTGAGTAAGAGTATTATTTGGTTATAACATATTATTATTTACTTATATGTGAATTAATAAATATAATGGATTCAAAGAATTAATGGAATTAAAAATCATCAGTATAAGAATTTGGAATACAAAAATCAAGTTTGGCAAAACCAATGCACCAATAAGTTAAGCCAGCATAATAGGTGCTTCCTAAGAATGAATAAGATCAGAATCAACTTGTACGTCGAGTGACTAAACGAAATATTGCAATAAAAAAGTCAATAGCTACAGATGAAGGAACAATCTATGAGACATTTGAACCTTTAATGAAACCATAGACTCCCTAAGATATTGGATTTATAGTAAAATGTTTTTAATCACATTTTGTGTTTTCATCCATGAATGAAACTTAATTGTAAGATTGATAATTAATTGAAGAATACAATTAGCAAAGAGTATGTTCTATTGTAGATTAGTGATTGGATAAACTATAATAAAATAAGGAGATGGGGCTAGTTCATTTTTTGTATTGGAAAAGGGAAAGATAAATGTGTTAGTTGATGGAATCTCTAGAAAACAATTAAGTTAAGGTAATGGATTTGGTGAATTGGCATTACTATACAATGCACCAAGATCAGCAACATGTGTGGCTATGGAAGAATGTTTTTTATGGGGAATAGACAGACATACCTTTAGAAAAAGTGTTGAAAACGTTATGAGGAGTGAATAAGAGAAAAATAGATAATTATTAGAATAAGTTAAGTTTTTCAGTAATATATTAAATTGAATTATTAGATTAATTAACAAAGGATTAAAAAGATGCAATTGCAGGAGTGTTGATTCTATAAAAGTTTAATTAAAATGAAGTTATTGTAAATGAGGGAGATCAAGCTAGTTCATTCTATATTATAGTTGAAGGCAAATGTGGAGTGTTTAATAAAGAAGATGTTTAGATTACAACTTTAAATCCAAAAGATTCATTTGGTGAATCTGCATTAAAACATGATAATCAAATTAGAATGATGACTATTAAAGCAATTGAAAAGGATACCAAAGTTGTTGCTTTGGGAAAAGATATGATTACATAAATTTTAGGAGATAAAGTGCAATATATAATTTATAAGAATATATGTAAATGGGCATTAAATAGATCAAATTTATTTGGAAAAGTTCCTGGAAGCATTTAAGATAAGTTACTTGAAGGAGTTATTTATAGAAAATATGTACCAGGATAAAAGATAATAAATAAAGGAGATAAAGTTGGATATTTATATATAGCATTAGAAGGTAATGTTTTGGATGAACAAAAGAAGATTATTACTAATAATATTTTAAATGAAGAATCATTATATGATGAAGTAGCAAATACTAAACATTAGTAATCATTTGTAATGGAAATGGAAGGACATGTTGCAGTAATTGATTATGATAAATTTCGTAATACATATGGAAGTGTTGAAAAACTATCAGAAAATGATTAAAATAATATTTACTCTAAAGAATTTTAATAATCAAATGATTTAGTCAAATAATTTTAATTGAAAGAGTTGATTTTCCTAAATAAGCTTGGATCTGGATAGTTTGGATCAGTGTATCTTTGTAAGAATAAAAACTTGGATACTTTATTTGCACTCAAATATGTTACTAGAGCTCATATAAAATAATATGGAATATAAAAGCATGTCTAATAGGAAAAAGCAGTCTTGGAAATGATGAATCATTAATTTATACTTAAGTTTTATCGTTCATTTAAGGATGGAGAAAACATTTACTTTCTTACTGAATATATACCAGGTGAAGAATTGTTTGATGCAATAAGAGAAATTGGATTATTAGGTAAATATGACTCACAATTTTATACTGCACAAATGATTCTTTAAATGGAATATTTACA